TTGCGCGCACGGCGGCCGCCGTGACAAGCTCACTCGCTGGTGGTGCAGTGATGACCTTTTCCAAAGCCTTGAGGCTCGTTGCAGTCGTGATCATGATCATGATTCCTGGCAACCTTCCTTTGCCGCTGCTGGGCGGGCGCGGTTCCCTACTGCTGACGAGGCAGCCTACCCGCTGTTGCTTTGTGAACGGATTGCCTCGCTTCTGGCTGAGAATTACCCGACTTTGCACTTGCAGAACGCTCGTCAGCCACGTCGTGGCACGCAGGTTTACCTGGACAAGCAGCCTCGTTTCGCTCGACCGTTGGTCGCCATGTACTGCGCTTATGATGTTTGGGCTGTACCTTTGCAGGACGCTCCGTTGGACGCGCTGCTCCAGATGTACCCGAAGGGCGCTCGCATCATTCGTCGCAAACTGGTGCCATTGGGGTTGGTGCGGGTTTGCGTAGTTTCGGGATATCATGCCTTGAGATCGCAGATGCATAAGCTGGATGCTTTTGAAGTGGTCACTTGTGGGAGTCCTGAGAACACGTGTCGTGGCCATGAGACGATTGAGAAAGAGGAGGATCAATTCAACGTGGTTGGTTTGATACATAGCAACTTTGCAATTTGCGCGGATCGAGCTGAACTTCTTACGGTGGCCATTCCCAAGGAGCCCGATGACTTTGTCAGAGATGCAGTGAAGGCCGGACACCCACGAAACTTGCTGGCTGAGAGTCGGAAAGGCGTAGCTAAGGAAGTGGCAAAGAAGATCGTCATGTCAAAAGATGAAAGAGACAAGGTTGCTAAGCCGTGCTTGGAGCGTTGGGCTGCGACCAAGAAGGCAACTGAATGCGCAGGACAAGAGCTCATGAGCAAGGCGCCTGAGTACATTCAGCGTGCTTCCAATGGCAAGAACGTCTTGTTATGGAAGGCAATATTGGAGGAATGTGATTTTCCGGACAAGGATCTGTGGCAGGCTCTCCATCAAGGTTTTCGTATCACGGGTTGGATGCCTGACACTGGGCTCTTCGTCAAGAATGTCAGACCTCCAGTAATGTCAATTGATGAGCTTTTGTCGCAATCCAGGTACAGGACGCCAGCCACGTTGAGGAGCATTGAAAATGAAGAAGCTGACGAAGCAGCTTTTGGCGCCTGGAAGGAGACGCTTTCAGAGCTAGAGGCGGGATGGCTCTTCATCGATGAAAACCCAAATCCTGTGGAAATCATCGTGGCAAGGAGGTTTGGCTTGCAGCAAAAGAACAAACTCCGGGTGATAGACGATGGGAAGATGTGCGGCTTAAACCTGACCTGCGGTCTCCCTGAAAGATTCACCCTTCATGGAGTCGATGTCATAGCGGGGGCACTGCTGGAAGCCTTAGCTTTGGCTGAAGACGGCGGAATGGCGCTGCGTGGCAAGACTTATGACTTGGTTTCGGCGTATAAGTTCTACCCACTTCATCCAGAAGATCGTGCAAGGTTGCGGATTGCCGTCAAGGACGTGGAGTCGGGAGGGGTCGCCGTTTATGGCTCGAACGTCTTGGTGTTCGGTGCCACTGGCTCGGTGGCGGGCTTCCTACGCATCTCCGCTGCGATCTGGAAGACAGGTCATGTTGGGGGAGCCGTACCTTGGACGGCTTACTTTGATGATTTTCCTACTATCGTTCGAGAGGGATGCGAGGATCAGGTAGACGCCATAGTGGACGAACTCTTCGGCCTCTTGAATGTCGAATATGCACGCGAGGGTCGTAAGGCCACCAAGTTTGGGGAAACATTTTCTGCGCTGGGTTTGCTGTTCGATCTGGGTGATTCTCAGAATGGTAACATAACCATTAGACACACAGATGAACGTCGGCAAGAACTCGTGCATGTGGTGGAGCATTTCCTTGAAACTGGCCATATGACGCCGAAGGAGGCCGAAGCGCTCAGGGGCCGACTTCACTGGTTCAATTCCTACTTGTTTGGCAGGGCGTCGTGTGATGCATTGCACTTGATCTCAAAGCGGGCGCTTGCAAAGAACGATGCTACGTGGCTGAATGGCGACCTTAGGTGGGCTCTCTGCGTCGTGAAGGAATATATGGAGACGGCGAAGCCATTAACCCTTACTGCTGCTGCAGGGCGTACCATGTACCTGTTCACTGATGGCTCATACGAACCTGACAGTGACATGCCTGCTGGTATAGGGGGCATTCTTTATGACGAAGCTGGGAATCCAATATTCTTTTACAGTGGGCAAGTACATCACAGTGACTTGCAACGTTTTTTGGAGGACTCGAATCACCCAATATACGAGATTGAGCTGTACGCGGTTGTGATGGCCTTTCGGATTTGGGGAGACTTGCTCCAAAATTCGTACTCTGTAGTGTACTTGGATAACGAGGCGGCTCAGGCAGCTTTGATATCTGGCACGTCCGGCACTGGTTCAGGGCGACATTTGCTTGGAATTGAGGCTCAGCTGGAAGGCGAGATCATGTGCAGGCCATGGTTCGGCCGTGTGGCTTCGCATTCGAATCCAAGTGACGACCCGAGCCGAGGAGTGTTTGACCACCTTGTCCGTAGGGGGGTTCAGAGATCGCAGATTGCCGGCCCAATGTTCTAATGGCATGCACAGGTTGTGGGGGGAGAAGCGGGTGCATGCACGTGTGTGGTGCGAGTCATAGCTCGTGCCCCCGTGTAGTGTGGGACCGTTGGTCCATACACGTATGACGTGTGCAAGTACTTCACCGCGACTTACCCCAGAGCCTCTTATGAGAAAAAAGGATGAGCGTGAATCCTAGTGATGTTGAATCATACAAGTGCATTGAGTTCAGATATTTGGGACCACCATTTGTGTGAAATAAATTCAAATGCATTGGGATTGCATCGATGAGAGTTTGAGTGGATTTCTTTTAAAGAATAAGATTGGATCAAAGCAGTTTTACCATGGAGATCCTTGCGCTTCGGCACGCAAACGTGATGTGAGCCCTCCCATCTCCTTACCGACGTACCTCGTGGGTTAGGGTTTGGACGGACCTGATGCAGACTGATGCGCAGGCCGACGCAAAAGCTGTGTGGCCTTGTGTGCGATGTCTTGACTGGGGGTCTTCGGTCGTCACTTTAAACTCTGTGCTTTTAAGGGTTTGGCAACGTGCTGATGACGCTCACGGTGGAATCGGTAGCTGTAGCTACTCACGCAGTGAAGGCTTGGCCTCCCCTCTGGCCGTCTGATGAGACTTTGCTTGTGCGCGGACATCTATCCAGGTGGGCGCAGCTGCAAGCCAGGGTGAGCGGAGGACCTTTCGCTCGGGGCTGCTCCACTGGCTGACCACCATGGAGTGCCCTGGGCCGGTCTTGCCTTGATAGTTCTTGCTGTTAAGTCCCCACTGGCTGACCACCATGGGGCATACGCACGTCTTTCCTCTCCTTTGGGGAGTCTGACCTGTAACATCCCTTTGCCACTGCGGGTCTGTTATCTGTCCTTGACGATGGGTACGTGATCCTGACCATCGAGTGATGACCTCGGTTCGATTCGAATGATGTCGCGCCAGTAGCTACATGATGGTGGTTTTGAGAATCTGGCAGTGTCGCAATTTGCGATTCCCCGCATGCTCTGTGCTGTATGATTGCACCGGGACTTCAACGACGACTTCGAGTACTGGGTGCGTGGGGTTACCTTGTAGTTCAGCGCCTTTGCTTGCTTTGTTTCTTCTGTTTCTTTGGTTCTTGGGTGGTTGCGTGGTGTGTTTGGTGGTTTGAGCGCGCCGACTTCGTTTCACCTGTTATGTCGAGCCCAACAAGACCGGCCTACTGCGCTACTGATGTAGTAAAGAGGCGTCAGTCCAAAAAAAAAACAACAGATTTGATGACCACGCGACACAAACCCTAAATTGAAAGGAGCAGGCACGTCGATGACTCACGAACCTTAATTGAAAGGATTGGATTATGTCAATCCCACAATTCATGTCTTCTTGCTTTGTGTCTACAAGCTCCTTTTCAGAAATTTAAGTGCACAAAATCATGTCGTTCACTGACCTGAAGGGAAGAGGTGGACAGAAGCTCGTTAGACACACATTTGTGCTTGCGTTTTCGTGTCCCTACGAAGTATAGCCAGTTCCTCACTCGTGTTTTTTTGACCGACTTCCCGCCAGTATTAAATTCAACATGAGCAGGTTTGATCGAATTTTTCATGAAAATTGCATGTCACATGAGCCATGAGTGTGGGGCGTGGAAGATGGTATGTTGGGATGCAGCGAGACAGGTATGGGCCTATAAATTTCTATGGTTTCTACACTGTGGCGTGCCGGCCCCGAAGTTTTAAAAATTCCATTCAGCGTTCATGAGCACCAACACGAAAAGGTGAGGGCGAGTCCAGAAGACGGCACAGCATGTGATATATGTATAAGTTGATGTTTATTCATCTTATTGTTCGTTGTTTAGAGTATCAGTATTTGCAAAACGTTTTATGCTTATGATTTCCCGGAGGTTTTGGATTTGGGCCACGTAGCGGCCTAGCATTCCACATCCTTTTAACCCTCCTGAACTCCAAGGTTTTGGCTGGCCCCACCTTCCACAATTCAGGAAGGTTTCGGACCCAATTGTCCAATTTTGCATGCTGTCGATTGTGCGTTTCTAGCATGGGTGTTGGGTGACGCCTACGTTACACCTGTTTTCAGCTTCTGGGTGTTCATTCGCAGCTTCCGGTGTGCGTCAAGTGCATCGAGCTGTTTCACAATGATTTTGTGTTCCTGCGTCGTTGCTCAAGTTGTGGAAAACATATGCAAAAGACGTGGGTTGCAAGCTTGCGCAAAACTATGCCGGAAATCAGGTTTCATATTAATTAAAGCGTTCCACAAAAGGCTCAAAGAATAGACGTGCGCAAGCCACAAGTTTATATGTTATGGTTATGGGTGATTGTTCGGTTGTGTTTGTGCTAAAGGTGAGATTCAGCTGCATACCATAGTTGGAATTGCTTTGCGTGTACATACGCAACAAATGAGTTCGGCAAACCCTGCATTGGCTCCAGTAGCATCGCCCGACCCTTAATTATGCAAGTTGTCCTTGCGTTGGTTGCACTGGCAATAAACAATTTCAGGCCTTTCGGATCTTTGGTCGCGGAAAATGAATTACGACACTTCCTCAAGCTTGCACGGTTGGAGCCTCAAAGCAAGCAAGTTCTATCATTTTCTCTCAGGCACAGGGTTCGGGGCTCGCGGTGCGTTTGTGGTCTTCAGGCCAGAGTGGTCCAAACCACGTCGCAGAGGACGCAGTGACATCGTTCGTGTGCTAGCAAAGTTGAAGGCGCTGACAAGTGTATATGCCAGTGAAAAGTTGAGGGGCGCAGTGCACAGCAGACGTACCAGGCAGTTGGTGTCAACGACATCGACACATTGATTCGAAAAGTGGAGAAAAACACCATCAACGAGGCCATTTCGATTGTACAGAGTGTCATTTTGGATTAGAACACGGTGCAAGTTGATGACAGCCGGCAGGAGTTGTACAACAAGGGCCTCATGCCTTTGAGTAGGGCAGCCCTGGATTCCATCCGGAAGCAAAAGACCTTCATGCAGGCCCTGCAAGCGTTCTTACTCGGTTTTTGCTTTTTTGGTGTTTCAGAGAAACCTTGCAAGATTTTTCTTCTGTTGCACCCCACCCTCCCATGGCGTTTGGCTTGGCAACCTGCATTCTGCCACAGTGGATTTTGCAAGGCGCTTGAGTCGGTGGACGTGCCGAACATCCGACAGGTACGTCAAGATGGTGTGATTGTGTGTGCATGGAAGTTCACTTGTCTTCAAGAAGGTCGGTGTGTTCGACCCTGTGGCACAAATGCTGCGGGGCTCCCGGCAGATGTGTAGCAGTCGCATGGCAAGCAAGCAAGAAATCGACAAACTTTTGCCATGGCATGTTATTGTTTCAATTGTGAGGTCTCGGAAACCTTTGCCAAGCACGGCTCCGAGTGCTATAAAGAAGGAATCGTTTGCTTTGTTACTGTGGCATACTGTGGCTGTGTTTGGAGATGCTTGGAGCCTTCAGGTGCCAGCCCCAATGCAAGACGTTCATCTCCATCCAAGCGAAACGAAGAAGGCACCTGCGTTGGCCCAGCGTTGGCTTCGTTTAGTCCACATCTGTGGGAGACGCTTTCATGATGCGTGCTGTGTACTCAGCATGTTGGCCGCCTGATAGCCCACTGTTGTGGCGGTGTGTTGAACTCGTGTTTCGCCAGGAAGAAGGAGCTTGCGACAAAGCCATGCTGGCCTGCTTGAAATGTTTGAGCACGATCAAAGTAGCAATGTCAGAGAATCTGGCAAATTGTTTCAGGTTTACCCGCTAATTCATGTGGCATGACAGTGTTTCAGCCTCAGATCATTTGTGTGCTTGGCGTTCCACGCGACAGTTACATAACTTGCAATGCGTAGAAGGCACACTGATGTTCAGCCCTTCGTCCCTGACCTCCTTCCACCTGGAAGGCGTGAAGCTAAAGGGTGATGGCTTTATGGCGTCACGGTATGTTCAGCTGCGCAGCTAAGGTAAATCTTTAATGTCACATGTCCGAGGCCATGTCTGTTCCCACGGCTTCGGGGAAGCTCTGACAGGTCACGGGGTTGCAGCAAAGTTGCAGCCGGGTTGCTGCAAGGTTGCAGCGCTTCTGCGTTGTTGTAGCGGATTGGCCAAAATGGCATGTTATGATTCTGATACGTGCGGTGCTGATGCTCGGAGGCCTCGTAGGTTGTCTCCCATGCAAACCAGTGCTTCTGCTGATGGTTCAGGACTCAGCGAAAGGTTGAAGCGGCTCGATGGCGAGATACAGATGTCGATTGCGCGTGCTGTTAAACTTAGGCCTGTCTCCAATCTCAGCGACCGGTCAAGGCATCATGCTACGGGAGCAGTCTGGATGTACGTGAAAATCAGGAAACCAATGTCAAGGGGCCGAGTTTCGGAATGGTGAAGCAGACTCAGTACTTGATACGGTTCACAGGCTTAGGCTGGGCTCGGGAGGAGCTGTTGACATGCCAACAGACAGCGTAGGCATGCGTAAGCTGCTCAACAGCAGCGTCCGAATCCGAATCCTTGTCAAGTCATTTGTCAGGGACTTGAACTTGTTCATTCCGTTGAAGACTTGAATGTTTGTGTATTGGGGTATATATGGTATAAGTCGCTGAGTCGTTCTCATTGTCAAAGATGGCTTCAGCACATGCGGGAGCAATCGCGCACAACTCAAGGTATTTAAAGCAAGATCGCAGCACATGCGCTCGTTTGGCTCGGGGTCCCCAGCTTGAACATGCATTAAACAAACGATGCAATGCATAAGCTCGAAATAAGATTGGATCATGTTGATTTTTGGCTCGGACGTCGTAGCCAGAGCAAATTGCATCAAGCGTGGCGGAGCCCAGAATGACGCGACTGTGCAGACAAGATCCATCAAGATTGTTTGCTTTTGCTTGGGGGTCACTGTATTTCAGATGAACAGCACAGGTGCACACGTTTTCTTTGGCAAGCAAAGTCGCAAGAGATTTCCTCGTTTGGGGGTTCAGATCTCCCGACTTTAAATGAGCCCCGCAAGCTTCTGTTCACGAGTTTGGGGCGTGCTCACCTTCTACCTTCCAGACCAACCGGGAAACATATCAAAATTTAAAGACATGTGCTTTTGGGTTGGGTGTTCTATTGCAGTTGCACGAGAGTGGGCTCAGTGCCTTATTCCCATCAGAGCTTCAGTAAACGCCGCATTTTCACACCTTCCAAATCAGATCATGCAACTGCAGGTTGTAGGTTCAGACTGCCAACGTATCTTTTCACAGCTGGCTTACTCATGCATGCAGCATGCATGCAGCATGCAGGCCGATCCCGATCATTTTCAGCAGCTGACAATCTGTCTCCCAGCTCAGCAGTTCCCACGCGCCTCGCATTTATGAGCCTGCATTTCTTGGCACAAGGTTGTCACCCAGTGGTTTCAGCACCTTGCGGGACAGCAAGGCAGGCTGGACAGGGGCTTTGCAGCTCCTGCATCATTTCATGATGAAGGTGAGCTGGTCTGCCACATTGCCAGCAGGACAGTCGGATCCTTACAGAGAGTCGTTTCATGAGACATGAGGCATTTTCACTGATGCTTGCATCATCTTGCATCATGTGAGTTTCTCTTTTCTGAAGACTGACCGAGCAGGCTTGACGCAGATGATGTGTCCAAGCTGCATTTGACGTATTCTTCTCCCTTGCTCTCTACGTGTTCTTCTCGTGTTCTTCTCCGTTTTCTCTTCTCAGCTTGGCCTGGCTGAGGCAGAAGGGGGTGAGAGCCTCCGCCGCAGGCTTAGAGCAGGAGGTGATCATTCTTTAGTTCGGACATGGTGAAAACTTGGGTTGTTCATGCAATGTCATGGTGTTGGTTCGCAAGGCATATCGAAGAGGGCCGGGTGCCTTAGGGACATGACAACCCTTGAGCCATCCAGATTTTCATGAATTTTGTTTTTACTCAGGCAAGCACGACGCCGTTGCTGCCTGAAGCTGGTGCGCCAATCGTAGTCATAATCGCAATCGTCAGTGCTCGTATTCCTCGCGGTTGCGTGGTGTGAATGTTCTGGATTTTTGACAAGGAGCCTCTGCACGGCCATCAATCTGGCCATTTGCTCGGTAAGTTTCAGTGCCTCTCTACACTGCTGCGTGGTTGATCCTGCATTCGAGTTTGACATGGCCAATAGCCGCAGGTCACGTGCGCACGATGGTCATCGAGTTGTCCAGGCTCCCAGCATGGAGGAGGACCGCACTTGCTGCACTTGCTTGTCTCCAGGTCATTTTGGTTTCAGCATATTCTTGCAACTTCTTGCAACAGATGCTTGCTCTACAGCGGGCTGGCCAGCGAATCCTTCAAACTCTGGAGGTGGGCTCGTGGAACATCATGGAACATCGTGGAACATCATGGAACACGAGTGAAATCTGAGTTGCGCTGAGTGACTGAGTGAGAATCCCGCCTTGCAGAGCGTGATTGCCAGGACAAACGTGGGGCGGCTGCAAAGTGGAGCCGTGGCCTCTGTGGAAACATCCGGACAGAGTTTGCACGTTGAAGTCAACATCATAAGTCCTCTGCCATGTCACCCGCCTTGATTTCGATAACCTGACCTCAACTCTCGGGATTGATCATGATTGATCCATGTTGTACATGTGTTTATATATCATTACATGTCTGACCATCATGCTTGGAGGCTTGCAAAGGCCTTGCCGCAAGTGTGAAAGCTGAACACAGGCCCCAAGAGTTGCAAGACTCCGCTCGAGCAGGGGGAGGCACTGGTTGACGGTACACCTGATTTGACATGCCGCTTTACAGGCCTGCTAGGCAATAGGTGGTCTTGCCACAGCTTTGACCCAGTTTGCAGGATATGCTGCTGGAGCAGGTAACATTAGACAAACGAGAGCGCATTGTGAGACTGGCGCTGAACTCAACAACTCAGTCTGTCCGTTTCGACGAGCATTTACTTTTGACAGTTCCGAAAGTTCCCAGGTGAAGTCAAAGTCGAATCCATCTGATCCCTTCAGGACAGCATGTTTCTGTAGCATTTGAGTTGAAGTGTTTGAGCAGGACATAGCAGGACTGCAGTTTTCTCTGCTATTTTTCTGATTGTTGCATGTCGTTTGGAGCATTCGCATGTCAGGGGACATATTGCCCAGAACATCAAGCTGCGGTTAGAGCAGGCCAACAATGACTCGACTGAGGCAGGCTCTGTTCCCCCGCCAGACATCGCCAGACTGTGAGCGGATCAGACATCTTGGACAGGGCCTCGCCATCAACCAACGGTGTTTGAACATTCGCAAGCAGCTGGCGATGGTCTCAGTTGCGAAGCGCATGTGTTGAAGACTGCCTTTGGTTGTATTGAGCGTTCGTCGGTGCAGGCAGGCATGGTGAATGCTCGGAAGGAATTGGCATCACTGCGGGCAAAGGCAGTGCGAATCGATCATTGGCGTCCTTTCCGTTGTGTTTGGTGTGCTGTCTTCATCTGTCTTCCAGGTCCATATCTTGATGGAGGCAAGGTTGCCGTGGTCGTGGTGAGAAACAGATGCGATGCATCTTGTCATCTGCGGGAGGAGCCTCTTCTCCCCAAGTTGATTCTGGACTCCTACGGTATTTTTGGTGAGTTCACTGATTTAAGAGATTCGTAGTGGCAGCTGTTTTGCATGCTGTCTACTCCGCACCATCCTTCTTTGAAAGAAGGCTTGGCTCTGCGATTATGATTATGAAGTGGAGTGCTCAAGCACTGCTCGACTTGTAGTTTTTTTAGGCCCTTTAAGGGGCATAGGGACAGAATTTAGCCAACCAAGACAGGTCTCCCTTAAGGGAGCAGCTCTCAACAAGAAAGCAGCACCCTATCGAGCGAAGTCTCATCACACCTTCAAGAGTTCCTTTGCTCGGAGAATCTCGGAGACTGCCGACGGCCGTTTCTGGCTCTAAAGCTGGGCCTCGGTTCAGCTCTTGCGATCTCTGCCGGAAGCTTAGGTGGTGGCTTTCTTGAGCCCGGTGGAGCTTCAACCCGAGCAACCTGTTACATGATGTTACATGCATGCAGAATACTTGAAATCTTAGCGGAACGAACCTTCGGAACCTCCGAGAGGAAGCATCGTGAAGCTTTGTTAAGTGCCTGTGAGGACCACCATGGTCGGCAAAGGTATCCTCTTTGCTGGTCTGCTGGCGTATGCAGGAGCTTCGATGTACATGCAGGTCGTTTTCATTGTGCAAGCTCGTTCATTCAACCATGGAAGCCTCGGGTGGTTGTCGCGCGAGTCTCGAAAGCCACATGTCTGGGGCCTGACACGGGTTTGGTGGACTGATGGACATCGAAGTGCAAGACGGTTTTCAGAAAGGGCAGGGCGATCTGCTTGCCATTTAATATGGGAATATAGGGGGCCGCACAATCGCTGGATCTAATATCTAAAGACGTGTAAAGGCATGCAATGGTGTGACGTGGTGTGAAGTCACGAGTCACGATTGCTTGCTTTGTGAGGAGCAGGGGACAGTTGCGTCAAGGAGTTTTCGACGTACTATGATGACTCCGTGCCACCAGTGGCAGCAGCCCCGGCCCATGTCAAGATTCATTTGTATCTTGTCAGTACCAGGCCAGGTCGATGGCTTAAGATGTTTAAGAATCTTCAAGACTGTGTGCAACACTGCTCATTTGATCATGATTGTTGCATCGGAATGATGCTGATGATGCTTTGATCAGCGCGCAGGACGTTGGATATTCGGGCTCTAGCCAGGAATGCCAGTCAGCATGAACCTCAGTCTGTGTTTTTTAAATTGGTTGTTTGGTCGTTGATGATGTTTTTTTTTGTCCTTTTCGCGGGGGGGGGGGGGGGGGGCAGGCTTTTTAGGCCTCGTGGCTCCTAAACAAAGACGACCGAGAGGGATCGAGAGGGTTCCTAGCAAATACAAGGAAAAAGTCGGCCCGTAGGCTTAAGACAAGCAAATGCCCGGCAAGTCCCATCACCTTGGCAAGAACATTCTTGTTCTCATCATCCCACGGTTTGCGACAGGGGAGGCAGCAACCCACCCCGCCCCTCCAACCCCGCATTTCTTTGGCTGCCCTTTGGCAACACACGACCTGTCCTTATCGGAGGGCTTTCTGTTTAAGTTTCAAATGTTTGCCTTTTTTGGGTCGGGGATCTGACGAAAGCAAAGAGGTATTAGAAGTTGTCTATCAAGATATCGACGTGATAGAGGCTTCCGATGAACATATTTCAGGAAATTGTGATTTCCCTTTCCTTCACTTCTCGAGGGAATGCGTGTTTTTGTAATTGCAGACTCCGACTCCTGCCCCACGCTCCCAAAAAGACAGCTATGCAAAGCTCCAGAGATGCAAGCGACAAATCCTGCCATATGTCCACACTTGTTCCGCCAAGATGTGCCAAGGCCTGTTCCAAGAACGCTGGCTGCGATGCAACTGCCTCATGGCGTGAAGAAATCTCAAGAATAAAGCCTCATTTGGCATTTGCAGGCCTGGACCTACCTGGATGACTCCAAAGTCTGCTGGCAGCTTCCGATGACGGCGCAGGCTTCGATCGAATCGCACCTGTTGTGCCATGTTGCGCCGTGTTGATCGCATGGCCATGGGACCACCTCTGCAGCTGGTGCTCATTGGCAATCCTCATGGCACCAGTGGTCTCAAGAACTGTGCGCTGCAGTCCAAGCACTCAAAAAGCACTCAGCAAGCACTCCAAGCACGTGCCTTTACCGATGAGAAGGGTCATCCTTTGCGTTCCTTTGATCCGAGGCCAGTAACCTTGCCTGTTCAGGCCCGGCACGGCGCTTCACAGTTCCAATATGTTCCAATCTTCTCCTTTTTTGAGAGCTATAGCACAAGTTGGCAGAATGGGCAGGCTCCGGCGACGAATGCCGCAGTGACTGCGGCACCTTTGTCATTCCAAGGACACATGATGATCATGTCACGCGGAGTAGAGGGTCTTTTTGACATTTTGTTTGCAAGTATCCAGGGGAGTTGCGGCCGAAGTGCTCCTTCCGTGGAAAAGCACTTCGCGATCCAAGCGTTCAGGCTTGGAGTTCTGAGTGTCACGAGAGGTCACGAGTTTTCAAAGGTCGAGAATCCTTTGCTGGGAGTTTATCGGAAGACACATCGCTTAGCCATAATTGTGCAGCCAGGCACCTGTGATGATGGCATCGCCGTTGGACTGTCAGTCAGCCTGTACCACACAACCGACCTGCCAGCAGTGGACCTTCTACAACAACACTGGTGGATGCTGGCTCCAGAGCGCCAATGCGACCGAGTTCGCAAGCGAATTTGCCGTCAGCGGGCCAAGGCTTTGCACCGAACCTGTTGAAAGCAGCCCGTATGAGGCTGGCCACAACATCACACGATCTGGGCAACGTGTCATGATGAGGTCGATACCTCGACCCAATTGCTCCAACCGTGGCCAGGCATATCATCACCCAACGATACGGACACCCACCGGTGCATTTGTTGCGGATGCCAAGGTGTGTCAGCTCGCTTGCCAAGCTCAGCCAAGCTGTAGCAAGTTCACTTACTACATTGACTCGAAAGCTTGCTGGCTGCTGGACGACAATGTCACCACCTTTGAGAGTGTGATGGCTATCAGTGGGCCCAAAGCATGCGCGGAGCCAATTGCAGTGCAGCCTGCAGCTCGGGTGATCCTGGATGCCCAGATCCTCGCGCGCCTGCCAGCAAAGGCAGTCGGTAGCGGCGCTTGAAAGATTCGAGGCAAGACTGTCTCCAGTGACAGGTTGAACTGCAGCCGCCGTCGCAGTGGAGGCCGATTGCATGAGATTGGTTGTATTGACAGCGCACGCCTTGCACCTGCACTGTTGCATTGCAGTGTAAAATCGAATGTTTATGTTCGCATTAGCGTTCTTCTTGTTCTTGATGTATGCGCTTTTGATGCTTAGACGACGAGCGGCAAGTGACATGGACAGGCTGACATCGACCAGCCTTGTCCTGGCACATGTCCAAGAGATGTCAGACTTGCCCTGCTTATGCGCTACATATATCCTTTGCACCTTGACTCTCAGATGGGTCCTGAGATCGTCCGAGGCCTCGGGTTTCTTTGTTTTGGCCACGGTCGGTCGTCTGCTGCAGGCGCTGGGTGCATAAAGCATCATAGCACGCAGCCTTCCAGTCTTGGCTCTGTTGGGCTCGGCATGGCGAAGCCCACGCAGGCTAGCACCTGGGCTGACAGGTGCGCTTCATGTAGAGGGCGAGCAGGGAGGGTGCAACCAGATAGGTGTTCATGGCCATTTATTGCCCTGATGGCCAGGGGCAGCCGAGTGTCCGATCTCTCGCCTCTGGAGACTGCTTTGTTGTACTTTTGTTGTCATCGTGGCCTTGTTGCTTTGGCAGGGGTAGCAAGCTGTTTCACTTTCCCCTGAAAATAGCATCGTCTTGTGAGGACCCCGGTCACTCATCGACAGACGAGGCCTCCCCATGAAACGTCAACAGTTTCAACATTATCCCACAGCGAGCGGCAAGCACAAGTTTCGTGTACTGGGCCTGGAGAATCCTGGAGAGGTTTGACGAATTCCAGGCCAAGAGCACCTCTGTCGCGCCGGCCCTCAAGCCATCTCCCTGCTCTGGGCACAAGGCACTGTTGGCACCTTGCAGTCGGTCCATGTAGGTCCCATGAGCACAGAAAGCATTGTGAAAGCTCTGTGGCCTGCTGCCTGAAACTGTCAAGAGTCGTAATCATGGCGAAGGGGGCAAAGGGGGCAAACCGGGGTAAAGAGGGTCCATCTCTCGGAAGTTCGAATCTTTGCCAGGATGCAAGGGAAACATCCCTTGTCACTTTGAGGCAATGTCGGAGCAATACATGCTCTGTCGTGGTTTGCTTGGGAACTGGTGCAACCTAGACTCAGCACAAAGCTGCTGCTGTGATCAAAAGAGCTGTGTGGAATCGTGTCAGGCACAGTTATAAAGGCTTTTTGAGACTGCAAATGCCATTTGACCATACTTGATCCCTGTGCAGCGCCTGGCCCGAGACCAAAGGAGAGGGTCATGTGGCGCGGAGCCCCCTCCTGTACGGTGCGGGCCTTTCAACCCACGTGTCAAACCGAGTCTTGACAATATGACAGTTTCTGATCAAGGCATCAACAAACGTGCTCTAATGTGCTCTTTGACGTGCTCAGGTCAGCCTTGACGCAGGCCCCCGGCCTCTCCGAATTGGATGGAGGTGACGGGCAGTAGATAGGACAGTAGGTAGGAGCCGCAATGCAACAGTGTTGGCACAATGTGGCACAATGTCTCACTGATACGGATTCGACACAGCCTCATATGGTCATAATAAGGTAATGCTCCAGAATCTGCGTTTAGTGCACACCACTATAACGATGGGCAAACACAGACAGACAAGTGAGATGAGACACACATAGACACACATTGCCAAACCTTACACCCTAAACCATAAACGTCATGTCATGTGATGTCATGTCATGACATGCGCTTCTTTTAGGTGGTACCTTGCCTCTTTTGTGCCTCACCGTGTGACCCTTCACTGCGCTTCGCAGTGTGAGGCCGGTCCGTCATTGAATGAGGTCAACAAACGTGTTGAAGCATGTTGAAGCGTTGAGCGGAGGTGCGGCAGTCATGGCGCCGCACATCCACATGACAGAACTTGAGCAGCGGTGGCTTCCTCATGCTTCCTCAGTTTTCTCCAATATCAACGTGCTCCTTCTTTCAAGCCGAGGCGAATTCTCCAACAGAGGACGCTGCATGGTCGCAGACTCGATCCGAACAGAGCCGTTGCTGCCCAGATCCGCCTTAGCTTAGTGTCCCTCTTCCACTTTTAGGTCACCGCTGCCGGATGACCTTCTACGATGCCTACCTGGCCAGACACATCAATGTAGCGAGCGTGTGAAATTTGGAAGCCAATCTTTGCAGGATGTGCTTGACAAAGCCAAACAAGATGCAAAGTACTGGGCAGCCTGCGGCCAACGTGTCTCGGGCCTCTTGACGCTCCTGCTGTGCCACACGGTCTGAGGCCACAGTGCATGGCAAGGACCTGCGACTCGTGAAAGTTTCCTGCGGCTTCTTCAGAGAGGAGCGCCGAGAGACTCATGCGGCTCATTTGGATCTCATTCCCTCTGCAGTTTCCTGCAGCTCTTGAGTTCTTGAGATTTCCTGAGATCTCTTCTGAGGAGATCCCCATGTTTGAACGAGTTCGATACCGAATGCTGTGGCTCGTGGAGTGGAGGCCCACCGCTGTGAAGGCTGTAACGAAAAAGCCTCATGGTGTCTGAGAATGAGTGCCGCGGGACTACCGCACTCACGGATGCCAGTGTTTTCGAGAATTTCGTCATCATTCTGATCATTTGCAATGCTCTCGTGGCCTCTGCCAGTCTTGTGAGTTGTGCTGTTGACACAGTGTTGACAGTGCATTGAACATATTGAACAGTTGCTGAACTGAAATCTGTCGAAGTCAAGCCCAGCACACCAAGGAAGCAGTGCCCACCACCGTGACCCCCGGCGACCCCAAGCAAGTCCGCGTGGCCAGGTCATGGCTCATCCCGTGGCATACGATGAAGCGAGTCAGCCCAGAGGCCAAGATTCGGTGTGGCCGGTGTTTCTTGTTGACTTGCACGATGCTGCATGTCTACACAGACGTGCTGAGCATGCAGCAGACAGCTGCTCCTTGCAGGCGTCCAGAACACGTATTTCGTCTTCGAGACCTTGGTCTCTGTGGCCTGGCAGAAGACTGGGAACACAAAACAGATTTGAACCGTTCAAGCCGAGACAATCCATGTTGGTGGTCTTTTCGAGTCCAAGATTACATTCTTTCAATGCTTCTCGATGATGTAACTTCTGGGCGCCGGGGCGGCCAAGCAGAGTCGCAAGAACGCCGGCCCCCGCCGAGGGTTTTGCAACGTGTTGCACACGCTCTCAACAGAAAGGATCAACTAACCGCTAGGGCTGCAAGATGCTGCAAGCAGAGATGTCTGGAGATTGCACTTGGGGCTCAATTTGGGGCGCTGCCCAGGCAGTGTTCACTATCGAGTGCCTGTGCCGAATCATTGCCCAGGGCCTTTTCTTCGGCCGAGGCCTCAGGCTCTGAACCAGAGAGCCTCCGAAGAATTCTTCGAGATATGGAAATTTGGCTGGACCATGCTGGACCTTAAGCGGCTTAAGCGTCACAGTCACAGGTGACGCGCCGAACCCGTGCTACTTGAAGGAGCCTTCAAACTGGATAGACATGATAGTCGCCCGGCTCTCAGGAGGTCTCAAGACACCATGAAGCCCGTGTGCTTTGTGTGCTAGACTCTACTCGAAATGTACGTGTAGTGCATGCCAGCGCATGCCACAGCGCTTGCGGGTGCATGCCACAGACCTCCATACCTGCCAGGTCATTTTCACATTTGTCGAGCCTTTTGCAGCAGAAGCTGGGGCCTCATGCCTATGTCCTGTGTGTTTTATGCATGGAGGGTTCGGCAATTGGGCAGGGCTGATGCGCTAGTACAAGTTGGAACGTGGCCACAATCCATGAAGGCTTGAGATGCACTCGTGAACGGCTAGCTGTTTACGACCGTGTATGCTAGACCGACCTCTCCAATAATCGCTAAAAACATCGAAGGTGTTTTTGCCCTCTCTCGAAATGCTATTACCATCCCCAAGGGAAGGGAGCTAAAGCATGAGAACACCACAGGCAGAGAAGGCCTACCCCAGAAGGAGCTAATTGTATATGTTTCAGCCCAGGAAGGGCTAAACAATCACTCTTGAATTTGCTGCTGTCACACACATATGAGCTACATGTGCATGCAGTCAGATGTGCCACTTGTGCTATGTGCAGTTGTGATCTTACATGTGCAGAGCTACATGTTCACTGGCATTCCTTTCTGGGGAGGGGGCGCTAAACGGCAACAACGCCCGTGGCCATTGTGGCAAGGCCCCCTAAGAAAAAGGGGGGGCAAATTCAAAGTGCCCACCCTACCCACCCTGGGGGAATCCGGGACCCGAAGGGACCCGGCCTCCGAGCTATGAGTATCTGTCCACCTTCCATACAAAAGTCCGCTGAGCGAGTGCTATGTTGATTGGGCCATTTCCACGGGAGCGCGATCTGAGCTAGCTACATTGGCGCTATGCTCGTTAGGTTTCGCCATAGGGACTCCTTCCTTTCCAGGGCTAAACCCAAACAATCACTCATGTTGTGGTGCTAGGGGAGGTGGAGGGTTAGAGAGTAGGGCTAGTGTACCTTAACATCTCCTACCGTGTTTGTTTGGATGGTTTTGGTGAACTGGAAGTTTTTCTGAAAGCCCGGAAAAGTAACGTGTACGACTTGAAGATCTCGAAGTTCACGCAGTCAGGTTATTTCCGAGCAGGACCTGAGGACTATGAGAGTCCTCCGTATTTTCCGTGTCGCCGGCTTGGCGCTTCGGGGGCTGGAGTGCGAGCGTATATGACAGCGTGGCAGCATGTGGGTCCAGGCCGCTCTCATGCTCCTGTTTTATTCGCGTTTTGTGCAAGCACAATCGATGCCTCAGGTGTTCAGAGTAATCCGAGGGATGACATTCCTGCCGCGCTTGAGGAGACCGTTCGTTCTTGATGTTGTGTTCTTGTATGTTCATTGCATTGTGATGTGACTCGCAGGACCATTGTGCAGTCCCTCTCCAAGAGCGTTTTGACCTCGGTCTTTGTTGACGTTCTGCCATTCAGACCCGATCAAAACAATCATTGCAGTCATTGCTTTGTGAGTTCTTTCTGCCCCGAAGTCACCATGGAAATATCTGCCCCGCCTCACCTTTGGCGGAACATGTGTGGTGAGTGTGGTGGATGTGCATGGGTGTGTCCGGGTATGTGGTGCCAGAGGTTTTGGTGCTGTCTGTGTGTGTGTGTGTGTGTGTGGGGTGTGGCACGTGGAGGGCAAGTATTGGTGGTCATGGTGGTAGGTGGGGATGGTGGGGCTCTGGCGCCATTCGGTGGCTCGGCCGTAGAACTTGAGGTAGGGCCCGCACCGCAACGATTCACGGGTCCACAGCTTCGACCAGGTGGTTTCAAGTTTGCAAACAGCCTTTGAGTTTCCGAGTTGTACCGGCTCTGGATCTCTTCCCTGGCTATCACCTTCACCCTGATCGTGGTCAGCATGGCTGGGTGTGATACTTACTGAAGACAGCGGCTAGCGGCTTGCACGATTGAGTTCACGACATGTCTTTGCTCTGCTTCTAAGGACAGATCTCTTTGGCGATGTCTACTGGAGGCTGTTGGCTTTCTGGCTCTGTTCTGCTTCATGAGACTATGCGTGGGCGAGGCGTTGTCGGCTTTCGGACGAGCCCTACGTCTTGAATGGCACACTAGTTTGGCTGGAGCCGCAGTTCTGGCAAGAGCTGCCAGGGCTTTGTTCCTAAGTCACCGTAACGGCACCTGATTCTTACCTACTGGGGTGATCTATGGTCTCAGGCCTTTGGACCCAGATCAGCCGCGGTTCTGCGGCGGTCGGTATGAGTGTGCACGGGAGCTTAGCTTGATGTTCAACTTTCAAAAGTCGGCAAAGCAGATGTAAGGCTGGAACTCTCTTGAACGTTCTGTGTCTTGGTGATTGGCCGTTTGGGCAGATCTGCGAGAACAGTGCTCCTGACGGTAGGTTTGAATGCTATGAAACGGGTGGGGTGCAAGTGCTGTTCGGATGTTCGCAGTGTGGTCAAAACATGGAACGGCCTTGGGAACTCTTGGAGTTGGAAGTTGCGAAATCAGTGGAGCACTGGCACAGTTCGTAGCTGGGATGAGCTGGAAGACAGGCGTGATGCCACAAATGCTACAAGTTGTATCAGCTGTGGAGGCTTTGTGGAGGTCTTGTGCCATGTCTCTCGGAATGTGATGAGGGTTGGCCAGTGATACCCAGTAGAGTCCGAGCAAACCTCGCTTCAACTGGGGGAACTGAGGTGCCAACGGCATCTGGAGCTCCGACCTATTGCAGGACTCCGGTCAGGTTCTTGGTTTGGACTGTACAGTGCTCGTACCCGGAGTCCATAGGCAGCAGGTTTGTGAAAAAAGAGCGCCACGAGTCGCGTCTCTGAAGTGCAAGGTGCGCACGGACACAGGCCCACTTCCCGGCTACAATCCATGGCCCGAGCTTTTCGAGAATCCGCTGGAAGCTTGCCTACCTTGGTTGCATTTCATGGGCCAAGTGCTTGTAGGCCATAGATATCATAGATGATCCAGTGATGATCCCTTAGTGTCTGATGTGTATGTCAACATGAGAGTGTTTTGAATGGCATGCGCACCGGCCTCGAGCGGCCACCTCGCAAAGCTCAGGCAGACTATGGCTTCACTGGGTGCCCTCACTCTTCAGATGCGCCAGCGTATGTTGCACGATGTTGTATGCTGCTTCATGCTCCGTGCCGGTTACAGTCGACCACAGTGGAGGTACCAGACATTGTGGAGTGGTCTGCTGACGACCTTCCAGGTCCCATGAATCCTACTGTCGTATTGCTTAAAGCTCCCATGTGTATCCGGAAGCTTGTGCAGAGTGTCCTGGAACGCTTGAGCCACAGGTGGTGAACATCGACGGATGGAGCAGCATCATGCACCGCTTTGAGGACATGAACGTAGTTTTGTGTCGCATCATGTACCAAGTCCCTTCGCAATATCCGTGCCTTCAGTGTTTTGGCAGTACAAGAGTTTTTTTTTTGTCGCTTTGCTTTGCTTGTTGCACATCGATTGTTGCACATCGATCAGTGTCCACACTGGAGAGCAACACATGTGGCTTTCTTTTTATCGTGAGGGAAGGATTGCAGCACGTTTTTTGGTAGAATTGTGGGTTTGCTTGTGCGGTTTGCCGAGAACTTGTAAACTGGGGATCGTGCTATCTTGGATGTGGTTGCTGAAGTGGTCTTGGTCGCCCTGATCGCTGCATCGACAGCCCAGCTGTTTTTGGAGACCCTACATCATCCACAAAACCCAAATTGCAGGCTACTCAACATACTCAACCGTCGATGCGTGTCCAGTGTCTGCATTGGGATCTAGAAGAACTAGAAAGACATACCAAGAATCACGACGCGCGCTGTCTTCATTGGTTGCCGAACCTCCCACATGTACCGAGGTCCCACGAGGTTTTTAGATAGTTAATCGGCCATTCAGACACAAGTTGCGGATGCCTCACAGATGAATACAGATGAAAGGATGCGAAGTGGCCCGGCTTGACCGTCCCCTTTTTCATCCTTTTAGTGCTCTTTGGAGGCTGGCATTTGCTTTCTCCCTCCGTCAGTTCTCTAGTTCTCTAGCTCTTCTAGCTTTCACCATAAAGCTCTCAAAGGCCAGCAACTAAGCGAGAACATGCAGAGGCTTGATCCTGATGAACTTGGTGTTGGCGATACTCTGGCACAGCTTCGACACAACTGTGCAGGAGGACCCCATCACCCCATCACTCTTTTTTTCAAGTGCCAGGCGAACATTTGAACTGACACTGAGTTTTTGCCTGACGTGTCGCCAGCAGAGCTGGTGCAGGACAGGTCAGAGTTGGGGGATAGCAAATTGCAGCTGGAGGCAATCCTTGTATGGCAATCCTTGTATGCTGGATGCGGTGATTCTTGACAACGCTCTTCGGTTGCTCCAGAATGCAGGCCAAGAGAATGCATCCGAAGCCCATTATTACCCCGGATATCCAGCAGATGCCACTTCATGCCCTTGCCACGGCCTCACTGGCTTTGGATCGCAGGGTCAAGCAAATTCGAGAGGTGGAGAGTAAGCAACACCGATAGAAATGGGAGGCTACTGCGGAGGTTTGCCGAGTCCGCACAAAGTTCCGAGTTCTCAGCATGAGTCACCAAGTCTGGGCAAGGTAAGCTCGGTTCAGCAGTTGGAGGCGCATTTGCAGGTTATTGCTGATGGATTGAATTATTGCTGATTGCGAGTCAGCTGCACCGGCCTTGCAGGTTGAGCTAGCAGCTGCTCAAGCCTTTCAAGCGCTTGACACGGACCGGCAGCCATGCGGCTCTTTCTGTTTTCTTTCCCCACCCTCGGTCCCTCGGTGTGGGGTTGTTAGAGTTTAAACTCAACTCTTCTCCTCGCCCGGTCTACTCCTCGCTCATCCCTGGAGTGCACTGCACCCAGAGTGCCCGGAGTGCCCAACCCTGGAGTGCCCAACCCAGAGTATCTCTAATCGGAGAGGGCGGGGATGTTCGAAGTAAAATAGATTTGATCGTGCTTTCGTGCTTTCAGTCTTTATGTCAGCTGCCTCAGGAGTTTCGCTCGATGGGACTCAAGAACATCTGCTACAGCATGATCACCAGCCCATGGCTCGCCCGCCCATGCGCGCAGTGACGCCACAGTGACACGGAGTGCGGCACAGCATGCACAGCACGGCAGCACGCGCCTGACATAACCTGTGTTTGCTCGGTAGCTTCTGCAAGCCTGGGCAGGTTCGGGCGCGTGATGAACTTTATCATTCTCTTCAATGCGCTCTGCATGTGCTTTGACATCTATCCCCCATATGCGGCTTGTCTGCAAGGGGTTTGTCCTGATGTCCGTAGCCCACGAGGCCCCACGAGGTTTAATTCGTTTCAGCCCAAGCAAGGACGATACAGTGCTCCTGATTCTCGACAACATCAACTTTCTGTGCTCGGTCATCTTCTTTTTCGAGGCGAGGGGAGCACCGCCACAGAGCACTCGCACAGACCCAAAAGTGTGATTTGATTTTTCCAGGTGTGTATCAAGATCATGGGAGTCGGCGTATCCTTCTTCGAGGACAATGGCAACAGGCCGCATGCCTTGCTGCATACCTTGCCGCATACCTTGTTGCATGCTTTGCTCGCATTTATCCTGGAGATTCCTTGAGTGCAACCATTCCGCTAGCTCGTGCAGCTATGGGTTAGCTCCAGGTTTGATTTTCTACTCGTGATGCTCTCGGTGGTGGAGCTCTTTCTGAGTGGCGGGTCCGCGTTGCCAGGGTCTGAGCAGCCACAACATTGTGCACGTCGTCACGGCATTCCACGATTCCAATGATGATCGCGTTTGGATGCGTTTGGCCTCCCAGGTCTGCCCTGAGAACTGCGAGGCTCTTGCGCATCTTCAGAATGATCCACATGAGCATGTGCCTAGCCTCTGGACTCTTCCTTGTGGCCATTTGTGTCCAAAGGCCCCGTACCTTCTCAAGTGAAAATGCTTCATTCCGAGGAATTTCCGTATCCTCCTCATGGTCTTTCAGAAGGTGCGCACTGCTGTGCGAATTGGGAGAGCGGTGCCTTGCAGAGAGAACCTGAGATTTTTTTTCTCAAGCTTTTTTGTTATTCGCTCCACCGAAGGCAGTGACGCCGACCCTGTACTTTTCCATGATCGTCATCCTGCGGGCGCCACAGGAGAAAAAGAGGACAGCAAGAGGAGAGCAAGGTAGGAGAGCAAGGTAGGAGAGCGGGGGGATGTGCGAAAAGGGGGGACGCCGCGGCACATATTCACGCCTCTGCACTGCCCGATGTGCAAGGTTTCTATATTGCTCCTGTCTTGCTGGCCTGCAGATTTTCAACAAGGATGACGGTGCCCGGCCTAAAACTCACAGCATGCTTTACAAGCCGCCCAGCATGCACCAGTCCAGGGTGCTGCGCTGTGCCGGGAAACTGCCATGTGATGCCACGGGATGCCACGTGATGCCATGTGATGTTCGGCTCCGAGTTGCAAGTGGCAAGCTGGGCTTGGGCTTCGAGTCACTGGTTGGGTGCCCGGTGCATTGCCTCCGTAAAGCATCAACAGAGAGTTACAGTTAGAGGGGTCTCACAGAAATTGGTTGCTAAGGCCATGGGCTTTCTCACATCGCTGGCTATCTTTTCCGGAGACGGCTGGCTGGACATCACCACCCAACAGATCCAGGGCAAGGACTGCGCTGTGTCGCCCGAGAGTGTGTTTGAATCTCGGCCCAGGTGTCTTTCGTCTCGACCCAGGTTTTTTTGGTGATGACACAACTATCCTGAAGTTCATCATCGTTTCTTCTCAAACTTAAAGGCTGATACAAACGAAATCCGTGACCACAGTTGAAGGCGGCCGAAAAAGGGGCAGTTGCCGCACACCCACCAAACCAAGCCTCCATTGTTCCCTTTAAGAGCTTGAATGAAGTTGCGGGGCCTCGCAAAACCTTGAAGCCTAAAGGTCTTTGGGGTGTTGGGCCTTCAGCCCCCTAAGACCCTTTTTCGGGGAGCTCAGAGGTTGAGGGCCTCCCCTAAGCAGCCTAAGCGCTTAGTCCAAGTGCGTCAACCTTGGCGAGCACATATTGACTCGCTGAACGGGGGCACCCTGAATTAGAGCTCTGTCATGGCAAGACACTGACGAGCAACCTGGCAAGCGTCCAAGGCCTCCACCCCTCCAAGGACAAAGAAATGGAGCAAGCGAAAAAACAGCGAAAAAGCTACACCCCGACCAAGTGGTCAACAGGACAATCAGCTCTTCGGATTCTTCTACTTCTTGCTCACCTTCGCGTGCCGTCCTCTGCAAACAATCTCGGGCCGCAGCGGAGCGCTAGTTTCACCTCAACTCTTGTGTCGATGCCAGGCTGGGCAAGGCTGTCTTGAAGAATCTCTTGTTGGGCATCATCGCGGCCGAGTTCACAGTCGCACGGGACATCATGAAGCAGGCGCCCCTGGAGCCTTGCCCTGGATCATGTGGATCATGTGGCTTTCGCAGGATTTTCGGCTTCGCATGGCCATCGCTCGAGCAAAGCTTGACAAGGCAATCGATCCGTGCGTACGCTTGCTTGAGGATCAGTTGTACTCAGTTCTACGGCCTGAGTGCGGCAGTTCGCGGAAAGGGGCCGGGTGATTTGTTCATGTTCATCCTACGTCCTACGACTAGTTATACTAGTTTCATGTTCGTACATCGTATGAATTTCGTGGGCTCCGCGGGACTTTGCAGTGCATCATGTGCTGCAGTTACGCCTGATCGACGCGGCATCGGGATCCACACCAGGCAGCCGCCCAAAGAGACAAGAGTTATGCGCGGTTATGCTTCAGGGCCTTTTAGGGGGGCGTTTTGGGGCTCTGTGTTCGATGTGGTGCACTTCAGCCTTTTTGTGTTGGAGGGCGAGACAAGGAGGAAGCCGAGGCTGGATGACAAATCGAGTCATTGAGTCATGTTCCGTCTCCTTTTTTTTTCGAGGCCTCCTTTGACGCTCTTTCTTGATTCTCTTTCGAGTTTCGGACCCTCACCTCTTCACCTCGTACCGCATGCCAGTCCATGTGCGCGCCAGGACGATGTGGATGTGGCACCGGACCGCCCCGGAATCATCCAAGTAGATCCAAGTAGCAAGTCATAGCAAGTCATAGCAAGTCATAGGTCCGACTTGATGGGGCCATGTCCATGTTGGCACGGCAGGGGCTTTTCTGAGAGGAGTCGCCGCGCTGGCCACAGCAGGCTTTCAGCCGCCTCGAGGGCACGGCCGACAAGACCTGCGCCAGGCCTTTTGCCCTTTGCAGCATCTTAGCTCTCGATTCCGAGAAGCACGGCACAAAAAAGTACGACAAAACAAGTGAATGAAGAGCACAGAGAAAACAGCCTCAAGCGGCAATGACATGTGCTCTTCGGCCTTGGAGAGGAATATGGACGTCATAAAGATGATCCACGTGAAGGGCCAAGCAGCGAAGCGTCTCCAGGCACTTCGCTTCCCACATGTTCCTCTGTGTATTTCGTTGTATTATGTTGTATTTCTTTGATTGCCCACACTACGTCTCATTTTCTTTAAGTAGCAGGCAATTGGCAAGATCCACGCCATGGGGAAGAGCAAGTACAGCTGGCCAGCGCCTCTTGCGGAAGCGCGCGGGTTCTTCTTCCGGAGCTGTTCTGCGAATCTGGTCGGCTGAGAGCTCCAAACAGCAGCAGCACGGATGTGTTTGCAGATGGAGCCTTGGCGTCTTCTCGTCTTCTCCTTCTCTCTCTCTCTCTGTCTCGCGCTCTCTCTCTCTCGCTCTCTCTCTCTCTCTCTGACTCTTTCTCTTTGTTTTGCAAAGAACTTGTGAGGCCCAAGGGCGAGAGGCACCCTCCTGATCCGGGCCGAGCGCCCAAGCAAACATGCTTCAAACGGCTTCAACGAGAGCTTCAGTCTTCGATTAGGTTGTGGTGCGGTGCGGAGGTGATCTCGCATGACTGGCATAGATGATCCGGGCTGTAACCCCCCATGGTATCCCCTTCCCCCAACCCTAAACCGTAACCCTTGACCACGCCCGAACCCAAGCTCTTAGGGGTTGTGGTGTGGCTGTAGGTTTTAGGTATGAGGGTTTATGATCTAGGTCCCCCCTCCCCCCCCCCCCCTTCCCCCCCCCCCCTCCCCCGCCCCCCCTCCCCCCTGCCAGATGCCTGACCATAAAAAATGCAGAACTACCGTGATGCTTGGACCGAGGCATGACGGATGTGGAGGCTGGTTACGCAGAGTTTTTGACGAGGGTCCACATTGGCACGAGCCTGCCCTGAACTCACCATCGTGCAGTCTTCGTAGAAGATTCTGGGTTTCAGTGGCCATGTCCGCCTGAGAATCTAGCATGGTGCTGCTTTCGTTCATCTCCTCAGACAGAAGATATGCAGCGTTGGCCCTGATAAGCTCGGACCGTCTTGTCCGTTTCGACGAACACGCTGCTGTGGAGCTTTTCTGGGCCCCGTCGATTGTCACAACAGATTGTTGCAGGCCATGTTCCACAGCTCGGTGGAGATGCAAAGTGCTAGCTGCCCGGTTGTTGCCCGGTTTTGCCCGGTTGTTGCCCGAGTGTTCTCATCCTTGGAAGCATCGCCTTGCTGAGGATGCGCTGCACCGGGCTGCACCACCCGAGGAGCACAGCTTTGCGCCATTTTGCGCTTCGAATGGTCGAAGTTGTTGCAACTCCGTTCTTGCAGTCGCCTGGCATGCTCCGGCTGCAGCGTGAAGCTTATCACGGGGCAGCCCCCCCCGATGAACCTGAGGCGGAGTGCGGCAACGAGCGTAACGTGGCGTAAGGGAGCTGATGCTTCATTTGGCAGGCTGCTGTCGATGCGATGGCTGGATCAGAGACAGGTTTGCTGGCTGTATTAGAGACAGGCTTGCTTGTGTCGAGAATCGGGTAGGGACATGGACTCCTATTCGTCCAAGCTCCTTGAGTGCCGGACGTCCCCCTATTCAGGCTTCATCTGCATCCAGGTCGAATCTGCGACATGCTCAGTGTGTCTCAGTCTTCAGTTCATTGGACACAGGGCACAGGCCATTAACAAGTCCTGCACAGGCCGGCATTTCTGACCCCAAGAAAGCCAAAGAACAAGTCCAGGCCAGGGATTCCACGCGTTCTCACAGCTTGCGTTGTGCTTTCTGTTCAAAGAGTCACTGTGTCATTTGCAGGTATGCTCCGCGCCGAGGCATGAGAACAAAGGGCTTTCTGGGCATGCCAGAGCGATGGGGAGTGTGACCTGTCCATCCTTTGCCCCGCATTCAACGAAATTCTGACGAAGGGAACACCTGGCAGCCTTCGACCGTCCAGGCCGCTGTGCTGATTGTGTTGTGAGTAGGTCTGAGCCCGTTTCCATGGGGCAAAAACATGATTTTTTCTACACATCACTGTTGAGGCTCTTCCGAGCCAATGCAGCCTTTCACCTGCTTGCCAGTGCAGGCTTCAGGCTTCCCATGGCTTCCCAGTTCCCTTGAAAGTGTGCTTTTTCCATGAAATCTGGTGACTCTTGGCTACGTGGCAAACTGAGGTCTGGGATCTTGAGCCCATTGAGCTCTCCACTTATTCCACTTGCGGTCGGAAGGTGAGTGGCCTGCAATGACTCTGTGGATCTCGGCGATGCGCACATCTTCCTACGCTGAGATGCAACCATACGCAGGAGACATTTGTGGAAAGCTACCGACGGGCTCGAGCAGCACGGGCAGGCCGTTCCCGTAGAGCATCGTAGGCTCAGCTTTCAGACATGATCTGGTCCGATTGATGGGAGTATATGGGAATGGTCAGGCTTGCAGGAGGACACTGAGCTAAGCTCGGCGTCCACGGCGTGCACGGCACGGGTGCGGGCCCAAAATCCGTCACATCCGTCCAACATCCTCATTCTCTCGCCTTTGACTCAAAGGCATATGTCCCACGAGACGTAGAAGCACCACGGCGACGTGTGGCGCCTGCCGCTCAGACGGGCTTACAATGGGCTTACCAAGGCCAAGATGGAACTGTAGGACACACATGCACAGCAGAATGTTTTATTTAGGGCTAGGTTCCTCAATCAAAAGAAGGTGCCTTGCTTGCGGCTGGGACTCCCAGGTGTCGTGAGAACGTGCTGCATTGGACTATGCCTCCGCAGCGGAAGGATTCAGACACATTCATACTCTCTGCTGTGTGTCTTTGTGCATCAGCTCAGTGTCGCTTTAAGCCTAACCGTTCATAACCGATCCAACTCACCCTGCGTTCTGTGCACCAAAGATTCCCCTAGGCTTCCCCAATCTTGGCTCCCAGCAAAAGCTTCCGCCTGCCTTGTCCAGGAGGTCAAGCTGGAAGAGTGGCAGCCTTATTTGTATCGTGCAAAGCAAACTATGTAACTATGTAACTTTGTGCTTCGCCAACTCTACAATTTCATAGAGCTAAGTGCGAAGGACGCCGCAAGTCATAGGCGAGGAGGTCCTGCTGTCGCAGCTGGAGGCCAACCCGAGTAGTGGCGATGGGCGGTTTCGCTGCCAGAGCTTGCTTTCTCACAGCCTGAGTTGCAAGTAATGGGTACATTGCCAGAGCATGGCTTCCGATCATCCGTATATCCAGCTTCAAATCCATGGGGGTGTGCAACTGTCTTGTCTCAGTCCCTTGCAATACATGCACCAAGCAAGCGTGCTAGCGAGTATTGAGTGCTTCAAGAGCTACTGCGTCGGAGGACCTGCCGGACGACGAGCCTGTTTTTCATCGCGAAGCCCTGACGTCCGCAACAAGGACAGATGCACATTGTGAACAAATTGAACAAGTCTTGCGAAAGGTTTTTGAGCTGATGCGGGCTTCAACACTGGCCCCGACAGGAACGGCGCCCCTCCGCCGGATGACAAACCATCGATCACCGAAACTTGGTGGTTGCTCAGAGATTCAGAGGGAACATAGTGGGAATAGAGGGCGAGTAGGGGTTAACATGGGCCACTGAAGTGATTTGCATCGCATGTGGTGGTGGGAAGCATGCTGGAAGTTACCCTTCCAAGATTCGAAGAATGTGCATGGTGTGACATGTTTGCCAAGGAACTGCTTCGAGGCTGCGCGGGCCCTGCAGCAAGAATGGCTTGGTTTGCCCGAATCAAGTCTTAAGAATGTAAGCTATGTAAGGCATCAGAAACATCTGTGCAAGCCAAGCCAGGAGATCCAGGAGAGATGAGAGCATTGAGGCTTTGAGCTTCGGACAGCATGGTAACTGTCCAGCCCAGGTGCACGGAGCATCATGCGCTCACATGGCTTTGAGCCTGCCGGCTCCTTAAGCTGCCACTACTTGACACTGATTGAAGTGGTGGCTTCTGAATGCTCATGACCTTTGCGTGGACAGATGTTCGGCAGCTTAGATCGTCATGTTCGTCATCTGCCTGTCCTCCGTTTCTCTGGCCTTTGAGAGCCCGTTCTCAGACCCCAATTCGGAGGCCGATTGGTGCTTTCGCAGCTTTGCCTTAAGAAACCTTGAGCATCTGGATCTGGATGCATTCTGTGTTAGATGTTCGGCCACGCCATGGCACCAGTCCAGGTGGCATACTTGCAGATGGTCATCGACCGGGCACCGCAGCCATGTAGAACATGACTGGGACATGAGCAAAAGGGAAGCCTCCAGACATGCAGATCATGCAGCGGTCAATGATGGTCAATGCAGTGTCAATGCCAGTTTTCCGTTATGGTGATGCTCCTGGAGATGTTTGTTCGAATGATGGTCATGGGGCTGTGGAAGTACGGGGCTCACAGTGCAGGTGCCTGCTTTAGGGCTCAGCGACTTGAGAAGAGATGCACTGCAATGCACACTTCAATGTACACTTCAATGCACACCGCGGGGAACATGTGGAAAACCGCTTGGGAACGATTTCAGAGTTGCTCAGATGTGTGTCAGCTTTCAGGCATCCCAGCGAGTGTGGGCCCGGTGAGCTGCTGGCACCTCAAATGGGCAAGGGATGCTTGGAGCATCTTGGAGCCCGACGAGGATTCGGTTCGTTGAAGACGCAGGCCCGGCTACTTCCGTGTGCCCTGGCACGTTCTAGATTTCGCCTGGCCCCTGTGTGCGATTCAGATGCAGACTGTCAGACCTTGGTGATTGTGGCAAGGGTCAGTGCTTGTCGGATCTTGTGGGTACACTGGAGGTCATCTGCCTGGGTGGATTGACGTACTTGATCGCCGAGATGTTTGTCCCGGCCTTGACTAACAAAGCTTGAGCAGCGGTGCTGTGATGGACAAGGGCCAAACGGCCGAACAAAGACAGAACTCAGAAATGTTCAGAACATTCTCATTCGCCTTTTCACCTTTGCCGCCTTTGCCATTCCAATGCTCAGGCCGCAGGCTTGGCGGAGCTGCGGTCTGTGCAGATCCTGAGCTTGGACAGTGTGCATGTAGGCATGAGGCCAGTAAATCAGTCATTAAGCACTAACGCGTTCCAGGTGCGTGCGCTGAAGATGATTTCAATGCTTCGGCCCCTGCGACTGATTGGAAAGACAAGCTCAGTCCGGCTGATCATCGAGGCCGCTCTGTCAGGTGATGTTCTCTGCATGTTCACTGCATGTCTTTGCACTCCGCAGAAGAGCCTGACTTGCCAGTCGCTGCTTGCAGCCATTCCCACGCTCATCAACATGGCCTGCCTGCCATGCTTCTCGTTGCTGGCAGAACACAGTATTATTTATGCATTCTGTGGAATGGCAGACAATGGTAAGTGCTCTCTTCTACCTCGGCTTCGCTCTGCTCTTTGTCGGCTTCTTCAAAGGTTCCTCGGCGAGCATGGAATTATGGCATTGCTTCATGATCCTAGTGTTCGTCGCAGGTGCACTATATCATTGTTCTCTTGATCCTCAAGGAGTTTGTGTCAACGACGCATTGCTGTTGTTTGCGAAAGACAATAGCGACTTGACCAGGAGATCTCATGCCAGAGATCGTGACAAAAAAAGATTGCTTGAAAGCAGGCCTTCATCCACGTATCTGATGTACCTGCTCTTCTTTCCTTTGTTTTAGAACATTCGAGGGGGCGAGTGGATCAACAGCGAGTCCCACTTTGACGCCGTCACGTACTCCTTGGTGTGCCCGTGCTGTTTGACACTGTTTGACACATACGCGATGCAATAGTGCAGCCATCAAAAGCTTTTCTTCCGCAGAGTAGGGTCGTTTATTTGTAATTTGAGCACCGTGAAACCTCAGAAGCTAGCGTCTGTTCAGGAAACCAGGATTCAAGAAACCAGGGTTTCAGACGATTCTGGACACTGCCCGAAATAGCAGGAAACCGCGGAAACCAGGCGATTCAGGAGGTTGCCCGATTCAAGAGACTTACCGATTCAAGAGACGACCAGAATCAGGAAGGGTGGGGTGGTGGGGTGGTTGGTGGTGGTTGGGGGCGGGCAGGTGGGGGTGGCGGGGATGTCGCTTTGGACATCTTTTCTTGCTTCAAATCGCGATCTTGCAGGCATGAGTTTGACAAGAAACTACTTTCCGAGGGTATCGGACAGGTGGGGGGGCGAGGGGCAGGGGGTGTATCCGTGTCTGTGCACGTCAATGTGCATCGCAAACATCGCAAACTAGTGGACTTCCACCCTTCAGGCAGCAGCCGAAAGACTAGTGGTTAGTTTTGGTACGAGTGCAGGTCTCCGCACATTCCTAGTTGTACTATGTCGTACCCACAGCAGCCTTCAAATCACAAGAACCACAGTCAAGCGATGGAAGCAATGTCAGATGTTACACTGCCCCCGCGTGATTTGGTTTTGCAGGTTGCATTGTTGCACATCGGTTCGGGGGAGGGCTGGATCGACGTCACCCTGAACATTATCGGGGCGCAAGGCGCGCACAGGCCCAAATGGATGTGAAGAGGCATGACATGGATGCAGGCGTGGAATTGCAGCCGGCTCCTCATTTGCTTTCACCCGTCCGCGCAAGACTTCTTTGGCACATTCGGCACATTCGGCACCCGTGAGACTTGTGATCTCTTTGGCTTGGCATTCTATCGATTTCTTTCGCATGTCTCTGCAGGCCGAGACCAAAGAGCAAGGTAGAGCAGGCGATCCCAGTGGTGATCTTCATGGTCCCTTGGTTCGATGGGCAATGATCGGCACCTTTCTCAACTCCTCAGACGCTCTTCTAATCCTACTCTGAATGCGGACATTTGCCGATCTGTCTGGCCCTCCTCGGCTGTAAAGCGACGAGGAAGAAGTCCTGTGAGCATGCGTTTCGTTTGTCACTTTAGATCAGCAGCAACATCACAGGGTCAGGAGATATCAGCCAACCTGTTGCCCAAAGATGGATCCAAGGCTTTGACCAACTTCTTCCTCTTGTCAGCCGGTCTCGTGTTTGACAATGGCATGTCATGGCCTAGCCTACCATGGCTGTGGTCCTCCAGTCGTTGTGGCCGCTAGGAACCTGCTAACCGGCATCTTGGTGGACTCGTGCGCCTCGTAGGTTTTGCAGGTGCAGTGCAGGTGCAGTGCAGGTGCATTGCAGCTCCTGAGTGGCTGAGGTTCGTATCTGCCGGAGGTTGCTTCATAGGCTTGTCACATGAAAGCCTTAAGTTTAAGGCCTAAGTTTGCATCCTAAAGCTAACAAGTGGAAAAGCACTTAAGAAACACTCAAAAAGCGCTCAAAAGCACTTCAGAAAACACTTAAAGCACGAAATGAGGTCTCCGTATTTTGTGTGAATGAGAGGTACACCAGCACCAAGGCAGAATTCTCTGGGCAGAGCAACAACACTTCTGAGGCCACACTGTCACACACTCGAGGAGTGAGAAGAAAAGATATAAAATCCCAAGACCTCTCTCTCTCTCTCAATTCTTTCTTGTCTCTCTTTTTGTATTTGTGTGCATTCTTTCTCGCACCCTCTATCTCTCTCTCTCTCTCATAAACACTTTGCATTCAATTCCTTCCTCTACCCTCTTGCTTGAAGGAGAGGCTTATCAAGAAGCTTCAGAGGGAAGTCCTACTCAACCCGGCGCGCAGACATGTCATGCGTTGCAGTTTGCGTGTAGCTCGCAAAAGTTGGGCATGTTCGCACATGTTCCCGCACTCACGCATGTGTTGGCATGCAGGAAGTATTGCTGCCCCCACCACGCATTGATGTCAGAGGCACTTTGAACGGTGAGAAGTGTCATGTGACATGTTTGCAGATGTTTGCAGTGAATGGCCAGAGGGAAATGCTGCCTCGCAACGCGGCAGCGCCTTAGATGGTTCATCGAGCCGATGCCTGAGGGTTGCGAGCTTGAAATCCAACGAGTCTTGTGTTATATCAGTTGTGTAGTTCAGACCCAACCGCTTTTTCCCGAAGGCTTGGAGATTGAATGAAGAGTTTGTTTAGTGCTGCTGCTGGGTTGACCTTTCTGTGCACTCCTGGTCTCAGGCATCGGATTTCACGGAGCGTAATCTTCGTGGGTATCCTGAGCAATGCCATCGTGCTGCCCTGCACTTGGACCCTCCTTGCTTCCCAGCCTGGCCTCCTGTGCAGCTGTGCAACATTGTGCAACATTGTGCAACATTGTGCAACATTGTGCAACATATTCTTCAACCAGACCAGGGGCATCTCTCCGGTCATCTTCCCCGATCTGCTCGAGTTTCGAAGGACTTGATTTTTTTTGGACATTCAAAAGCCCTGTTCGGCTCTGGTACCCCATACCTACCCCTGGAAGACCTTTCACAACGAGGTCCTCCACGTTGCGGTCAACCGTAGCATCACCACCAGGGCTCCGTGTAGGCTTGCCATGCCCCTTAAAAATGGGGTTGCGCAGGGGAGAACAAAACTCTCGGGAAGGTTGGGTCATGTAGAAAATGTCTCTGACAATAACAGCTGATAAGGTTGGCAAGGGACAGGCAATTGTGACGGTTTTTTGCGCATTTCCCACCTCGCCATTGAAGTTCGCCATGACGAGGGACCGTATACAGCATCTTCTTTAGGAGTGCAGTCGAACATTCGCGATCCGAGGGTTGCGGCGGGAAAACGAGACAGCGTCACCAAACTAAGCTGGTACTGCCGAACCCATGTCGTCTGAATGGGTGGAGGATTGTGAGCGGACTTCTTCTTGGACTTTTTGCATTCGAGGCCGGTCCTGTTGCAAAACTGTCCTGGCCTGCTGTGTCTGATGCGGCTATGCCTGTCAGCTGGCGATTAAGATCTTCGTTTACAGCCGGGACTTCTTCAAGGCCAGAGCATCGAAGCAAGCTATGCTTTGAGCAAAAGTGGAGGTCACATTTCTGCGGGTATATAAGGACAAGTGGCATGCCTACGACAGCTTCGCCATCACGGGGCGGTTGCCTCAGGGACTTCGGGCATGACCTGTGCAGGTGACGGAAGGGCTCAAGTCTTGGTTGCAGGTCCTTGATCGGAGCCTTGGTCAATGCCCTTGTTTCAGAGAAGGCAGGGAAGCCAGTGGAAGCCAGTCGAAGCCAACTCGGGGAAGTTCAACGGGCCAATCGCAAAGCAGCAAAAAGTTACAGGGTGTGATGACCCAAATCCTCGGCGGCTTCCAGATATTGCGGATTCTGATGCTGGCATCCGGCCCAGCTTCGCTTCAAAAGAGGGCTTCCACAAGCTTGTCTTGACCTTCTTTTCATCTCAGGTTCGGTATGCTTGGTTCATGGATAGCATCACGAGCACGATCTGGGTCGCATTGCGTCGCTCTCGGAGCGCAGAGCACATTGACATGTGCACCGCGGTTTTCGTCCGTGGTCTATAGTGTGGTCGGCTTGACCCACTCTGTTAATGCTCAGGGTCAAGACTGCACCGTGTAAGAACCCATATAAAACATCAACGGTTTGCAGACATGAACTATACACTCACCAAACTAGGAAGGAAGACCCTCGAACGAAACATCATCTCTTTCACACAAACAAATTGGCAGATGGAATTCGTCAAGTGATCCGAAAAACGGGCACAAACCTCAGCTGCCTCAGAGAGATTCTTTCCTCTTGGAAAGCGTTCTAACTGTTTGTGTGGACAGACTCTCAACGGTTTGTGCCTACAAGGATCCTTATATAGACATGGCAAGGATACGTCCTTCAACAAGGATGCTTAGCATCACGACTTACAGGAAAGAATATAGGGCTGACAAGCTCTGGGAGCCGATTCGGTTCGTCGTCGCAAAAATGAATGGGTCTTTGCCGCTCGGCCGTATAGGTGTCAACGCGTCCGTGATGAGTAATGCCTTTTCCTTCTGCGCGGCCTTATAGGACTCGAACGAACTGGTCTTGAGCGCAAAGTTGTCAGGCGAGCCTTCTTGGGCGAAGAAAGTTGAAGCCGTGATCGCGCTGGTCGCTTGGGGGTATGGCCCGAGCCATCGTTTCCATCACCTTTGTCGCCTTCGCTCGATTTGCCCTTTCTTTCCTGTCTTGCCTTTGCCTTTGACGGCGAAGGACTCATTTGGTGGCGACCTTGATCATCGACCATGGTCATGACATCCATTGGCTGGGGCACTGCCCCATCATTTCATTTCGTGAACCGCGTGCGCGGTGACGCCAGTCGGGTTGGGCCGGTCCGTTCACTTTATGGCGACCCGTTTTCGCGGCCATCACAAGTTGACACGTCATTGCATCATTCTCTCGAATATGAGCTCTTTGTTGATGTTTCAGGGTAGCGGTAGCACGCCCCATTGAACGTTTCATTCAAATGCCAGCTTTTGTCATACAGCCGAGAGTTGCTTCCACAGCGCTCTAACCGGGTGTGTCTTGTGTGCATTCATAGCACTACCATGCCAGAATGCATAAAAAAACGGCCACTCAACGCGGCTCACTGCAAGGCCCGGCCTGTTCCAGGTGTCCGCCCTTCTGACGCTGCTTATGTTCATGTCCGTGACTCAGCCTTGCAAGCCTTGTGGCCAGGGTCGGGCGATGACATTTAGTCAAATTTAGTCAAACTTGCTAAATGTGATTTCTACTACTGACATATATATATATACATATATGTATTAACTTACACATACTTATGTATCTTTTTACACCTATGTATACTCATGTGTATTTAGTGCCGTCGCCCCCTCCCCCGTCATTGGCATAGGGATCAAAGAGTCAGGATCAAAAGGCAATTAAACCTGCCTTCCTTGCAGAGGCTACAGGGCGTTCTGAGTTTTTGACTTCCCGGCGTGGGTTCTTGGCTTTCTGGCTTGCTGGCTTCCTGGCTTCCTGCCTTCCTGGCTTTTCGGCTTCCTGCTTTCCTGCCTTCCTGGCTCCTTGGCTTCTTGGCTTCTCGGCTTCCTGGCTTCTTTGTCCTTAGCTTTCCTAGAAAGGGGGGATGAAAGTGAAGTAATATTTCGGCGCACACTTACTATGAAGCATCAAAGGCACCATCACTATTGCTGCTACTATTCTGTGTTTTCTATTATTACTTGACTCTCCACGGTTACAAGGTCTGGGTTTGCGTAGGCGCAGACTAAGGGCTAGGTTGGCAATCTGAACTCGCGATCTCGGACAGCCATCACATACCACATACAATGAAACTTTGCAACCGCTCACAATGAACTCTACTCTGCTTTCCTCTTCATATGCAATTTAGAATTCAGGGGTTACCATATACTACCCTTCTGGGACTAAGTTGGTGCCTCCAATCTGCAGCCAAAGCACAGGAACTAAGCAAGAAACTTCTGAGGCCAAGATACGCCCTACCCCGAACCCCCTATCCGTAAGCCTGAATCCTAAAGTCCCAAAACCTCAGGCTTCAAGTCCTGCAGGCCCCATGGTCCCCAAAGAGGCGGAACTCAAAAACCTGCCTCGCCCGTGCCGACGCTAAGTGCGTGTGAAGCACATGCGTGTGCCCAAGAAGTATGTACAACACACACACACACATATATATGCTACCCCCCCCATGCGCCCACGCTTCAGCATGGTTTCCAGATAAAAATGCTAGGTTCCGCTCTGCGCGGTGGTTTTTAAAGGGGGTGGGACTCCCATAAAAACTCCAGCAGAAGTGACCTGAACAATTGCTCGAGATTGTAATCCTATGCATGTGAATAGCGTTCCTATCAAATTTAATGGGGTTCATAGGATTCATTAAAGCTCATTAAAATGAAAATGAATGAGAACCCTTAATTCGATTAAATTCTATGGGAACCCTATTCAAATGACAGAATCCTATTTAAAATTGATAGGAATCATGTTACATTTGTAGGAGCCTTATTAAAATAATTAGGCAAACTATAAAGATTGATTGGAATCTTTTAAACAGAAAAATAGGAATCCTTGATTTGAATCCATAGGAACCCAATAAAAATTGATCGGACTGTATAAAAAGTTAATAGGAAGCATATTAACATGAACCGGAACCCGAATAAAGTTAATGAGAGCCCAATTATACTTGATAGGATCCTAATAAACTGAAGAGGGCCCCTACAAAAGTAATAGGAACCAATGGGACTCCTGTAATAAATGAGTGTGAACCCTTAAAGAATGGGAGTCCTACTAGACTTAATATGAGCCTAAACCAATAGGAACCCCTTTCAAACGAATGAGATCCCTATGAAACATTAATACGAATCCCATTAACATGAGTAAGAGCCCTGAAACTGATAGGAATCTTATTGCATAGTGGGAGCCTGATTATTTACCCTATGAAACTTTATTGGCATCCTATGACAACAAGTAGGAATCTTTCATTTAATTCATAGGAATCAAAGTTTCATAGGGTTCCTAATTGTTCTAATAAGGCTCCTACTAATGTAATAAGATTCCTGTCAATTTCGGGTTCTTATTCATGTTAATGGGATTCGTATTAATTTTGATAGGGATCTCATTCGTTTGAAAGGGATTCCTATTGGTTTAGGCATTCATTTAGTAGGATTCCTATTCATTCTTGTTAAAGGAGTCTTAATTTTAACGCTACGCGACCCGCCTCGGCCCGGCCCAGCGCATCCGCGTGAGCATGGTGATTCCGCAGCGCCCAAGTCGCTGGACCCCAAGCAATAAGGGTTGGGTTTAGGGTTTAGGGTTTAGGGTTTAGGGTTCCGGGTTTATGGTTTAAGGTTTGGGGTTTAGGGTTGAGGGTTAGTTTAGGATTGAGGGTTTAGGGCTCAAGGTTCACGCTTCGGGGTTTAGGGTTTTTTTGTTGGGTTTAGGTTTAGGGTTTCGGTTCAAGCTTAGACTCTTCGGCTCGCCCCCGGCCATGCTCACACCAGTTGAGCCTCGAAAAACCTGCTCACCAATGTTCTGTAGTGGCTTTGGAGGGCGGCGAGGAGAGGGGCCATAGGCGGGTAGGGGGGGGGGGTGGGGGGGGGCAGGGGGGGTGGGGGGGGGAAGGGCTTCAACTGCCTCTGGTCCTGGCGAACCGTCCGCTTGCGGACTCCGGTTTCCCAGGGGGGGTACCCATTTGAGGCAAAAAAAGGGGTCCGAAAATTGGTTTGGGTGTGGGGGGAGGATTTGGAGGGGGGTGCCTGTTCTGACAACCTATACACCTCCGGCCCGAGGCCTCGGCGGATTTTAGCGCTACGCGACCCACCTCGGCCCGGCCCAGCGCATCCGCGTGAGCATGGTGATTCCGCAGCGCCCAAGTCGCTGGACCCCAAGCTGTAAGGGTTGGGTTTAGGGTTTAGGGTTCCGGGTTTATGGTTTATGGTTTGGGGTTGGTTGAGGGTTAGTTTAGGACTGAGGGCTTAGGGCTCAACACGCTCGTAGGGCCCCTCAGGGGGTAGGGGGGTGGGGGGGGGAATGGGGGCGGGGGGCAAGGGGGGAGGGGGGGGGGTTTGTTGAAGGTTTGAGGGTTGAGTGCTTCGGGCTTAAGGTTCAAGGTTTAGGGTTCAGGTTCAAGCTTAGACTCTTCGGCTCATGTTGGGCCGTGCTCACACCAGTTGGGCCTCGAAAACCCGCTCACCATGTCTAGAGAGGCAGGGAGGGAGGGGGGGAGGGGGGGAGGGGGGAGGGGGGAGGGGGGGGGGGGAGGGGGGGGAGCGGGGGGAGGGGGGGAGGGAGGGGGGGGAGGGGTGGGGGTGGGGGGGGTGGGGGGGGGGGTGGGCGGGGTGGGGGGTGTGGGCGGGGGGGTGGGGGGGGGGGCCTGTCGACTGCCTCTGGTCCGGGCGAACCGTCCGCTTGCGGACCCCGGTTTCATGGTGCCTGTTCTGACAACCTATACACCTCCCGCCCGAGGCCTCGGCGGATTTTTCATAGGAGTCCTATTAGTTCCTATCTTGGTAAGAATCCTTCTTTCTCATTTTAGTATGATTCCTATGAATTACCACCGCGTTCTTTTTGATTTGTTAAGGTTCATTCTAATAGGCTTCCTATTAGCTTTTATCCGAAAACAATGTGATAGATTGGAATCCTATAAAAAAATATAGGAATCCTTAATTGAATTCATAGGAATCCTGCCAATATTTTTCGGAACCGAAAAAAGTTAATAGGAAGTGTGCACATGATGCTCGTCGTAGCATCAGGCATGCCGTGGAACATTAGAGTTTAGTTGCGAAAGCGCTGCACTGTCCCAAAAAAACAAGCTTTCTATGCCAAAAAGTGCAACAATGCTGTACCGTCCCAAAAAAACCAATCTTTTTAAGGCAAAAAGTGCAAAAATGCTGTACTGTCCCAAAAAAACCAAAAAAACAAAAGTTTGGAGACCTCCAGGCCCTGGAGGAGCCCAAGGTCTCCAAACTTTGGTTTTTTTGGGACAGTACAGCATTTTGCAGTTTTTGACCTAAAAACGTTGGTTTTTTGGGGACAGTACAGCGTTTTTGCAGTCCCAGGCCTCTCGAAAGTGCTGTACTGTCCCAAAAAACCAATCTTTTTAAGGCAAAAACTGCAAAAATGCTGTACTGTCCCAAAAAATAAAAAAAACCAAAGTTTGGAGACCTCCAGGCCCCGGAGGAGCCCAAGGTCTCCAAACTTTGTTTTTTTTGGTTTTTTTGGGACAGTACAGCATTTTTGCACTTTTTGCCTTAAAAAGATTGGTTTTTTTGGGACAGTACAGCGTTTTTGCACTTTTGGGCCTAAAACATTGGTACAGTGGAGCGCTTTCGTGCTCGCTGCCCTAGGAGGCTTCGAAATCCTAAGCCTTTAAACCCTACCGTGGCACCTGAGAGGAAAAAGTGTGGGCATATGGGGGGGGTACCCCATATATATATGTGTATATATATATACATATATTAGAGTTGCATCTGGGGGAGCTCGTCGAGCACATGATTCTCACCTGCAGTTTGAGGTATGCATGCCTCGGGGTGTCGCTGTTCGGCACTATGATGAGTGCTGACGAGGCTTGCGCCTTGAAGTGGCAGGATTGAAAACACTCTGTCAGTTACGAATATGCAGCACCCTTTCGGACCTCGTTGAGTTTTTAAATTCAAGGCCGCAATGTCTGCAAGCGACGGGATCTACCCCTTGACAGATGTCTTGCTGGCCTGTTTCATGTTCGCAGGCAGCTTGCAGCGTTCCGGGGTTGATACATACACGGCAACGAACGTTTCAACCCAGTCTTGGCCAGACCAACTTTTACAGCTTCAACAATGCCTTTCTGTTGATGATCCGGTGTGCAACAGGGGAGAGGCGCTTGAGCCGCTGGAAGTACAGTTGCATGGGTGGGTGTCTTTGACTCTAGGTTGCCTGTGTGATCCTGTGTGATGGCGTGGCAATAGTGCAAGAGGTGGCACGACATCATGTACGATCTCGCTGAAGACAAGCCGAATTGTACTACAGCAGCGCAAACGTATGAGGACGTTTCCGGACTTGTTGAGCGTGTCAGTGATTGGATTGGACGAAGAGGACCTTGTGCAAAATGGACCTCGAGGGTGCGGCAGCATGCTTGCGTGACCCGGACCGCGTTCCAGTTTTGTGCCACTTCAAAGAGAAACAATTCTGGGCCATGCGTTCTGATGCCGAGGTATCCTTACTTTGTTAGCTATGTCTTGATCGTTCTCTTCAACATGATGAACTTGATCATTGCGACGGTGTTGGATGCGTGCCCATGCAGCTGAGCCCTTCATGCCTTTATACTGCCTTTATACAATTGTCGTGCTCACAGTACGGACAAGCAGTGGAGCCGAGCTTGCAGCATTGTTCTGGTCAGAGTCGCGCCAGGTACGGGCAGGTGCATGAGCTCATCGAGCTCGAGGACTTGCATCACAACCGTAGCCAACTGTGGCATGCATTTTGTCACATGTGACCAGCACAAATCAGCTCCAGGACTTCATGGTCTGCCTGCGTGCCTTGCCCCACCGTCGAGTGTTGTTTCGCCCCTTGGGGGGGACATGTGGCCCGTCTGCCACATTCCGCCAGGCGGGATGCCTGGGTGGAGATCGATCGGAACTTCTTGGGTTATCTCCACGTGGCAGAGGTTGTGTGGGTCTTTGTTTCCACATGAAGCTGGCACATTTAGTCAACAGCAGAAGTTTTTCTCCGCCACCAAGGAGAACATCTTGCTCAGCATCCCACAGCCCGTGGGCTTCATCGGGCTCAAGAAGCCGATCACTGCATGCTTTCTGTGCTGTGAATTGACTTGCTGTGGAATGAGACATCACATGACACCTGTGTGCTGGAAGTGACGGAGGTAAATGTATGGATGTGTATGTATGCGGGAAGAGTATATTTGGCAATATATCTGGCAAGGAATTCCTGAGAGATGCAGCTGCAATATGCTGGAGTCTAGAAGTCGATACAGTAGTAGGCTTGTGTGCGAGGGGGGCCGAAGAGACTTTTGGTTTGCGGTGAGACAGATGCCAGGCGACAACTGCTCCGATCCTTGATGAACCTGCAAGTGCACGAGGGAAGGCAGATCGAAGACTGCAAGTCGCTGCATGTGCTTTCATGCTGCTGACCGCCAGTATGCTTGCCTACCGCGATGTCATAAAGCTGGTGGCGCAGCGCTCGTCCACCCGGCATGTGCTACCTGCATGCCCAAAACACAGATCAGACCTGGTTGAGCAGGCGGCATACCTGCCACTGAGAAACAGCCAAGGGTTAAGCGATTACATCGACCACCAGCAGTGCATAGTGCGGCCAGGGTGCTATTTCTCAGTGGGGAGCTTTTGCTCCATCCTCAAGAGGCTGCAGATGGCTTCGTGATGCTTCGTGCGTTGTAGAGACAGGAAGGGGTAAAGCGGAGGCGGAACTCGATGAACAAGCTCTTCGCACTTGGAATGCGGCGTTCCCGGACCGATGCTTAGCTGCCGCAACAAGTCCGAACTAGAGCATGTGTGATCATGTGTGATCATGTGATCGTGGCGCTAGGAGTTGCCACCTGAGCCGCCTTCTGACGCCATTCTGATCGCCCACATCGTCATAGCCAGGCCTAGTGCCTCAGAGTGATCCAAGAATGTTTCTCACACTTCTGACCGTGCTTGCCAGGAGAACTGCAGTCTACATCCGCAAAAAGCCATCTCCCCACGCGCCACGCATCATGTTGCTGCAGCTGTCAAGCACCGCCTAGTGTTCCAGGCGATGGGAGTGGAAGCAGCGCAGTCGCTCGGGACAGGCTGGTGACTGGTGTTTGTTGCAGCAACATGGAGAGCTGTGGATTCCTGAAAACAGGGTGCAATGCGAAGCCTCAAGAAGGCCGCAGCCAACAGAGGCCACAGTTCCACTTGCATCTGTCCAGGTGACCACCTTTTGATGTGCAGGTTTGGACACCCGCGCGCGCTCACCCCGGGGCTCCCCCCGGGGCTCGCCGAAGGGATCACCGCGTGGATCCCCACGCAGCGGCTCGCCGCGGAGCGGCTCGCCGCGGAGCGGCTCGCCGGCCGGCTCCGAAGGCGCTCAGCTCCGCTCGGCTCCGCCCGATGCAGAATCGCTGGTGCCATCTGGTGCATGTAGCTGGTGACGGTGTGGTCTCATAATGGTGCGTGGACTTTCCAAGCCCAGCTGAGCTCGCTGACAGGTAAGGATGAGGTGTGGGAGGACTGCCCCCGTATATGCTACCATGGGCATAATATGCTTTAATCAAATTGGACGGCAGTGTGCGGAGCCTGCTCTCGCATCTTTGTACAAGCTTGCAATATTTTGTGGCAGGAAGCCATGTACAACGTGGATGTGGACATAGACACTGCCCTGGCGGGTGTTTGGTCCAGCTGGCTGCCATTTGCCTTGGCATCGACAATCAGTTGCAAAAGCCTGTGCCTTGCAGCATGCGGATCATGGCCGCCAGGGAGCAAAGTGATGATCCTGGCCCGCCTACCTCCATTTTCGTGAGTCAGCTGGCGCACTCGACTCAGGGACCATCAGAAAAACATCAAGTCTTGACATGCTTGAACAAGAACAAGTATCGGGGTCAGGTTTGCTTTGGTCTTGCGACTGGACTGTTCAGGGTTTCCACAGATGGCTGTGAGAAGGTGTTAAAGATGTGTAAAGTAGTTAATTTAGACCAATGTAAGTAAGCTGTGTAATGTTGTGTAATGCTGTGCACCAGGCCTTCGGAGACGGCCCAAGCGCAGCGCTCTCGCAAGCTGCCTCAGCTATCTCCTCTGCCAGAAGCCTGGAATACTTGGAGCACCTGGACCTGAGGTGATTGGTTGTTTGCATAAAGCAAAAAGAAAAATATGGATTGAAAACCGAGGCGGTGGCCCCCAGAGGAGCTGGTAAAATACCAGCCCGAGGAGGAGCCCGTCTTCACGCAAAGCCCTCAGGGGCCACTTCAGGCTTTGGACGCCAGTGAGAACAAAGGCAATTAGGTCCTTTTGGTCCCCTTTCATTCCCTTTTGGGTCCCTTCTACAAGTGCCTGCTTAGGAATGCGGAGAGCTCGATGTGGGCGAAAGTCGCTGACCTTGCACAAGGGAAGGGCTCCAGACCCACCTGGAAGGAGTGATCTTGCTGTGGCCTTACTCTTCAAGTGCATGTGGGGGCAGGTGACCGGTCTTCGTTGCATGCCAAGGAGTGGCTACGTTGAGCACATTCTGAATGGATAATGAACCCTGGGCACAGACCCATGTCGCAGTGCGACCTGTTGGCAAAGCCATCAGAGCAAATGCAAAAGCCTAGATGGCGCAAGAAAACGACTATGCGGTGTTAGACTCTTCCCTACGCAAGGAGATGTTCTTTTTTGCGTCACCTGGCTGTCTCTAAATTTGATGCTTCCGTGCTTTGGCTGGCCTGTACGAGCAATGTCAAAGTAATGGCAAAGTAATGTCAAAGTAATGTCAGAGTCAGTGCAACGAATGAAGCATAATGAAGCATATTGAAACATAATGAAACCAAGTCACGCAGCTAGCAAGTTCGATTCCAAGTCCAGAGCAAGTGCTGTCTCACATGAGGGAGAGCCAGATGCCAAAGATGCTCGGCACAAGTGAAACAGGTGTTGCAAGATGTTGCAAGCGTGTGGAGTGTAAGATGTGTGCACCCCATGGCACGAAGCAGTCCAAGGGCGCACGGGATCGCGCGGCAAAGTTTGCAGGTCCGGAACAGCAGGGGAAAGAAGCATAAAGAAGCTGTACATGGCATGCACTCCGCTGCAGCATGGGCCGTCCAGACAAAAGTCAAGAGCGGTTCACCTGCGCATGGCGTGCCGCTTTGGGCGGAGCTGCAGACAAGCCTATAGGGCGGGCCAGATGTGCCAGTGCCACGGATTTGATCGGAATTGGGGAATTCGATTATATTGGCCTCTGCATCGGCAGCTGCGCAAATGCATTCAACATATGCTGCAAGCGAGTTACCATCCATCTTGGCCTCAGTCCAGACGTTCATGGGGCTTCTGCTTGCGACACCGAACCTTACGGAACGTTACGCGGTTTCAGCCCCGATGCGCAGAGACGGACACGGCCCTGGCATACGGGAAGCGGGGCGCAGACGCTGGGCAGCTCGCTGAGGAGGCTTTCTTTCTGCCTCCGAAGCAGGTGGCCAGCGTCTGCGCCCCGCTTCCCGTATGCCAGGGCCGTGTCCGCCTCTGCAGACCGCGGACCTGTGGCCGCGCGACCCAACAAGCACGGGACTGCGTCAGTAGTGTAGTGGCCACAAGACGAGTCGTCTGCGAAATCCTGAGCTATGAAATAGGACCAAGAACTTCTGGAGTTTAAGGTTTAGGCTTTGGGCTGTTCGTTGCCACAAGCAGAAGACGCGGGCAAACCGTAAACTGTCTTACGCCTCAACCCTGAACCCACGCCCGAAAGCAGTGTTATTTCCTTGAAGCCCAGGACGACAAAACACCGAAGCCCTCGTGCTGGACTCGTGCCTGAAACACTCCAAAGCCCAAACCGTAAGACGCGCGCGCGGGCAAACCATAGGGTTCTGCGAAGTCCGGAACGCAGGGAAACCCGCAGAGGGTCGTCGTTTATGAAAAAAAAAACGAAAAAAAGAACACTGTTGGGCCAGAAACGCTGCGCCTGCGCATGTTTTATGTACCTTCCAAAAACAAGCGCGGGCAAACCATAGGGTTGCACCGTACTACTACTACTACTACTACTACTACTACTACTACTACTACTACTACTACTACTACTACTACTACTACTACTACTACTACTACTACTACTACTACTACTACTACTACTCCTACTCCTACTCCTACTCCTACTCCTACTCCTACTCCTACTCCTACTCCTACTCCTACTCCTACTCCTACTCCTACTCCTACTCCTACTCCTGCTGCTGCTGCTGGGGTGCGCCACGGCATACGTCAGGCAGAGGCCGCGAACAAGGCGACTTGCTTTCCCATGCTTTCCCCAGCCCTTTTCGCCCTCGGCCAATGAGGCGTTGGGCCAGGCAGACTCGCAGTTACGGCAGGGTGAATCACTCATAGGTCCTCCTGCCCGACTCAACCCGAGCGCGTGCCTGGATCTGGTGACAAGCGCGGTCGCTGGCAAACCCGCCAACTTGGGCAAGACGCGCAGCTTCAACCATGGCAGCCCGGTCCCGTGCCTGGGGCACCGAAAGACTCGAAGCCGAAGACGCGTTAGTTCGCCAGCTTCCCAAGTTGCCCGGCCTGCAGCGCGCGTGGCTCCTCCTCAGCTTTTGCGCCGCGCCCCGCGCGAACCATGCGTTCCGGACCATCCCTCCCGACCTCATAGCGCCATATGCTGCAGCGCGTGACGCGGAGGACGAGACATGCCCCGCTCGGGACATCGCCTTACCCAGCTAGCCTTGGAGGATCTTGGAGGATTGGCCACGCGCACCGCAGCGTACTGGGTCCGCGAACGGTGCCCGGCCTTTACGGATTGGGTGGTCCGCTGCCTCGCTGACGTGCCATCAAGCAACACGCCTGCCCGACCAACCCGAAGGGACCGCCGTGCCGGTCAATGGCGGCAACCTTTTCTTCCACCACCACGTGCTGCTGCCGCTTGGGCAAAAATTCTGACAGCTTTGACGTTCTCTGTGAGTTGGGTGTTCTGGATCACTTGTGATCACAGCTGCTTTCGGGACAACCGTTCTCTAGTTTCCTCCTCGCGCCTTTTTACCGGCATCCAAAGCTAGGCGGTCCCAGAGCAGACACAAGGCCAGGCCGACTGCGCGCTACATTATCTCAAGCATGCGGCTTGCAAGGGGTGGGAGGATGGCACTGTTTTTTTCACACCTTTCCTTTTTTCCCGCACTTTTTTAATGACTGCAAGCGACGGTCAGACGGCGGTCAACGGGTCGGGGGCCGCTTGCAGGAGTCCCGCGTCCTGGGGCGGCAGGCGGCTGGATTGTGGGGGCGCCTGCCGCCCGTCGGCCAAGTGTGGTGGAACTCGGCGAGCTCAGGGTGCTGCGTGGTGGTCCAAAAACTCTTCCTGCACGGGAGCCAGCAAGTAACCGTCGGGCAGGCGCACGGCCTAGCCGGGCCTAGCCAATTTGGTTATATTTGGCCTATTGCGTTGCCGGGCAGCCTGGCGTGCGCGAGGCGGTCTATAGAGGTCCGCGCGCGCGGGCAGGCGAAACTTCGACGTCGACCTGGGGGCGACCAAGAGCTGCAATCAGCAACACGGGGCCAAGCCCCAAGCGCTGACGTCTTCTGCCTGGTCGTGATTGGCCTGGAAGTGGGTGGGCGCTTTGTCACCGAAACAACCACCTTCCTGCGTGTTTTGGTCTGTCACCTTGCTCGAGCTCCCCCTTGCGGGCGAGAGCAACGGCGATGATGCCGTGCCTGAGCTGCAGAGGTCCTGGCCGATGCCCGCTGCCCGCCAGCCGCGTGCCGCCGTGGCGGTGAGGCCCGTCCCCCCCGACCCCCGACCCCCGACCCCCGACCCCTGCGAGGACATGCAAGCAGGAGGCCACGTACGCGTCGGGGTGGCCATGCAACAAGCTGTCGCCAGCACCGCGCTCGGGCGGGCGTGGCCCGCACAGCTCCACCCCAGCCAGCGCAGTGAGCCGCCCTTGGAGCGCGTGCTTGACGTGGCGGCGCCGTCAGATTCGAGTCGGTTGCCTCTGCGCGGGTGAGCGAGGTGGAGAGGGTAGTAATCGTGTAGCCCACGACCGGACAACCACCAGCCAGCCATGTTCAGAGTCTTCGGCTGAATTTGTGCAAAGAGCAGTGTCACCACCCCCTCTCCAGAGCAGCGCGGTGCGCTGCCGCGGCCCGGGCACGCGAAGCCCTGGCATGCTGGCGGTGGCGGCCAAGCGCGCGTATGATGCAGTTGCTCGAGTTGCCACTGGCGCGGGCGGAGCACGGTGAGGGTGACCCACCACCGTGGGGAGAACTGCTGGCGGATGCACGCGGGCTGGAGCCCATCCTGGACAGCTGAGTCGTCGCCGTTAGCCTCGCCCGCAAGGGGCAGCTCAAGGAGGGAGCTGGCGAAGGAGCGCTGCGCCGCGACTGCGAGCAGCGCAGTCCAGTGGGAGATCCAGGCGCGGGTCGCAAGTGCGCCGGGACAGTCGCAGCCCGGTGGCGCGCAAGCAGGCGGAGGAAGGTAGCTGCTTCAGTGCCAAAGCGCCCCCAACCTCAAACCCGATCACGACAAGGCGGCAGCGCCGTGCCCGCTGCAGTTCCGGATACGTGCCTTGCCTGTTGCGCCTCGCTGCCGCGGCGACGCAGTGGCCAGGCTCCACGTCAGCTGGTGGGTGGGGTTCCCCTGCACGCGTCAGCGGCGACACGAGGGTGGCATCGAGGCCGAGTTGCGCACTGTGCCACAGGGGGAGCCCGTTGGCGATCACTTCAATCCGCCGGTCATCGGCGACGGGCACATCAATGTTCATGTCCGCGACACGCACATTCCTCGCGACGCGAGCGCCGCCATGCGCCGCCCTCACGGCAAACGCGCGACCGCTCGTTCGAGCGCGCGAGGACCCTCGACGTGGCGCAGGCAGCCCGGTGGTCGCCAAGGGGGTCCAGCCTACCCCCACAGCTGCAGGATCGCGGAGCGAGTGGGAGGGCCAGGCGCAGCCGCCGGAGTGAAGGACACGGAACTGGGCACTCATATCAAGCACCGCCCCGCGTCTACATAAGAGTTCTTTACAGAGAAGCAACTGAGTGTTCCGACCTTGTCCGCCCAAAACAGCAGCCTTCAACAAAATCAACTTGTTCCCTCTGCGTGCTGGCATCAGGGCAATTTGCTAAAGACTAAGGTGCCGTCATTGCCAAACCTGAACCTGTTGCGACAAATCAACCCTTTTGATGTTCAGCCCCTGACTAGCAAGCGTGTCACCGATGCGTTCCAACACTGAAGAACTTCGAGCTTAGTCTGGTCGCGCAGCCAGGCCTTCAATGGAGGCCTTCAATGGATGGACCTCTGGATCGCGCTGACAGTTCCCTGTCGCATAGCTGTCGGCGAACCCTGTGTTGCGCACATCGTTAGAAGAAGTCCTGCCAGGCCTGATGTAGAAGATCCGTCGGCTCGTCGGCTGGGGCCCGTACTTCTCGTTGAGGAGACTGAAACGCTGCTTCTCGCCCCCTTCCTAACGCAAATCTTCTACACTGATCGCCTCGCACACCTGCTCGGCCTCTCCTTTGATGTGTTGCATCAAGCGTGCACCATACTTTTCCTTCGGCACGGTGTTGGGCACAGCTGCTATGGTGAGCTGCGCCCTTCGGCGCCATTTCCGATACAGCTCAGGCTAAACGCGCACGCCATCCTTCCTTCATCCTCGGTAATTGGGGCGTGCTCCGCAACCACTGTGAGCCTTCGCCCACAGTGGCATGCCTTGTGTCCCGAAGCGTAAGCCCCACGCTGACAGTGCAACAAGTACTTAGCAGAGTATCATTCAATGATCATGATTGTTACACCCGGCGCCTGAGCCAACGCTGCGGCTCCTGAGCCAGTGTCCGACTCTGCGGAGCCCCACGCTCCCGAGCGCTCCTGCCGCGCGCGAAGAGGCGGCCGAGGCCCCGGGCGCGAGACTGCGGCCAGCGAGACGCCGGACTCGCCTGGTGGACGCGCGCATGTCGCGGAGAGGGAGATGCCTCTGCCTGATACCATCAGACTGGTACTTTTGGACCTGGCGTCCACCGTACGCCGTGGACTGCCGTACTGTGGACTCGAAGCTTTGTGGATGACACTCGGGTTCCGGTGGCATCGTTGGGCCATGCGGCCCGTGCCACTGATGTCTTGGGTGAGGCAGCCCCATTGGACCAATGTATTTACAAAACAGGCAAGAACTGTATTCTGGCGCATGGGTTTGCTAAGGTGCAACCGCTGGTCTTGCCAGGCTCCCGTGTGGATTTTGTGGATTCACATGTTCAGCTTGGAGTCTCCTTGGGGGCCCAATGTGATGGCAGATCTGTGCAAATCTCACCTGCAATGTATCCTCTCCCGCGGACCTGCGAAGATGCATACGCTGTTGACAGCTGTCGTCTGCAGCTTTTCCAATGCATGCACTCCTTCTTCCCTTTCGTACAAGGTTAATACCGTCGGCATCCCATGCGATCGAACTCACAGTTCAAGTTCCGTTCTTCGAAAAACAGGTCAACGGGTTGCAGGCATCCTTGCTCAAGAAGATCCTCAGGTGCTACGCAGTACCTCGGGTCGTTTTGATGCATGAGTTGGGTGTTCTGGCGCGTGGAGCCGGGCTATCATGGTGCGGCGGCGTGCTCGCAATGATAGTTGCTACAGCTCTGAGAAACTGTCGTCCTGGTCGGCTAGCGTGCTGCGCTGAGAGCAGCAACTGGGACTACCAGAGCTCGGTATTGTTACTTCAGGCCCTTTTGTCACCCAGATCAAGGCTACGTTGCACTATCCCGCTGTGACAGTTGTCCTTCCTGCTGTCCGCGCGCATGAGCAAGCAAATTGGCACTCCTGTTCAAAAATCATCCAGCACTGGCTCGAAGCTGAGTTGGACTCAGTTGGCAGAACTCGGCAAACTTCCAGGCTACTTCTCGCAGGCTGATCTTGGGCCTGCTGCTCCATGCAGATTTTGTTCCAGGAATCTCCAAGAAGATATCGAGCATTTGTTCTTTGACTGTGATGTGGCAATGCAGCTCATATGCAATGTTCCAGACTGGGGCTGCGCTGATGCTCGGAGGTCAGTCGGCTTCCATTGAATTACTCTCCCCTTCGACGCATTGTGTGAGACGCAACTAGTTCTGCTTGTTGTGTTGTGTTTTTTTGTTGCTTCTGGGGTTGGTGCCTTAAGTAAAAACACCACACGTCTTATGTTTGAGAGATTACTTGCATGGCTCGTGATGGAAAACAAGACATCCCGGCGCAGGAACTTTTGGCCTACGCCGCAACCCTCTTGGCGCGAGCGCAGGTGCCCGAGCGCGGTGGCAATGGCGCGGCTTACGGCGCTTGCCAAGCCGGATGGCGGAGTACGGGGGATAGCGACCGGGGACACCTTTCGCCGCCTCGTCGCCCGCACATTGGCCAAGGCCTGGGGAGCCACGTTCGATCAAGCTACACCACGTCCTTTCCAATACGCACTTCAGTCGCGGGCGGGCACAGATGCTGTGGTCGCCACGGTCGGGACGGACGACCTGATGCCGTGGTAGTGTCGCTCGATGGGCGCAGCGCCTACGACAGCATTTCGCGAGCAGCCTTCCTCAGCAAACTGCGGGAGGTTGCTCCGGAGTTGCTGCCATTCGTGCGCATGTCTTATGGCCATATGGAGTTTGCCATGGCATGAGATTTTTCACCTCTGGAACGAGCGCGTGCGTGACTTCCAACAACGGCTTCATTTGCAAAGCTGGTCTGAAACATGGCAAACATTCAACACAGCAAGTGACATTGTAACACTCGCTTGTCAAAGTTACAACAACTACTTGACGTCATGAGCTCAGACATCATTGCTGTACAAACGCGAGGAAAGCAGCAAAATGATTCTCCCAATTGGCGTCGTTTTTTGCATGGTCCATCCACCTTTCCCACCCCATAGTACGCGCGAAAGCTTCCAAATGTGAGGCCCAGGAATTTCGAGGCCGGCCGCGAACGCGACTTCCAGGAGGTATCCATTCCATAACGCGTTTGATCCATCTGTTGGATGGTACGCAGCTCACATGACGAGCAAATCTCCAGTAATGCTTGAGGCATGTTTTTTTTTTTTTCGCGGACCTTTTTCCTCCGCTGCGATGTCCCCAGCGGCTAAAAAAAAAAAAGTTTGCCTGCGCCCCAGAGGGGCTGCCTATCGGCTTGCAGGTCTCACTCACTGTCTTATGGCCACTCGCCAGCAAAGGTCGTCACGGTGGCTACGCGCGGAAGTTGCCGTGGTGGTACCCTGGCGCGTCCAGAAAGAAGGACTTGGAGTTTCCACCAGCCTGCCTTCGCCGAAGCAAAGGCAGACGTGAGAAGCTCCTCGTCACGGTGGCTACGCGCGTGCGGCCCGCACTGGGCCAGGTGGTGGGGACCGTGGAAGAGGATTGCGGGATCGCCTTACACCTCGGTAAGATGCGGGCGCTCGGGGCGGCAGAGGCGGGCCTTCCACCCCCCCGCCAGATGTGGCCGCCTAGAATGCCTGGGAGGTGATGGGGGCGAGGACGTGGATGAGCAGTTCGCGCGCGAATTGGCCTGCCTACCAGCGTCCCTCGGTGGCCTAGGCTTCGCGTCAGCAGCGCGTGGCCCCAGGCGGCGAGGGCGGATGCTCTCCCGGTCATGGCGGCTCGTCTTCCGGCTTTCGCGGCGGCCTGCGTCGCCGAACACCAACAAGGGGGCGCAGGCGCCGCGTGTTTGAGCCACGCTGCGAGCGCCCGCACGCTGCTGTTGACCGAGGGCTGGGGCGCGTGCCAGCTGGACCGGAGTTTCCGGGGGCCTGCGGCCGGACGCGGAGGCGGATACAGGACTTGGCGAATGGCCACACGGCTGGCAGCTTCATGCGTCGCGCACTCGCAACTTTTACTACCGCGACCGCGTGATGCTGCCGTCGTTGACGCCGGACCGCCGAGCCCTGCTTCGCTCCCAGTCAGGCCCACACGCTGGCGCGTGGCTGGTGGCCATACCAGGCGAGCCGGCCACGACGTTGTCCCCGCCCGTCATGCAGGTGGCCCTGCGCAGGCGCTTGCGCCTTCCCCTGCACGTAGCACGGCTGCTCGGGTCACGTCCGCTCCTTGCTTTTGCTTGGCAGCGCGCAACCCCCATTGTGCGCCGGCGTCGTGGTTCAGCGGAGGATGTGAGCGTGGTGTACAGCATGTTTAGGTACCGGTGCATGCTGGCACGTGCTTTCTGCGCAGGCTTGTGCATGGGAAGTGTGGTTCGAGGGACGGCTCGCGATTGCAAAGTGTAGCCCCCTTTACCCTGTCACCCATGTTCGTTAAGTGTACGGAAGCAAAACGCGCTTAGCCGACCAACTAGTAAGGAGTTTCAGTTACAGGCACCATCGCACATGGCACCATGGCGCATGGCACCATGGCACCATGGCACCATATGCCAGGAGTGTTTGAGGCTTATTTATTGTATTTGTTAGGCTTATTCATTTTACATTCCCCCGCCGCCATGACTTCCTTCGACGTGTTGGATGCAGAAATGGAGCGGTTGAAATCTATGTCTGGTGGCGGTTCGAGCTTGGAGCCGATATTGTTCCCAAGCAGTATCAAGCAGTTTAAGAAACGCTTTCATACATTGCTGTGTCATTGTCGCAAACATCGGCCCTAAATTGCTCGTGAAAGTGAGGCGAGGTTTTCATGATGCAGGATTTCAGGCGCTGGTTCAGCCACTCCGCATGTGAGCATTCATTGTTTGGATTGTGTTTTTGGATGGTTATGGTTGAACATGCCTTGTTTTTTTTTGTGAATGTTTTTTTTGTTCCATGCATCAGGCAGTTCGCGGCTGAAAGGGCGCTGCATTTTCAAACAACATGCCCAGATGGTTCGCAACCATTGATCTGGACGCAGCTGGGAACTTAGATCTGATTAGGATCATCCGGAGTGTGGCACTGATGCGAAGAACTGAGGTATTTCAACGAGTATCGCGAGCTTTTTGAGAGCCATTTGCGACACATATTGCACGGCCTTGGAATGACCGAAGATACGTTCCATGAGTTGTGTGGATACTTGCAGGAGATCATCGGATGATCATTCTTTCTGCTTGCGCAATGGTTGTTCTTCTCACCGATGTGTTTGCCGCGCTCTGTTTGTGAGTAGTGTTCGTGCAGCATCGCTGTTGATCCCGGATAGCATTTGGGTTTGTTTTGGAATCAAGCAACAAAGGCCTCAGTATTTCTTCCGGTCGAAGGCAGCAGTTTAGCTTGTGCATACGGCCAGGCTGCCCACATATTGAGGCTTCGGTGTCGCTGTCGCTCTCGCCTTCGATTTCTCTTTCACCTTCGCTTCTCCCTCGTGCTTCCACATGGGGATGCTTGGGGCACTCCTGGATGTTGGTTCATCCAGCTGCTTTCTTCCAAAATCACTGAAGATTCAATTTGTGTAGGGTTTCCATGTGTGACACGGGATTCCGGAAGTTTGGATAGGCGGTTGAACTGGACCATCCATTAACAGGAGCTAGAGAAGTGACCGGGGCGAGAGAGGTTAACCTTTACTTTTTCTCAATGCTCTTTTATATAATCCCAAGCGACTCATACAGTCATGAATTACAAATGCAGGAGGTTGCCCAATACAGCGTGTGGTAGGCTCAGGGGCGCCGTCGCAGGATTTGGCCGCCTGTGACTGCCGGTGGAGGCGGACCAACCCACACGGCCCTGCTGGGCCTGGTGCTGCTGGCTGGTGCTGCTTGCTACTTGGGTGCCCTGCTGGGTCTGGTTGCTGGCTGGTGCTGCTTGCTACTTGGGGGTGCAGCTTGCTGCCATGCTGGGCCTGGTGCTGTTGGCTGGTGCTGCTTGGTATTTGGGTGTACTGCTCGGCCTGGTGCTGCTGGCTGGTGCTGCTTGCTGGCGCCGCTGGTGCTGTTTGCTACTTGGGTGCCCTGCCTGGCGCTGTTGGTGCTGCTTACTACTTGGGTGTCCTGCTGGGCCTGGCGCCGCTGGTGCCGCTGGTGCCGCTGGTGCTGCTGGTGCTGCTGGTGCTGCTGGTGCTGCTGGTGCTGCTGGTGCTGCTGGTGCTGCTGGTGCTGCTGGTGCTGCTGCTGCTGCTGCTGGTGGTGGTGGTGCTGCTGCTGCTGCTGCTGCTGCTGCTGCCGCCGCCGCCGCCGCCGCCGCCGCTGCTGCTGCTGCTGCCGCCGCTGCTGCCGCTGCTGCTGCTGCTGCTGCTGCTGCTGCTGCTGCTGCTGCTGCTGGTGCTGCTGCTGCTGCTGCTGCTGCTGCTGCTGCTGCTGCTGGTGCTGCTGCTGCTGCTGGTGCTGCTGGTGCTGCTGGTGCTGCTGCTGCTGCTGGCAGTGCTCACTGGTGCTGCTTGCTACTTGGGTGCCCTGCTGCTGGCTGGTTCTGCTTGCTACTTGGGTGCCCTGCTGGGCTGGTGCTGCTGGCTGGTGCTGCTGGCTGGTGCTGCTGGCTGGTGCTGCTGCTTGCTGCTTGGGTGGGTCTGCTTGGGCTGGTTGGTGCCCGGCAGTTTGCTACTTGGGTGCCATGTTGGGCCTGCTTGGTACTTGGGTGCCCTGCTCGACCTTATCGTCTCTTGGCCGGGAGCTCCCGGGGCGCTCTGCCAGCTTGAGCTCGAAACGGAGGGGCTGTGACGTTTAACGGAGCCCCTGAGGTGCCGGGAGGGATGGCGCCTTCGGCACGGCACTGCTACGAGCAGGTGCACTCACTCACTCACTTTCTAAAGCCAGAATGAGAAACGGTCGCTGTCAGAACAAAGTTGATCACCTCAAAAACATCAGCCACGCTTTGAGCCGCAACTCTTGAGCCGAAGCGCAAGTTCTCAAACAAAGCTTCGTTGCAAAAATCTGCTGTTTTGTGGCTTTTGACGCACGTCCCGGGCTTCGGAACCTGGAACACAACAGCAATCTGCACCTGCCAACTTCGCTGTTCTTTGCTTGTGCCTTTCCTGGAGTTCCTGGAGTGTGGTCACAAACCATGTCTTTCTGGGATGGGGTGTCGTGTGCATACATACCTGCATTCATGTGCATTGTGCCTTGACAATGTTACTGTTGTCTTTGAAGACAACAGTGTCGGAATGCTTCGTAAAGTGGTCATGCGCGAGCAACCTCGAGTGTCTGGAGGAGATAGAGGAGAATTTGGGTGATGATTCCGAAAATCTTTACGGCTACATCAAGGCAGATTCTGTCCTATTTGTACTTGCGTGGGCCCGATCGCGTGGCTATGACAGGCCATTACATCATCTGAAGATTATGATGCTTTTCTACAGCTGATGTTTGCAGAGGCCTGACCATCCTGACCGAAAGCCCAAAAGCCACCCTTCACGGGCTAGCACGGGCCAAGTTGTCAGGTGCAGCGGCAGCAGCAACAAGCTGGAGCGCCACGGTGGCATGCGTCTGCATTGTGAGTGGAATCAACTTAAAACTAAAATAACGCAAAGCCAAGGCTGGCCCAGGAACATCGCAGGAAATCGAAGTGGTCGTTCCCGAGGGGATGGGCTCTGGGGAGCTGTGCCCTCAGACATGGGCAAGGGGAGGGCAAAGGTGGACTGAGGGTGTGTCATTGGGGTGGTGCATGGTGGTGTATATTGTGTAGTCAGCCCCAGGATGTCGCACACAGAAGGAAGGGTCAGTTGATGTTAGTTGACAAGTCGATGGGGTCAGGCAAAATGCTGCGCAAAACAGCAAAACTGGTTTAGACCTCAGAGTCATCCTGAACTGGATAGCGTGGCACATGTACTCGAGGATTCTTCCGGTCGATTACTTGGGCGCCCGCTATGATCTCATCATCCCGGTCCCTTGACGATAGGAGCGTGTGTTCGAATGTGTCGCCTCCAGTGAAGATGGTGCAGCATGTGCAGCCCAGGACGGGTACACAGCAGGTATGACTTTCCGCACCAGCATTCTTATTTGAGAGGTCAGTCCCCATTTTCATCGCACATTACACAGTGTCAGCGGCGCGCTTGTAATAGAATGACATCTCAGACGCCACTTCGCAATGGCATGTGTAATGCGACCACTTCGCAATTTCACGTCTAAAGCGGGTCCATCGGCCGCAGGCCATGGGCGAAACATGTGCTGTGCCGCCTTCACAAAGGTTGATGGCAGTGTTCAGAATGAACCGCAGAGTTTCAACGTGCAGCCGCACTGAGATGAAAAACCGCAGTTCCGTGAGATAATCCAGCATAGTGCAGCACACAGCACGTTCCAGCACGCTCACTGGGAAACCAGAAGGGTCATGCGCAGGTGGAAAGGGCCGCTAGGGCCCACAGCTTGACGAGCGTTGCTGGTTGATCTGGTCAGTTGAACACCTATTTCAGCGTTGCTTGCAGCCATCTTGGCAGGGCACCCGATCTTGACATTTGGGAGACCGGCCGTTAGCAGGTGGTCTCCCTAGGACCAGATAACGATGGATCCTTATGCTAGCCTCCGCGGAGAGTACAGTGCCTTGGACGTCGCACGCGAGATGCAACGTGGGAATCCGCAGGACCCTTTCGCGGGCAATCCGTTTCGAACCGAAGGTGCATCGGATTTTCTAGGGCTTGATTTGCCTCAGCAGCAAGAGCACAGCTCCGCGTCACAGCGGGGCAGCCGAATAAGTCCAGATTTCCTTCCATTAGGAGGATCCATGAATTCAGCCGCGGCCGCAGTGGATTATCGACTACACAACGCACCGGGCCAGGCGCCAGCCAACGGTCCACCAGTTGGCTTGGTCACAGAAGAGCTTTCCCAGCCGTTTGACAAATCTGGGGTCATGTCGCCCCAGGAGCTGCAAAGCCTTTACCAGGATGCTTCCGACGTTCAGATTCAAGACCCTAGAGTTTTGAGCATGAAAGTTGTGGACAAGCAGGAGCAGAAAGTCTCCAAAGTGGTCACTGGCAAGAGACAGGTCATCACTGTGGAGAAAGTCGTGGAGATCCCCCAGGTCATCACAAAAGAGACAATCAAGCGTGTGCCGAAACCAGAAATAATCGAGCGCATCATTGAGGTTCCAGGTAAGGTGGAGTACCGTTATGGCGGGTGTGGCGGACCTGGTGGCGGACCTGGTGGCGGACCTGGTGGCGGACCTGGTGGCGGACCTGGTGGTGCAGGTCCCTATGGCCCTGGTGGCATGGGAGGACCAGGTGGCTTTGGTCCCAACGGACGTCAAGGCGGTCTGGGAGCAGGTGGGTTTGATGGAAGCTTTGGCGGAGGTCCTGGTGGCGGCTGTGGCGGCTGCGGGTCTGGCGGCTGCGGGCCTGGCGGCTGCGGGCCTGGCGGCTGTGGGCCTGGCGGCTGTCCTGGCGGCTGTGGGCCTGGCGGGTTTGGCGGCTGCGGGCCTGGCGGCTGTGGGCCTGGTGGCTGTGGTGGCGGCTGTGGCCCTGGTGGGGGCTGTGGTCTTGGCGGCTGTGATGGCTGTGGTGGTGGCGGCTGTGGCGGTTATGGACCTGGTGGGTGGGGTGGGCTTGGTGCAGGAGGGGGTGGTCTAGGGGGTGGTCCAGGCGGGGTAGGTGGCTTTGGTCCTGGTGGCTGTGGCGCCGGCTTTGGCCCCGGCGGCCCTGGCGGCTTTGGCATGTTTGGCCCTGGTGGTGGCTGTGGTGCTGGTGGCTACGGACCTGGCGGTCTTGGCGGCTGTGGAGGGTTCGGTGGCTCTGGTCCCGGTGGCCCGTGGTTGGGTTCTGGCAGAGGTCCCAATGGTCCTGGAGGTGGCAGCTTTGGTAGACTGGGCGGATTGGGAGGAGGGTGGATGGACGACCTGTTTGGATCGCCCGGTCTTGGAGACGATAGCGTGTATGGACCAGGCTTGAGTGGCATCGGTCCAGGAGGCCTCGCTATAGACTTGGGGGGTTATGGTGGAGGTGGCATCCGTGAAGCCTTGGGTTGGGATCCTAGTGGCATGCAGCTTGTGGGTGGTCCTGGCAGCTTGGAGGAGGCCTTGCAGAACCTAGGTGGGCCGGGTGCGGGTGGCGATGGCGATCTTCCAGGGCTTCCTCCTGGTGTGGAGCCCGGCTCCAAAGAGTACAATGAGCATCTTCACATGCTTGAAGCCCAGGGCTTGATCGAGATCCAGGAGGAGATTGTAGAGGTGCCGCAGGTCATCGTGGAGGAGAGGGTAGTCCACGTCCCAGGAAGGAAACAGATCCAGGAGAGGCTCATCGAAGTGCCCAAGGTGGAATGGGTTGAGCGAGTCGAATATGACGACTTCGTAGAGTATCGGGAGGTGCCCGTTGACAAAATCATTGAAGTGCCGGAGATCGAGTACAAGATCAAGCAGGTCGCAGGGCTCGAAATTCCCATATTTCAGCACCAATTGTCCAGGCAAATGAACCAGACATAGATTTTTGTAGGCCCTCGTCCTTGAGACACCCAGTGTATCCCAGTGTTCGCGGGGCAAGAATCCCTCAGGTGGACCAGACAGTGCCGCAAACGTACATCCAGGAGCACTTTGTGGACAGATACAAGGAAGTACCTGTGACGCAGGTCCAGGAGACGGAACGCGTCGAGCATGTGCCAGTGATGGTTCCTAACGACTGGCGGCCGCCAAACATGCAGGCGCTCGGGATACAGAATGCGGCCCCAGCAATCGTCACCACCTGAGGTTCAGCCTGAACTTGGCAGGAACGCTTGATTTCACCAGCTCTTGGGCATTAAATTCTCAAGAGTCTGCACATCGCTTCACTTTGAAAGTCGGGCACTGATGGCAACCTGCTGTCAGCGTAAGGCACTGCAGTCGCGAGACAGAGGTAGCTTGAAAAAAATGTGGTTTTTGTTGTCATCGTACCAGTATGAAGAAGTCATGCGCCCGTGCTGTATTGCATCTGGGCACGAACACAGCTGTTTCAGGCCAAGCTCCGCGACACCCGGGTTCCTAGTCTTAGATCAGCTCTTGTCAGCTCTTGGATTCATGTCTTCATCGTAAAAGGTTGGGGCCTTTGAAGCTTGGCCGGCCATGGCTGAAGTGGATGAGTTTGAAGAGAATGACTCCAAGCCCGACGACCAGGCCGACCCTGTCAGCGAACGGAAGATGAGGTCATTGTGCCCTGTATGATTTTTGTATGACTCGTGCAGGGGTTGACCACATGACTCGTTTTCAGCATGTTTCAGCTGCAGCTAGCGAAGTGCCTGAGAAGTCTAAGACAGCTTAAGGTTGAAGAAACAAATGGTTGATGATGTCAGCGTCGCTGCCTTTGCTCAACTGGGCTCCTCGTTCTTTGCCGCTGCCCGTGCACGGTTGGCTCACTCGTGGGACGAAGCACAACAGCAAGGATTGCGCTGCGGCGTGTTAGGCTTGTAGAGACATGTAGAGACCATTAGAGAACCCCTCGCACCTCCAAGGAATCTGGTGCCCCCACGGCGGCAACCATACGGACAAGGCATCAGCGCCTAGCACAGGATGCCAGGCTGGATGAATTATGGGAAGTGTATGGAGTTGTGATGAGTTATGGGTTCTTGGCTGTTTGAGGACAGGCTGCACACATACGGTTCACATGTCGACTCTTGCTGGGCAGGCTAGCTGCGGAACGTGGGCAGTGGGACCTGGCCGAGAGGCAGCAGAGCCTTCGCAAGACTTTGAAAACGAAGGAGTTTTCTTGGAAATGGGCAGAGTGACTGAGTGTGCCGAAGACACTGACATTGGGTCCCGAGGTTGAATGAGAAGGACCATGACGAACGAGCACGAGTGGAGACGGAGCGGCTGGCAAGAATGGATGCCAAGCGCAAACGCTTGCAGGGCACAGAGGGCACAGAGAGCACAGAGGGCCAAGAAAACAAGCAATCTGGTAGGGCCCGACTTCGTTTGTCCTTTGCTGGCGAGGACGACTTCTGATTCAAGGCATGGCGCACAAAATGCGTTGCATGGGGTCTACCAGGTGCTGCGCTGTGCCACTGGCACGGCCAATGTCTGCCCAGCCATCCGCACGGCATACACTGATGATCACCGATGACGTCCTTCAGGCAGCTGGCCCCCTTCGGATAACCCCTGGGCATCTTTCTGTTCATCTTCACAACATGCAAAGGAGCGAAAGGTGAATAATTCCGCGCCGATTCTTGAAGACCCTTTCTGGTGCGGAACGCTTCCTGAAACAGGGGCTGGTGATGACCTCGTGCGTGAGCTCGGACTTGCATGTTCAGGACCCTTTCATTCTCATGCCTGTGTAGCGGACGAAGCAGCACCGAGTTCTTAAGCAGCTGGTTGTCTTGGGGTTCAGCAGGCAGGTTGAGCCTCTGCGCCAGTTCGGCTCATCAGTCGGCAACCCATAGCACGCGACATCTCGCCATCGAGTCGATCTCATGTCACCCCGCCTTAAGATTCTTAAGAAGCTTTCCAGAGGACCGTGGATATCTGCAGCTTCCAGCCAAAGCATGGGAATGTGTAGGTAGCAGGCCTCCGGCAACAGGAGGAGGGCACAATGCCGGCCATGTTGCCCAGGACAAAGGCAGCGCGCTTGGTTGGGCTTTTGGGCCAGTAGCACTGCGCACACCTCTGTGTGCCGTGTGGACTTGAGGGCTCGAGAGGGGGCTCGTTTCTGCGTTTCTGCTTCTAATGTTGTACTTTCCTTTTCATCTTTTACAACTCGTGCCCCCACGCCGAGGCTGCAGGTGAAGCCGAAGTTCTTGGCTCAGAAACTTTAAAGTGCTGACGCTGCTGCCTGACTAGGCGTTTTGAGTCACCAACAATACAAGACTAATACAGGCAAGCAGCAGTTCGCTGTTGGTGGCGAGGCCTTTGATGCTATCCTGGTCAAGCTCGAGATGGCCTTGTCGAAGGCACGGCTAGCTTTCAGCAGAAGCTTCAGCAAAAGCTGTCGCAGAAGCCCATGTGCCCATGTCCGTAGGCCGGTGGTGCTGACCTGGGAACTGTGCGGCTACAGCGTCCGGGGCCTAGGATGGATGAGTGCGAGGATAGCCTCCGTCACAATCTTGGCCGATCGGTGCATTTACTGATATGTGATATGTGTCTGCGGTGCGTTGTGCCTGGCATGGTGCTACGGCCGCTAATGAAGTGCTTCGAGGATTGCCAGGAGGGTTTGCAGGGCTTCAGGTCTGTTAACGCGCAATAAATCCGACGAGTCGGCGGCATGTGTGCCACTTAGGGATTGCTCATAGTCTCGTCTCTCGGCTTGAAACGGGGCGTCTCCGGTTCCTCGCTCCTCTTCTTGTGCTCCGTGGTGCAGAAGCGTCCTCTCCAGATCCCGACTTTCGGCTCGGATACTACTTGGCTATTCAACCGACCTGCTGACTTTTACCCCCAAGTCCTCGACGTATCTCGCGCCTGGGCTGAAGTGAATTGGGTGTACTGACAAGTACTATCTGGTCCCTTTATCTGGATTTGTAGCAGCCCGAAGCTCTATACCGACAGGATTCTTTTGCTGAGATGACAAAAGCAGCTTGTGTATTTACGAGACACCACCAAACTGCCAGAGTCCCTGATCAGGGGTGCTTGGTGACATGAAACGTCGTTATCCAAGTTGTCTGTGCCGTTCCGCTCCACTGGACTCTGCCTGGTGAGCTCCAGTGTATCCTGCACATCTTCTACAGTTAGCATTCAGTTAACACTCAGTTAACACTCAGTTAACATTCAGTTTACACTCAGTTAACACTACACTTAACAACACTACAGTTAACACTACAGTTAACACTACAGTTAACACTACAGCTTTGCATCTGTTAAATGCGCGTGTCCAGCAAAATGCTGGTTTTTGCAGCTTTTTGCTAGTGTTAACTGTAGTGTTCATTGAGTGTTAACTGAGTGTTAACTGCGGAAAAGGTACAATATGCAGTTAACACTGTATACTCTTCATACATCTTGCGTGCTGCGACGACGTTGACGGTACGTAGCTGCCGTAGCTCACGCGAGGGGTTGCCGCCTCGCGTCCTTGCAACGTACCCTCATCTGCCCTTCTTTCTCTTCTGGGCCCGTGATCGCCTGTACACTTCCGCTCCAAACCTTCGTATCTTCCAGACCCCGAGCCTGGGACCTTGAAATGTGGGGTCTGTGTGACAGTCCCTCGCACCTCTTCTACGACGTACATTGTTGGGTTTTTCTGAGAGCTTCCAGGCTCCCCCCGTCCCGCCGAGCCCTTTGCGAAAAGCGGCGGTGCCCGTAGCAACATCTCTGGGTCATGTCGCGATCGCTCGAAGCATTGTGACCTTTGCGAAATATCCGTGTGTGTGTGAGTGTGTGTGTGTGGTCTTCGGGTGTCCATGGAAGGGCGGCGCGAGGCGATTTCGTTGAGTTGCCACTTCCTTGAGGTGAACTTGTTTATGAGTGTTGTTTGCTAGTAGGCTGTGGCAGCAAAAGCCCCTCGTGGCGGATGGATTGTTGTAGACAGCTCCGTCCGGGGTTGTTCAGTTTCACGAGAGCGCACCAATAGCATACTTGCATGAAAGACGCTTGGATGGTGCCACTTCGCATCCCCCGTGGTTAGGAAGGTGGCAAAAACCCAAAGACAAAGTCAAAGAAACACATCCTGGCTTCTGTGTAGAACCCTGGGTTATGGCAAGACTTTGGTTAAGCGCACACAAGTTGGCATTGAGATTTCCACGGGCACGGTGTTTGTGTGCAATCAGAGGTTGTGAACTTGATGTCGCGGCGAACTTGGAGGTGGCATTATCTAGTTTGACAGTTTGTGCGTGCATGGACATTGGACTCATGAGACATTTCCCAAGTGTTCAGATGGCTTGATTTTCGTGCATGCGGAGGCTGCGAGGAGCCTCATGATGGCTGTCCTTCAGAGCATGTCCCCTATTGTACAGCAAGCTTGTTGAACGACGGTGGTTCGAGAATACGCTGCTCAGGTGAGAATGAGCACCGAACCGTTTTGCAGCACGTGTTCGGCGGGGTTCGGTTCTGAGTACAACTTTTTATCCGTCGCTTTGGGACCAGTTTGTTTGCTGGCAGGGCACGAGACAGAGAGAGAGAGAGAGAGAGAGAGTGCGAAGGGCGTAGCATGCCACGACATTTACCTCGAGCTCGCCAATGCCAACCCAGAAGCAACCCCAGTGCACCCAGCACAGCAGATGTGCTCGCACTGCAAGAAGGGGGGGAGGAAGCAACGTCGAGGGGAGGCCAGACAGTCACAACAGGAGATCTCATGGAAGCCCGAAACATACTGTGCAACCTCGTGGCGTTCCTGGAGGAGCCCATTGCGGAAGAGATCCGGGGAGCAGTCAGAGCCATAGACAGATGGTTGGCGTCATGGTGGGGGGAGGAAATCGCGGTAGTGGTCGAAGACAGCCAAGACGTACAGTGCACCACACACCCAAGCGGGAGCAGCAGCAGCAGAGCCGCCTGTGACACAGAAAGCAGAGGGGGGCGAACTCGACAACAAGACAAAGAACAGGGAAAAAGCGGCAAGGGCAACGAGAACAAGACCGGCGACGTGCTCCAGGACGAGGACGAAGACGACATGGTAGAAGTGGAGGTGGAAGAAGAAAATGACGCAGCCAACAATGGGGGAAACCCAGAACCCCGAGCGGAAGACGAAGCGCCTGATTGGGGTGGTGAGGAGACGCTGGGAGAAGGGGAACGACGACGTCGTGACCGTGCGGAACCAGAATAAATGGGGGGAGAAAACACTGAGACCGAACGGCGAGCACCACTGAGGGAAAGGAGCGTGAGCAAAATGTACATGTAGCAGTAGAGGTCGGAAGGGTCAGTTGTTCTCTCTTCTACAGGGCATCGTGCGCCGGAGCCATACTATTCTAGTGTAGGGGGAATGTGTCAACCCAATCGGACCCGAAAGTTTCACAAATTAGGGGAAACCAAACCGGTGACCCAATAAGTATCTCACCTGGATCTCGCACTCGGGCGCGCTTTGGTGCGCGGGGGGGCCCCGGGTCCCCTCATGCCCAGCAGAAGAAGAAGAAGAAGAAGAAGAAGAAGAAGAAGAAGAAGAAGAAGAAGAAGAAGAAGAAGAAGAAGAAGAAGAAGAAGAAGAAGAATAAGAAGAAGAAGAATAATAATAATAAGAAGAAGAAGACGAAGACGAAGAAGACGAAGAAGAAGAAGAAGAAGAAGAAGAAGAAGAAGAAGAAGAAGAAGAAGAAGAGGAAGACGAAGAAGAAGAAGAAGAAGAAGAAGAAGAAGAAGAAGAAGAAGAAGAAGAAGAAGAAGAAGAAGAAGAAGAAGAAGAAGAAGAAGAAGAAGAAGAAGAAGAAGAAGAAGAAGAAGAAGAGAGAGTGAGGTTTTGTGGGGGAGGGGGAAGTGGATCAGCAGCAGACGCCTGTAGGGGGCAGACGCCTGTAGAAGAGCAGACCTAGTACAGCCACGCGAAGCCGGGGGAAACTGAGCTGGTTCGGTGCCCTTGATTTGCCTGAAATCTGCACTTTGAATAGGCAGTCGTACACATCAGGCTCCCATCGGCTAGGAGTAGACAGATGGTAGCACATGATAGGACACATGTGCCTGCAAGCGGGTTCAATAGTTGGGCATGTTCGGGGTGTACTTGTGTGATTGCGCAGCAGAGCACAGACGCTTTCACGCGGAAGAGCACAACAGGTGCTCGATGCGCACATCCTCGGAGTCTTACGGGGGGGGGGAAGGGGGGAAATCAAAGCAGGATGTGAGCACGCTTCCGCCCGCAGTGTCACTCGGATTCGCTGCAGACTGGGCGCGCCTAGCGCGCGGGGGGGGGGGGGGGGTGACTCCCCTCAAGCCCCGAAGAAGAAGAAGAAGAAGAAGAAGAAGAAGAAGAAGAAGAAGAAGAAGAAGAAGAAGAAGAAGAAAGAAGAAAGAAGAAAAAGAAGAGGAAGAGAGAGTGAGAGGGAGAGAGATGGTCGGTTCGCTAAATTCTGGACCATGCTTTAAGAAGTGACCAGATGAGCTTCATGTCTTAGGTGGGGGCTGAGACATCGTGGGGGAGTTTGATGTGTCAATGTAGCGCCGAAAGACTGCCCATACCTCCCTGAAGGGATGGAAGATGTGTGGGGTGTGGGATGCGGGGAATTTGTGCAGCAATTGTTGTTGTCGATCCAGAAATCACTTGTGCTTGTGCTTGTGCTCGTCGTGACACTTCCTACTGCTGTGGTTCCTCTCGGCCTGGCACTTGAAGTGCTCGCTGGAAACATTGTTGACGTGAATACTGTTGTTCGAACTGTTGTCTGTGGGATCACAAATCAAAATCTGCAAACAGGATTGAAGCACGGTTTCAAAAGTTTCAAATTTGTTACCAAAAGAATCATGGATCACAAGTGATAAAAATCACAATGAGGCTGGATTCGCATCATGCAAACAAGTAATCAACCCACACACCACTCACAACAGCAAGAGTTTATTACCTTAGGGGGCCCTTCAAGCCCAGCAGAAACTAGACACCGATTACCCCGAAAGCAATCAGTGCGATGTTTACAAGGGACGCATGGGACGCGTACACTTGGCTGTGTTGTGTAAGTGGGGTGGTCATGACGTGGTGTAGGTGCCGAGAAATAGGTGTGGCGCAGGTAGTGTGATCTCGGCACGGTGTAGATGCCGAAGCAAGCTCGATCGCTAGGGTCGCGTGTTTTGGTGCAAAGCACCTCAGCACAGTCGCTTAAGCTTGAAGCAGCTTCTAACGGCATCGTGCAATGGAAACACTTTTCCAATCAGCTTTGTCTTGGAGGCACCTAACCAGTCGTTGCGAGTTGCCATGTCGTGAATACGCTGTAAAAGCGCAAAAAGGGACGCCGGGAGCGCTTCGACACGCAAGATCCCCGCAGAGGGTTCGCGGGCAGAGGGTTCGTTGGCGACGTTGAAAATGCACAAAAACGCGCACACGATCCGGCAGAGGGTTCACGGGCCACGTTAAGAATGCACAAAAACGTACAGCAAGAGCGCCTGGACACGCATGATCCTCGGCTTTAAATAGAAGCGCATTGAATCCGTGTAGGTCGTGCGGTGTTGTGGTGATAGCAGTGTAGGTGGCGTGGTGCGGTGTGCTGGTGTAGTTGGTGCGCTGGTAGGTGGAGTGGTGCGGAGAAGTGTGGGCGGAGTGGCGGTGTGCTGGTGTTGTTGGTGCGGTGTCGTTGCTGTGGTGCCAGCAGGGCAAGCATGTCTTTCAGGAGAATCCTTCGCGGTACTTTCGGGAAAAAAGAAGAAACAAAATAATGACAGAAGAAGAAGAAGAAGCAGAAGCAGAAGAAGAAGAAGAAGAACAGGAAAAAGAAGAAGCAGAAGAAGGAAAATAAGAAAAACAAAAGAGTTGTTAGGGTGCAAGAGTGCTAGATGGTCATGTGTTCGGTCGGTGGCTCGAAAAAAGCGTGCTGCGTCGCACATAGCCACACTGCGTGGGGGCCAGCCGAAGGACGAGGCTAGGGGGGTGCAGATCTGAGGGTGTAGTCCAGGGGTGCAGATTCAGTGCAGATTGCTACAACTGGTCTCGGAACAATCGAGGGCAGGACTAGGTGGACATAAAGACAGGGGTGGGCGAAGATGCCGGGCCGCCGGGGTTCGCTCCCTTGCCCCGCGAAAGAAAGGAACATACGAAGTACAGAAAAGAGAGAAAGAACGAAAAAAACAAAGAAAGCAAGAAAGAAAAAAAAAGAAAACAGCTAAGAAAAAGCAAAGAAAGAAAGCAACAAAGAAAGACAAACAACACAGAAAATGACAAATGTATAGAGAGGGAGAGAGAGAGAGAGAGAGAGAAGGCCTGAGCTCCGTCGGAGACACTTCATAGTTATGTTTCACCAAATGCAAGCAGTGCGCAATTGTGCCAAACTCGCACAAGTCCCAGGATTGCTTACGGATTTCGAGGGCAAGAGCAGTGCCCTCCTTTGCTTCGGGCTTGAAGCCCTTGCGTTGTCTGTTGTCTGCTTCTCATGGCTTTGCATGGCTTCGCGTTCTTTGGAAGCCTTTTGTCCTCCTCAGGTTGTTGAGTCAACCTTGCAACTCGGCCTTTGCGGCAGGTGCCGCTCCGTCATGTCGTGGGCTGTCAGGCAAAAGCATCTAGCCAAATAGATCTGCAGCGCGAAGAAGTGGGGCATTGCAAGATGCCGGGCTATTGTGTTTAAGTCTGAAATGAGTTGTTTTTTGTGGAAGTTATGCACAGGCATGGTAGAGCAACGGACTGCCTGAGGGCCTGTGAGTCTGTCGAGCCATGCTGGCGAGTTTGTAAATGTGTTGAAGCGGCTCTCTCATGCCTTCTTTAAGCCCTTGCCGCATGTGGGTTTGGCACTTGGCTTCTGATAAATAAAGCCTTGGACCACAAAGGTGCCAAAGTTGTACCGGGGACACCATTTTAAAGATCCCTTAAGCCGTGATACAAGGAGCGTCGGAATTTTGAGGGAGGAGGGACTCCTTTCTGCTTCCACATGGTACGACCTTAGGATCCCTTGGTGCGTGCGACCCGCTCACCCGGCCACTCCAACTGACTTTTTAAACAGAATCGAAAGGAATCAAAGCAGAGCAAGCTGTTTTGGAAGTGTTGATGCTGTTTACTTTTGGTTCTCCGTGCCAGGCAAGTTCTTGGTGATCTTGGACTGGGCTTCTCGCTTCGTAGATGCCTGAGTTTGTATTATTGTAAACGAAGATGCATGCACAACGAAGCACTTATGCGAATTGCTTGTGGATCGGATTTGTCCCTCTGCTTCGCATGTTGTGAATGCACCTGAGGGCAGTTGTCTAGATTGCATTCTGCCGCCAGCATGGCATTCCACGCAAGCATGCTCGTATGTTGCACGGATATTGCAGCTTTGGTTCAGGTAGATCGGTAGTTGCACTGCTGCACAAAACGTGCAGCACAGCCTAGCCATCTGGATACCAGATGAGCGTGTCATACTGAGCCACAGATGGGAAAGATCATGCTTATCAATTTTGACCTCTTTCGCGGACTTTTCCTGGCACTCATCTTATCCGTGCTACATCTGACGCGCGGGGAGGTTCTGCTGGTTGACCCCGACACAGACATGGCTTTGTACGTTAATGGCCAGGAAATTTTTCCAGATACTGCAGTCCCTGTGCTGCCCATGAATGGTGTTCGGCGAATCAATACAGCAGAGACAACGATAAGAGTCTACAGAACTGCGCGGGATCTGACAACCGGTGATTTGCTTGCACTGCAAGTTAACACCAGGCGTGCAGGCATCATAAATGTGACAGATGCGCTGGGGCGGAAGATTGAGTACCCTGCTCCAGTTGGTATTGTACTTGTCGGGGAAGCTGGCACCATGAGCACCGATGCATTTAAGTGTTTCACACAGAAGGAGGCCAACGACGACGTGAAAACACCGTTTCAGGAACTTGGTTTCAACGACTCGCATTGGCCTTTGGCTTATGAGCAGGCGCCAGACTGTTGCCCATGGCGCGACTCTTTGATGGCCTGGAACAGGATTGGGGCAAAGTGGATCGGATTGCACCCTGCCTTCTTTGCAGGAAACATCTCGGGACCTCGGCAAATGTTTTGCAGGTACCGGGTGGCTGGGGACACGCTCGTCAGCCGATTACCGCTGGAAGAGACACAGGGTGCCTCTGATGCCGCCCCACAGGTTGAGATTATGGCGGTTTCTGTCTCCGTGTCCCTGTCGAAGATTGAGGTGATCGTTGATCGCGTTGCCAACGTATACTGCCACTTGACCTTGTTAGGCTGCAATGCCCTCCTTATCCCTCCTTGTTCCATTGTTTTGTTAGGCCCTGATGTGCCCTGATCAGTACGGTGAGTGCACCTGCAGGTGGAGTGATCGATGGGCGATACGAGCTTCGTGTTCCTACTCATACCGAGCTGAAGAGCTGGGGGATTCCCAGGCTAGATGTTCAGGGGTCGACGTATGGATACCAGACCATTGGTGACACGATATTCACCAGAGAGGACATCGATCATCCTGCATTTGAGCGCCATGATGTGTTGGATCTGGAGGAATGTGAGCAGATTTGTTCTAACATTCCTGATTGTGCAGCATTGACGTACTGGATCATAGGCAAGGACTTCCAGACTGGAACCAATTGCAAGCTCATGAATGCTACCTTCAATGCATCGATCAGGCTTGCCCCAAGCGAGTCCTCCGAATATCAGCTTCGTCGACGCGAGGTGGTTCCTCAAATAAGCATCCTCACCTACCCAGGCATGCTATTGCCGGGAACATTGTACAACACGTACTGCGCCCCGACTGGTGGAATTTCCAGATGTTGATCATGAACCAGCACTGATGTAGCGTTTTTATTGAACGATTTGCAGCATACTCGTGCCTGTTTAGTGCCGTGCGAGAGCTGAGGCAGCGCTGAGGATCCGCTCACCGGGGCGCACATGAACATGTCTGCGATTGCCGCAACGCTCGTCACTGAACGGACACAGGGGTGCACGGACTGCGGGAGCACAGACCCTCCAGCTGTGCAGATGCTGGGAGGCTGGGTGAAGCAGGATTCTGTTGGGATCGTTGCAGTGGCAAGCAGGTCCGGGCGCATCTTCTGCATCGCCAAGGAGCACCCGAAATTCAATTTCGTGCAGGTATTTGCGGAGGAAATTCAGGATGCAGGTTTTTCGAACCTGGCAACAGTTGGAGGTCAGACGCTGGCCGTTACTATCACCGGCTTAAGCCCAGAAGTGCAATATCAGGTCGCCTGCGTCGCCGAGGCGGACGGAGGCCTGCTGAGCGTGCAGGGGCAGATCGACTCCACCCGCCGATTGATGAACACATCGTCCACGGAGGTGCAGAGCTTAGGCTTAGATTCTTAGGTTGCAGCAATCCTCGCCTCGTCAGCACTATTTTTTTGGCTCTCGCAAAACTCCACACTGAGTGGAAATCGCACGACAAATGCCTTAATCGACAGGTGGGACATGTCTTCGACCCGCTTCCTCTGGTGTCCCCTGCGTGGCTCCAACGGCTCCAACACTTCTTCCAATCTTGAACTTGGTTTGACGCCGCTTCAGTTGTGGAGTAGTGTACTACTTGCTTTGCAATCTGCCCCGTTTTGTCGCCAATGCTTTCCAGCCATGCAGGGTGGCATGGGCATGTCAGTTTTAAAATCTGGTGTCTCATCGCATTGCGACGCAGTGTGTCCAGGAGTGGTGATTTCACCCACGGCAATTTTCATGAATGGTATGACTACCCAAGTCACACGAATCATGAATATATAGATGCTACATGCTGCGATGTTGAACACATCAAGCACTCACCCTTCCCACGCCCTGGAAGAATGTTGATACCAAACAGTGCATGAACACACTCGGAAAGTTGACACAGCGTGTTCCAACAGCCTGGAAGCAAAATGGCATGTTGCAGAGGCATGAGGTACAGTAGGACAGACGGCGATGTTCTCGTGCGCAGCCTTGTCCTTTGCAGGTCACCATAAACAGCATGGAGATTGCGCGGCAAGAGTCGTTGGCCAACGAGAACTTTGATGCCATGACTGTTGTCAGTCAAGTCACAAGGCTTGGCTACTTGTGGTGCCAGGTGTATCCGCAGGAGAACATGATTCAGTATGGCATTCCGGAAGTTCTGTTCCTGGAGCAAACGGGCCTTCGTGCGAAGGTTTTTGATTTACAGCAGGACGTGCAAGTGGAGTTTAATGGGCTTGACAAGAACACATCCTACGAGGTATGGTGCACGGCCAGGTATGACGACTTTAAGAATGAGACTGATGCAGATCTCATTACAACGCCGTACCCCATTGCCATAATTCGTTCAGCTGTGCCAGCTTATGACTCAGTGTCTCTTACCGTTAGTCTGAGCAAGAGTCCAGCTCATGTCTTTTGCAATGCGTTTCCCTGGGCTTTGCGGCCAACAACCGAGAGACCACCTGCTCCAAATAATGAACAACTAGCAGCTTCGCCCTTCAACACGGTGCTGTTCCTGGATGGCGGAAGTGGGACCGTGACGATGGAGATCGCGCCGCTGGTCTCTGGATTTCGCTATGACATATATTGCTCCGCCGAGTTTTATCGGCCACCACCTCCGCCCGGGGCCATCCAGCCACCAAGGCAGGGAATGAACATCTTCGACATCATCGAGACAAGGCATGCAGTCCACATGCGCGGGCCTTTGTTCGATGAGCTGGGTTGGGAGTGCGTCTCCGGCCATGCCTGTGGCGTGGACCACATCCTCGGAATCGGACTGGCAGAGACGGATCAGCTGATGGTCCGAGCAGATGCTTGCCCCGGACGCTGTCGCTGCTCAGGCATCGTCGATGCAAATCGCAAAGGCGGCTTCTGTTCAGAGATTTCCCAGGATCCCCTCGTGGTGAGTGGCGTTGGAATAGATGACAAGCGAGATCCAAGAGGTGCCTGGTGCTATGTGCCTGCAGGCACTTGTGAAGACGAAGAGGTTTCGACATTGTTTCCAAGCATGACGCTGTCCTACAAGGTGTGTGCTTACAGCGCACCCACCATTGACGGGACCCAAGGCGCACCTGGTTTTCCTAACGGGGGGGTTGCAGTCGTTCGCCGTCACAGCGGTGGCCGAGCCTTCGATTTCAGCTTGGTGCCATTGATCGTCCCTGGAAGGACCTACGACTTGTGCTGGTGCAACAGCACGGAGTCTGCGTGTGAAAGGGGTGCCGATTTTCACGTTCGCATTGGTGCCCTGCACATGTCCGGGCCCTCATCCCAACAGATGGATGCCAACATGACCTGCCGAGTTGGCCTTCCGTGCATCCTAGACTTCTTTGATGGCCATGCGGTGGAGGATGGATCACGCCTGGTAGCCCTGCCAGCCGACCAACGTTGGTGCCGGTGGGAGCGCGCTTCGCTCGCCGATCCGCCGGGAATTCCCAACTTTCCAGACCTCGGAGTTTCTCAAACATACAACAAGAATGTGCGCACGTATGCCTTTGGCTCCGTTCCGTTGATCATCAATGGTGGGATCTACAACCTATGCTGGTGCGGCCCACCTGCACGTACCTGGTCAGTTGCACCAGGACAGGACTACCGTATCCCAAATGGTGTCATACCATCCGCCTGCCCGAGCACTCGAGCAGATGATGGTGGTCAGTTTCTCACGCCAGCAGGACGGCTACTTGTGATTGGTCCCGAACCATTTGGGACAGTCTCCTGCCGGTTGGGTTCTGAATGTGTGACGCCGCTGATTCAGGCCGGATTGCGAAAATTCAAAAGTAAAGTACTGGCGACATACTTTAGCCAAGTAGTTGTGCATCACAAAAAGCGGTAAAGCAAATTCCCCAAATCTAAGTCTCACTCAACCCAAGCGTTGAGACGTGAGCATCCCTGATCCTTGAGGGATTCGGTCTGCAGGGCAGCGATCGCTTGGCAGCGCTAACGCGGTGTGGGGAGGCGTCGCGCCCACCAACAGGCTGGAGTGATGGAGCAGCGAGTCTTTCAGATCCCTGGGTAAGCGCAGGTTGGGCTGTCTCTGAAGGTTTCTCGCCCCAACAGCTTGAGGCATTCGGCATACAGCCTTCCATGATGGGCGCACATCAAACTAGCATGAGTAGTGGTCATGCTGGCTCGTCGTTTAACAACAGCAACCGTGGGGCCTTCGGATTTCCGAACTATGGCATGACGGTCCCGCATGCCACGCCAGGGTACTTTACATGGGGCGGGCCGACTTGGGCCTTTGCCGGAACATACATTGTGTGTTGGTGTGGTGGTGAGGCCACGCTTGATGGATGTGAGTCACCAAGCGACTTCCTTGCACCCGTGGGGCTTGTCGAGGTTTCTGGTCCTGGTGTGTTACCCTTTGCAGCTCAGATGTTTACATGTGTGCGCCAGCGCCAGTGTGAACTCAGTAATTTGCAGGGCACACAGCCACCGACCAGCAGGCTACTGATCGCAGCTGGCGCGTGTGGAGGCCCGCCGGCAGAGGGCATTCCTCGACAGGGTCAGTCGCTGCCATCGGTGGAGGGGACATCCTATTCATGGGGTTCGGAGCGTGTCATGGCACACCCGCGCAGATACTATTTGTGCTGGTGCTCTAGCATCAGCGATTGTGACAGCCACCAGCGTTTTCAGAGCTATGCGGGCGTTTTGCAGGTCAAGGCGCCAACGGCCTCTCCCGAAAGGTTCTTTTGTCCTCTCTCATCCGCCTGCAACATTACTGGCATTTCTGGAGAGGGGCTCAACAATGGAGACACAGTAATGCTTCTCGTGAAGTGTGGGGATGCCGTCACTGATGCGGAGAACTTTCGGGAAGGCTCCGTCTCATTGGCAACCTTTGACGATGGAGGTAGCTTTACATTGCCACCTGGGCAGCGAGCTGGGCTGTACCAAGTTTGCTGGTGCGCTGCGGAGCAAATTTGCTTGAATGGCCGCGACTATACCACCACCCTTGGGCGACTGGAGATTGGAGGGCCGGATGACTCTGTGACATACCGCTGCTTTGAGTGGGAGCCTTGTGTAATCGAAGATCTGGAAGGCCGCTCTTTGTCCGATGGAGATCGCCTTCTCGTAGTTCCAGATGGCACGGATTGCTTCACGGCCAGCGCGGAGATCCGACAGGCTAATTTTCCAAACAATGCAGCTTCCTTACCCGCAACTCAGGGTGGAAGACGGTTTTCGTGGGGCAGTGGCTTGGTGAGGACTGATCCTGGCGTCTACGCACTGTGCTGGTGTCATGCGCCGTACGCTTTCAACGCAACCTGTTCTGAGGATGGCCCCTTCAATGTTCCAGGCGGTGTCTTGAGGATTGGCAACAGCAAGGAGTTTCAGTACGTCACGCGGCCTGAGGACAATCCGCCCCGGGACGGGGACCAGGGTGTGTCCTACTTGCTTGCCATTCCACTGCCTCTACTTTTCTTCGCTGCCATATGCCTCGGGGTGAAGCGCCTGGTCGGGCGTCACATGCGGGAGGAGGACGAGGCTCCCAACCCCTGGGCACAAAAACTGGAGGACATGAGTACCCTGCAGCAGCAGCGATCCAAGCTCGGTGGTGAGGTCATGGAAGTCTCCCAAACCCGAGCGCAGATTCAGCGCCTTTCGGACCACAGAACCAAAGAAAACAATCCTTCCGGTCCGAGGGATGCCGTTTTGGCCTTGTACAATTTAGTGCTGAACCATCTACGACTTTCCCGCAAGAAGCCCAAGCTTAAACGGGCGGGACCTCCAAACCTAACACCTTCCAAGAGTTTGCGGAGCCTGGCAACCAGCACAACGGATAACTCAGTGAAATGGCTGCCCGAAGTCCAGCAGATGGATGACATGGCGAGCTCCGACGATGAAATCTTTACGGCCAAGAAGCCCAAGGCACCCCCCAAGACGGCACCCAGGCCTCCGAGCCTTGAGTTCCTGAGTGTGCATGATCCTCGCGTTCTGCACATCTTGGATCAAGACTCCAAAGAGCCGCACACCTTAGTGTCTTACGATCTCGACTAAGTTGAGACAGCAGCCAGCAGTGCTGCCGCAGACGCTGCGTGGCGGTCGAGTGGACGCATATCCGATATTGTCATCAGGCCTTCTCGGGCTTCACGTTTCTAGATGTTTCTCGGCCTGGCTAGCGCAGCCGGGTACAAGGCAAGCTGCGGAAGGCGTTCATGCGCCGGAGAAGCAATCAGCCATTGTGGTTGTTGCACAGCGCTTGCAGTTCTTTTCTGGTGTTGGCATCAGGAGTTTCACTCAGATTAGTCTTGGCACTTGCGTAGTGCAAGTTTCTTGGACACTGGCAGCCGCGAGTGGTGTATATACCTATATACACGTATATCGAGCATGTGTACATATTGGCCGTGAGAGTTCAAGCATGCTGGAAGTCACAGCTACCCAGCAGACCCAGCAAGCATGTGGCCGAGCGATTGTGTTGCAATGTGGATATTCGCAATTCGGCTTGCAAGCAGCAGCATGCCAAATGAAAACTTGTGCCGCCATAGCTTGCATCATTGTATAAGTTTTGGGCGCTTCTTTCGGTTCGTTTTTCGCTCAAGACAGAAGTCGCGGGCGCACTTTCAAAGGTTCTAAGCTTCCAAGCGAAGGGAAATCACAGATGCCTAAGATTGCCTAAGGTCAGGCGCAGGCACGTGCGTAACGACCTCAGCTGCCTTGGGTTTGTTGGCCTTTGGGCAGGTGCGGTTCGATGCAGTTCGCACAAAGCTACTGTTTAACTGTAGGGGCTGTATCCCCTCGCGACGTTTCCGGGGAATGGCTCGTTCACATGTGCTCAGGCGTGAAAATCTCTCCCGCAAGGTGAGGTTGGGCTCCGCCAAGGCTTTGCCTTCTCGTGTTGCATGAACCAAACGGGGGCACACATGCGATTCCATGTGATGCCAAATGTGATTAGAACTGTGCCAGTACTGCGCCCTCAGCTCTTCGTGTGCTCCTGTCGTCTCCTGCCAGGGTCTCGGTGACTCTGAGCCGCTGGAGAATGCCGAGTGCCATTGTCAAATTGTGCATTTTCTTCTCGCACACACCCGTAGCAAGGTGATGAATTGATGAATGTTGAAAATGCCAAGCTGTCTCCCTGCTGCCAAGGGTGAGCTGTGCCAACACTGGAAGCTCGCAGCCCCCTGAGCCTGTTGCAGAAGATGAGACCATGTACAATACGTACAACGCGCAGGAGGTCGAGCAAGCACTGAAGTCACTGGAGGATGCATCGATGCTACAACAGGCTGAGCTTGTCTCGGAAGGTACGGGATCTGCAGCACCAGAAGCTGTCCAAGTGGCGGACATGATCGAAACGACACAGCCATGGGGTTGTGTCAAAGACGATGGTGCCCCTGCAGCCGTGCCGGATGATGAAGAGCCGGTGCAAGCCTTGCAAATGCTGCCGCCAGCCATTGCTGTTCAGATGTGTGATGCAGCTGTTCGGCGAGATCCTTCAGCTAATGGGCAGGACTCAGGAAAGGAAGGTTCCCCGGAAGAGCCTCCTCGATTCGCTGTCGATGTTCTGGCGGCCGAACCTTCCCTGGGTGGACTCGTTACGAAAGCAGCAGACAGCACCATTGACGAAGAAGGAAGACCTGAAGCAGAAGCTGCAGACAGCGCTCCAGCTGGCAATGCGAGAGGTGTGCAAGAAGAGAATGGTCCCACGGCCAAGGGCAGAGGGCGTGGCTCGAGCATCTCTTGTCCGGGTTTCGGTTTCAGTCCTCCGGTGCAGGAGCTCACTGCAACACAGGAGCCAACATGTGTTGAGGAGTGTGGCAAGACGGACCTGTGCGTTCGTGATTCTGAGCTTGTCCTGGAGCCAGATGCATGTGCCTTGGCATGTGTGGCTTCCGCACGCCCCCACTGCCACCAGGGGACCGTAGGCCACTGTAGGAGGCGTGTGTTGCCAGGCCACAAGACGGATGATTGTAGCCACATGCAGAGGCAGGGTGCGTGTTGGGATGCTGTGGATTCCATGCGTTCCAAGCGTGGCTGTGGAGGTTTCTGATGGGAACTCCAGGCCATCAAGGAGAAGAATGGTCTCCTCATCAAGGTCCTTAGAGCCTTAGATCGTCGTGGGATCTTCTATAATTCTATAGGTCGCGAGCCGGCTTAGCAGTTTATCTTGCAGTTCGGAAAAGTTGCAACTTGAGCCTTTTGGTTGAGCAAGCTTTAGCAAGGTCTAGTCAGCCCATTCTGACGATGGCAGGAGCTTGGCGAAACGACAGAGGTGTTGTTGAACCAGAGGCACCCTGTGCGGGATCGTCCCGGGGCCGTGGTGATTGACTGCCTGATCGGCAGGTTTTTTTGTTTTCTTGGGGAACCCTTTGATGAGCCTAGCTTTCCTGTCTTCACCGGGTCCCGTGCGCCAAAGGCAGAGCCCACCCTCTCTGGACCTCCTGAATGCGCAAGGCCTGCCATGTATCAGTCGGCCGTGTGGGTGAAGTGGCAGGTTAAGAAATACGGGTAATACTTGCTGGAAGCTGCAGGTATCAGGTGCTTTGGGGGCTGTATCAGTCGCGGTCGGATCTGCCAATCGAGTCCGCTGAACCTATCGGATCCCAAAGCCCCGTGATCCCCAGTGCCACGGGCCGGGCTGCAAATCGGCGGAGTTGCTTGACGAAGTCGCGTGGCCCAGAGCCCCAATCGGATCAAAGAACGCAGCATACGCAGCCTGGCAAAGGGTGCTGTCCCAGCAAGCTCCTACAAAACGTAAAGCTGCGATATTTACTGTTGGAAGTGCATCCCTCCATATTCTATTCCTGCAGCCTGACTTCGCAGAATTCGCCTTTATCTCTGACAGTTGCGGCAGCCAAGGCTTTGGTTGCAAATGAAGTCCCGAACCATCCTAGGCCTTAAGCCTCTTGAGGCTTGCCCAGGACCCCAGCCCCTGCAGAAGTTGAGATGAAGAGCCGACCAGTGAATACGCTGGGCCAAACACTCCTTGACATCCGCGTCGCCCTGCTGCTTGCGCATGCGCTCCAGCCGATGTCGCACAAGCACAAGTCTGTAGTAGCATACAGCAAGCGGCAAGGCACACCAATTGGGTGCTCTAGTTTGAAGCAAGACTCACTAACGTAAACAGGTGCCGCTTTTCTGGCAACCCCCAAGACACCTTTTTCTGTGCGTAGCAAGGACGCCTACGAAAAGATGACGGTTTGTCCACACGGCCGCCTCCTTCAGTAATCTAGACTGCCCATGAATGGCGCACCGTTTGGCGAGCTGCAACTTCAATGGCACACGGCGCTCGAGTCCACAGGTCAGCAGCGCAAAGAATCGCATATAGGCTTTCCAGGATCTGCAGGGAGGTACGAACGGTCATCAACATGGCCAGGCCTTAGAGAGTTTAGAAAGCCCCCAAGAAAATTTTTCACGGTCCCCTTTTACGCGGCTGCGTCAGAGCCCATCCCAGCAGCTTTTGCCTCTTCCTTCTGCTGAGCTTTTAAAGGTGTGCTCCGTACAGTGGCAATGATTGCATTGATATTCCACCACATTCCACCCGATCAGATGACCCGAGCCACTGAGACCCTAACCGTTCTAGCCTCGTACACAATACGGAGCCGAGAGCTCGGACCCTGTGGCCGTGCGGGGGGGAAAGCCGTCTCGGGCGCAGGACCCCGATAAATGCGAGCCGATGTGAAGCTATGTGAAGCTATGTGAAGCTTTACCAAAAACTTTGACCCGCACCTGGCCGTATCACAGTTTAAGAGTCGTGAAGGTGCGGGGGTGGGGTGCGGGTTCGGGTTGCGGGGGGTGCGGGTTCGGGGTGTGGGGGGTGCGGGTTCGGGGTGCGGGGGGCGCGGGTTCGGGGTGTGGGGGGGTGGGTTCGGGGTGCGGGGGCGCGGGTTGCCGGTGCGGGTTGGGGGTGCGGAGGGTGCGGGTTCGGGGTGCGGGGGGGTTCGGTGTGCAGGGTGCGGCTTCCCCCGCATCCCGCACCCCGCACCCCGCACCCGCGCACCCCGCACCCCGCACCCCGCACCCCGCACCCGTCACCCCCGCACCCCGCACCCCGCACCCCGCACCCCGCACCCCGCACCCCGCACCCCGCACCCCGCACCCCGCACCCCGCACCCCGCACCCCGCACCCTGCACCCGATTTAGCGAAACATTTCCACGATTTAGCGACGCAATGTTTCGCTAAATCGTGGAAATGTTTCGCTAAATCGGGTGCGGGGTGCGGGGTGCGTGGTGCGGGGTGCAGACTGCACCCCATGACCCGCACTGCTGCACCCCAACCCCGCACCACTGCACCCAACCACCCGCACCACTGCACACCACCACCTGCACCACTGCACCCCACCGCCTGCACCACTGCACCGCACCCTGATTCTATGCTTGGCATCCATGCAACAGAGCATTGCTCTCAAAGTTTGGTAAACCTGGCCCATAGTCCCACGGTCTTTTCACTTGACGGATCTTGACGGCCTGATGGGATGTGTCTGGCATCACAACCGGCGAAGTCGCCCCAGGCTGAGGCCGTGCAACCCGGAGCACAATGAGGCTTCGGGTCTGGCTTGGAATGCTAATATGGGTGCCGAGTTTACTGAGTTCTCAGTTGTGTGCAGGTCGACGCCAAGCCCCCTGAGTTTTTGCCGCATCTGCGGCGATTGGCAGGCTGGACGAAGGGTGCCGACGCCTTTCGGATCTTTCGGCGCACACCAGACGTCGGACCCATAAAGCATGTGACCTGAGGGCGCGTCTTCCTTCACTATGCAGCTCGGCCACACCTTCGTTTTTCGCTTTGCTTGTCAATGAACTCGAGAGCTGTGCCATACCTTCGTAGCTACTGACCGGCCTGTTCAGGTGTGGGGTGGCTTGCACATTCAGCAACTGGCAATTCCTTTGCCCAGGCTGGTGGTGATTGCACGGCCCCGGGTGGGGTCGGCCTGAGCGGCACAAGGCCCGGCTAAGTAGGGGAGCAGGGTTGATTTGCGGGTGTTGGTGATCTGTGTTAGTGTTTTGGCGCAAAGCTGCTTTTTTCAGAGGTTTAGTTGCAGAGAGTGCTGTTTGTGTTGGGTCTTTCGCGGAAGCAGACTCTTTTTTTTTGTCGGTCAGAGCAGCAGCTCCAACGCTTGCAGAAACTCCTCTGGCATGGGAGTGGCGGGAAGCCTCTTTCGCCACTCATGTGCTTCACGGATTCAACTGAGAAAAGCCATCCTCACATGCTACCGAACCGGAGGGCCGCCTGCACGGGCTCTCGTTTGGCTTCGGCTGAGTTGGTTTTGCCTTGAGGGGCGAGCTACTGGTACCCTAGTATGTGCGCTGTTTGGCTTTCAGAGTTGCGCTGCTTTGGTTTCGGGTTGCACTGCTTTGGGTTTTGGGGGTTTTCCGGGTCCAACTGAAAGTGCGCGAAGTGAACGGACCCCACCCCACCCCACCCCACCCCTCGGAAAAAAACCCTTACGCGCCTTCCAACACACGGCGGAATACACGCTGTGTTCCCACTACATTGTCGCTGCACATCCGGCAGAACGAGCATCCAGTCAAGGAGCCAGAGGTAAACAACTTCGTTCAGCTGCTTGAAGTTCGTTCAGCTGCTTGATGCTGTTTGCATGACCTGGCATGAGCCCGGAATCGAGGACTCGTATCAGCTGGACAGGAAATACACGAGACACTCCAAGATTCGTGGAAAACCTTGCCTTTGTTGGAACCTTCGGCAGTGCATTTTGTTGGCCTGTCTGTGTTGTACATCTGGACAGGTTTCGAAGTTTCTTGAGGGATTGCAGCATTTTGAACTCCGGTCACTTGGCGGCAAGAGGCGCGTCCAAGAAGAGGTCCGGTGTCTCTACGCTTCAGAGTATGCAGGTCAATGCTTAACCAGGGTGCTGCCTGTGCTGGCCGTGCTTTGAGGTGATGGTGGTGATGCAATGACGTCATCAGCTTGGCAGTGGGTGGATCAGAGCATGTGGATCAGAGAACGTGCGCATCGACAACCAAGTCAGCTCCATCAGCACTCTGACTACTCAGGAAGCTTCCCAGCTCTGCGCCAGTCGATCCGCAGAACCTGGATCGCATCTTTCTGAGATTCGCTCACAGGTTGAGCCGGTTTAGCAGCCTGTCATATGCGGACAGTCCTTCTTTGGGGCCCTTGCACTTTCTCAAGTCAGCTTTGCTGCTGTGTGAAGGCCGGACACCTCCAGGACTCTTTGTCCTGCCCTGAGCCAGTCAGGCAGTCATGGAATGCTGTGGAGGACAAGGTGATGAAGCATGAGGAAGCTGTCTTTTGAGAGATGCGGGCTCTGGGCTTGGCGACTTGGCGCGGCTTTCTCTAAGATGCGCCGCTCTTCGTCTGCCACCTCCCTGCGGACGGTGTCCCGAAAGGCCACCAGTTGCACTGCGACATATTGCGATGCATCCTTGCGCGATAGCACCTGGAAGCAGGGAAGCAAGACGTACTTGCGGTCGGACTCCTTCGCAGCCGGCTTTGGCGACAGCGCAGAAGCCGCCGCGGCGGAGCATGGCAAGCAGGGGCCTCTGAGACTCTGAGAGGCACAAAAAAAAGCCGAGTACAAAACAATACTCGCATCACCTTACCTAGCGCTGACCTTAGCGCTGACCTGTGAACTTCAGAATATGCCAGGCTCCCACTCGATCTGTGCGCGACTCCTGTGATGTGTGCAGCTCAGAGAATGGCTCGACTGAAGAGTCAACACATGTCCATGTGTGCTGTTGCCTCCCACCACCCCCCCTGAACTGTCGAAGCCGGATGTGTACGACGTCTTTAAATGGTCCTGGATTTTGTTTGACGAACTTTAAACGGGACAGAGAGGCCCATAGCTACGCAAACAAGATTTAATAGAGGAGGCCCCTTCAACAGATGGGAGTGGGACTTCGATGCAAACTCCTAAGCCTGTCGAACAGTTGCACTGTCTCTTGCAGGACTCGTGCAACAGCTGACCTTCTGTATGTGCAGGCGACCACGCAACATGAGGCCGGACCCGGCCAAACTACACTGTATGATATACTAGACAAGCATGAAGAAACGAGTTCACCCTCCAAAGTGGCATAACCCTGCATAGGATCCCGATGTTTGTGTGGCCAGGTTCACATGACGAAAGACGGCTGGTTCAGGCCGCAAACATGGAGTGCTTCATCACGCTGAAGCAGTTCTCAGTGCATTTCGGTGTCTCCCTTGCGGCAGTATGCGGGTAGTGCCCTCAAAGCCATGTTGAAGGGCTTTGGCCAGCGCTGCGCAGCAATGTGTGGCAGCAGGCCGCCGGTGCACATCTGCGCATGCAGCAAATTTTAGCAACCTGCCAATCAGAGCTAGAATGGCATGCAAAAACGCAACGACTGACCTGGAATTCAACAAACATCTGTCTTAGAGACTGCCGGTCTTCCAAAACAAGCTCTTGAGAAAGTGTTTACACATGGAAGATGTAGAAACCCAAAGGACCCAAAGCATACACGAAAGCACAAGCCAAAACCAGAACCAGTCGCTGAATTTGGCTACTCACGAGGTGTGGAAGATGCGCCCGAGTCTCTAAGCAGCCCTGTGGAGATCCTGAATTGGCCGCTGGCCTGGGAATGCCCGAGCTGCGTGAGGGATCCTGAGGGTTGTTTTGGCCTTTCTTGTGCATGGCATGGCTCACCTCGGATCTCCTTGTCCTCTATCTGTTCCTTCAGTGAACCAAATGAACCTATCGGCATTCGATTGCGTTCTCTCATACGAATCTCTCGTATTCTCTCCGAAGTTCTTTCGTACTCAGTATTGCTCAGTGATGCTGGCAACCTGGGTAGACCTTGGCCGCCTCGACTCGCCAGATAATATGCCCATCCTGCACGTTGCCGCCGAGCATGCCAAAGTGCGGCCAAATCTGACTGGCCAGCGGCCACCCAATGCCGCCGCACTGTAATCCATTGCAATCCTGTCCTCCAGTGCTGCCATCTGATGCGCAACCCTTTGCATCGCCGGCAACTAGTTTCTAATCGAACAACGTGGCCATCCAGGACCCGGTCGGTTTGCCAACGACTTTCTGTGACCATCCGGGAGGATCGACGCTGACCCCGACAGAGGGATGCTGATCTACGAATGCGAATGTCGCCGCTGGAGGCACCTGGCACACCACACCGCTGAGGATGGTGGACATTGGTGACATGAGGGCGTTCACGAACCAACCGAACCACTGTGTGTCCAGGATCAAAGCCAAGCTCGCCACGCAACCCAATAAGCGAGCAATAGGCGACTGGACACTGCTCCATGGTTAATTAGAACACTGCAGAAAACGAAGAGCTTGAAAAGCCATTGGCAATCAACCCTTTTAGTCTTGTGTCCTTCTGAACGTTTCCTCCTTCATATCCGCCCTGACCAGTCTGGTTGATTAGATGACCCTTGCTTCGGGAACCAGAGGATGAACACACGACATCACGCGACATCACGCGACAATGCATCGAGCAAATCATCTCGGCGCCATGGTTCCCTGGTATGTTGTGGTGGTGTTGAGTCTTCTGGCGCATACCCGTAGAAGATTCTCCAAGTCGTGGCACGTGCCAGGATTGTACAGGTCGTGCAGTGCCCCTGTTTCGGTAGGGGGCAAGATGCGCCAAGTCGTCAAGGCAAGGACAAAGTATTACCATCTGGCGGCTGCGGTGAATGCAAAGCAACCGTGGCGAAACCTTTTTTTGTGGCTTGGTCATCTAGGGAACGATGGAGTTTTTGAACCCGCTGTTGGGCATCTTGGTGACTGTTCCCTGACTAAACTCGTCGGTCAGGCGAATGTGTTGGTTTTGTTTGGCTGTCTCCTGCAGAGACCAAGCAGGCCGCTGAATGCCACGTGAAGCCTCGACTTGTCCCGGCGTGCTGTGTGGGGGGTTGAGGGCTAAAAAGCAAAGCCGGGGCCAACCAGCACCTTTCGCGAGCCCGCCAAGCTGTCGAGACCGCTTTTCGTGTTAACCTTGCTGTGGAAAGTGGGTAAGGTTCTGCGAGTGGGCATTGGTCCCGCTGGCCGAAGCCCTCGGCATCAGCGAGCAGGATGTGTTGCCAGCGACCTGGTGTCGGCTCTTGTCTGCTCTTGTCGGCTCTTGTCGGCTTTGTCAACTGACCAGACGGGGGTAAAGTTTATGACAGTTCGTTCATGGAGCCCATGGTGTTGGCATACCTTACTTTGGGTCAGCTGAAATGCAACAATTCAGACTTCATTTGTGGTGGAGTTCTAGACTGCCCACAGCAAATCACGATGAGAACCTAGGGGCACAACTGTCCGAACAGGCAATCAGGTTTCTGCTTGACTTGCAAGGTCTGGGGCAGAAATTCTGCGCCAGCCAGAGGTCTCAGCAGGGGCCTATGCAAGTGTCACATGTGCTGCAGCAATCCGCTGTCGCACTCGCAACAAGTACTGTGCCTGCCAGGCATTGCTCCGATGCGGACAGCGAGGCTGTGCGCAGTCTCAATATGTTTCAGGCAAAGTTCTTTGACTATGCAGGTCTGGACATCGTATTCGCGCGCCAGATGCTAAGTCTCTTCGCATGGGTTGATGTGTTGCAACGGGCGCGTGTTCCCGTATTTGAGAGGCTATGCTGTTCCTGCACCTGCTCCACGTGAGCCGTACAGGCTTGGGATGTCCACGGGGAGGGAGACGGAGTGAAAAAGGGATGTGCACAGAGTTTGCATTTTGAGCCTCGGCAGACACTGCCGGCATCGGCAACACTTGCTGCTCTCGATACGAGATTCCGGACACACTTTTATCTTTCCTCACGCAGAGGAAGGGGTACTGGAACGCCAAGTCGATGCAGCGCTTTGCCGCGGAGCTTGAAGCTTACCTTATGTGAGTGCCACCTGCACTGGACGCGACTGAACGTGCACACGTTACAAATCTTCGGGTTCCAAGGTCAGACATGTCAGCTGAACTCAGCCACCAGTCCGATGCCTGTCGGGTTGGGCCACATGGGGTTTGTTTTTCCACCAGGTGCTGCTGTTGCTGCGCGGAAAGGTCATAGCAGGTTAACCCCATTCAATGGTGTGATCAATTTTTTGGTGCCGAGGTGCTTGCAGCGAATCTTCACCGGGTGCGTGCAGTACCAGACAAGCATCCTTCGGGGCTCGCAAGAAGGAAAGATGCATGCAGCTCAGGCCAAGGTAGTTGACACATGTTGACACAGTTTCTATGGCGTGATATGGCTTGTGTACACTCTTCCATCGACGTTTCTTGATGGCAGCAAGTCTGCTTCATTTGCCAGGTAGGACCCTGACGAATTTGATTACTGCATTGCGAGACATCGCCTTGCATTAGCCAACCAGTATAGCCAACCTGGAAGACCGGGCCGAGCTTGGAACAATCTGGAACACAAGAGCATCACAAGAGCTCACACAACGCAAGTAAGATAAGTAAGAGCAAACAAGGACACAGAAGAACAAAGCGGCGACCTGCAGCGACAATGGCCCACCAAGCTCAATGGAATCAGAAGATTGGGGCGCAGGCAGTTGTGATGTGTGACTCTTTGAAGACGCTTGAAGCAAACGTCCGGAAGAGGATTCCGTTTGCCGCGGGTAGAGGAACCGTCGTCTTGGAAGTTTTGCCTACCGTCGTGGCCGTCTGGTTCTCGGAAGTGTACCTACCGTTGCGGTCACGGCTCTTTGAAGCGTACCTACCGTATCCTACCGTCGTCCTGGAAGTTTCACCTTTCGTGGCCGCCTGGTTCTTGGGAGTATACGTCGTGGTCGCCTGAGTCTTCGGCCTTGGGCGTGTACCTACCATCGCAGTCGCTTGGGAAAGCTACGCTGTTGAGTCTTTGAATGGGCTCATAGAGTTTCTCCAAAAGTTGCTGTGGGGATACCCTTGCAATGCTTCGTAGCAATTGAGGTCGACATCATGTTTTCGCTTGGCGCTGGTGGTCATTGCGCAACGGGCCAGACTCCGAGTTCGAGAGGGGGTGACTGCGGCTTGGGTCGGGAGCGTTGCAAGCAACAGCATCTTCAGTTCTTTCCCCTTGACAAATTTACGTTTGGCAATTGGAGGTTCATAGCGCTCCGACTCTCACACCTTTGATGCGTGTACAGGCCTCAGGCCAACGGACCGCATGGCTTCAGTCGACTTTAGGTTATGACCCTTATTTCGCATTTTGCTTTGAATTGTTGCTTCAGAAACTGACAATTGCCTTTATGGCCACGACCAAGGTGGCCATGCTTCTGCTGCGGTTGAGCGGGGTTCCAAATGAGAAGGGAATGAGTTGATCATTGATTGTTGGTCACGCTCGTTGACCATTGTCAGGCATATGCCGTGGTGCATCTGACCTTGGCGTGGCGGCAAGACAGGCAGCACAGAATCATTTCGGCTTGGTTATCCTGTGGAGGGTGCTGAAGCGCGTGCCGACTAGCGGAGCTATCATGCAAAGCGTAGCTCACTGATAGATGGGGTCTGTGGCCAAAGATTCCAAATTCGAGGCAAAGCTGAACCCTCAAAATCCGAAAGCTCAAGTGGTGCAGCGGAGAGGACATTTTTCAGGAGCGTTGCCTGCGTGCGCAGACAGGTCAGATCCCAGGGTTTAGTTTAGCTTGTCAAACGATAACGAGTAGAACAAAAACGAGAACATTTTTCAGGGTTTTTGTTGTCTGGCAGCGTGCGGTCCAGTGGCTGTGCTTTGCAGCGCTTTGCAGCGCTTTGCAACGCTTTGCAACGCTTTGCAACGTGTTGTAGGGGCTTTGGCCTGGATTCCCCAGTTTGCACAGAAAACTCTTTAAGACGATGCCATCGGAATGCCCCCGGATGTGGATGGCAGAGTTATAGTTAAAGGCTTTGTACATAGACATAGAGAGAGGGAGGGAGGGAGAGAGGGAGAGAGGGAGAGAGAGATTGTGCGCTCCCAAGGCTTGTCTGTTCAAAGGACTCCAACTCGTATTCTCTCGAAAACCACAGCGTTGGAATGTATGCAAACGCTGTAAAACGATAAGAAAAGACGATAGCAAATTTGAGGGACAAGCCAATTTCCATCGGATGTTTTTACAGCACCATATTGGCGTCTACATACTGCATTGCAGAGCGCTTATGCAGGCCGCCCGAACCTTCAGTGCAGACACAACGGAATCCCTTTAATCAGCATGTTATGCTGCAGCTCCTTCTTGAGACCTGGTTTATTGACTATGGCTAACTGCTGTTCAAGAATGTTCATCTCCCACTAGGGCCCTGGAACTCATGCTTTTTTCTTCACCGGCCAGAGGGTTTCACGGTGGAAACCCGAATGGCTTTGTTCCAAACTTTTCCCAACATAGGTACACAAGAGTACACGTCTGCTAGACTTTGCGTTACATGATGTTCTGCAACCTTGTGTGGCTCGTGTGCGCTCGAGAGATGTTGGTGTCAAGTGGGCGGCAGTTGGACGTGTACTACTGTGCATTGGACGACTTGCTCACCTTGCCCAGCTTCTGGAAGGTCCTCCGAGATGCACAGTCGTCATGAAGATTCATGAAGCAACCCTTGGTGCCTGGCAAATGCGGCAAGTTCCAAGTTCCAATCGAGTGGGGAGCTCGGCCAAGTTGCGACTTTCCTGCGCTGACTGCTGACCCCTTGTGAATCACCAACCCGGCACAAGGTTTCTGTGCTTGCTGCTCAAGTCGCCAAAGGGGCTGAGTGACTGCAGCAAGTGTTTAGAATTTCCGCTTGGCAGTTCTGATCTCAACGGGGGAAGTGCTCGAACCAGTTTTTCCTCCCCGAGCGCTTGGGGAAGATGTGCACTGCTGCTGTACAAAACTACCGTCCAGTGGCATTTGTGTCGTTTCAGCTTGCCGACCGCAGCTTGCAGCAAGTGCACTTCGAGGACGGGGGCAAAGACCGTGAATGATTTGGATTCAATGGCAGGACCTTTCATAGTTTCTAGTTGCCGTAGAGGCGGCAACGTACAACGCAAAAGCGGGCGCAAGGGGCAACATGAGCAACGATCACAATACAACGTGCATCAATGTGCAAAGCCCCAGCAAGGTCAACTCAAAAAGGCAGGACGCCTCAACCAGAATGTACATGAGAGCTGCCATGGAGGAGGCGGAGGAAGCGGAGGTGCATCCTTAGTTTAGTTAGATGGCTTTTCAAGAACGGGTCCCTTAGAGCGCATCATGTACCGCTAGATCCTGGACCAGAAACCACAGGATAGTTGCCTTAACATCGGTCTTTCAATGACCGAAGAGAGAAAGACAGGGCCCGGGCGTGCTGCCTTGCCTGTGAGAGAGAGAGGGCACGCCCGGGCACTTCCGCCTTTTGGGGCTTCGTAGGCTATTATAACTCTTTATATCATAACTGAATCATAGCGCAAAGATACAGGGAGCCCAAATAGTAGTTAGGTTTGAGTTGTTGGGCGCAAAGAAGGAAGACTGGACAGCCGCCGGGTGTGTAGACGGATTGCAGGCCGTTGGAAGAAGCGCAGCTAGATGGGGCCAAACAATTATGTCATAGGCCTGTGAGCAGAGCAGTTGCTCTTCTTTCTATTGTTGCATTTGATTGTGCTTGAAGATCTCCGGGGCTTGGGGGTTATAGGCCCGTGAAATGAAGTCTGTCTTCAGAGCAGAACTTAAACCACAACATCGACATCCCCTTCAAATCTCATCATTCATCACTCGATTCATCTAGATCCCGTCCATGTCCACTAATGTCAACAAAAAGTCCATTTGGCATGGTAGACCTCATGCAGTTGCACAGGGGATGTTGGTCGAGACTCAGTTTCTTGGCGGAGCAGGTGGAAGTTAATTGCCGGGAGCAAGCACCGAATTATTCAAGTGCAATCCAGGGTTCGCATCCGAAACAGCCGCTACTCTAATTAATGGCTGCAGGATGCCAGATTGGACAGTGGGCTTCCGAAGGTCCGAAGGCCCTCTGATCGTATGGGCCAGTTAGTGAATTGGGCGGGCGCGTGCGATGCAACCTCGTCCGGTGTGTTGCTTGCTGCAGATCTTGCGGCTTGCACACTTGTTAACGTCATCTCAGCCGCAAATTTCGCGGCAGAGACTGCGTTGCCTGGCGGCAATGGCAAAAAGGCCTGAAGATGCGATTCCAAGAATCCACAACCTCCTCGCCACCCAAATGAACTTGTATCTCAAAGAGTGCCCCTGAAAGGTTGTCAAAACTTTGCTTGCTTCCTGTGGTAGCTGGGCTCAAAATCTCGCATCGCTTGTCGATGCCCTTCCCACCAGACCTGGCCTTCAAGCCTATGGCCTGGGGCAAACGCAGAGACGCAGCCGGTCTCGATCAAATGCCCAAGCCCCAGTTTGAGTTGGCACACTGGTCCCCCAAGGTTACCCAAACAGTGCTTGCACTTGGAAATGCTTTGGTGGTCTTGCTACGAAATAGATCGCTGAAGCCTCCAAATCGATGACCCTCCGCTCACGCCTGGGTGTCGTGCACATATATGAAGACCGTTGTGGTGTTTCCGCGTGCGCGTGATGCTTTCGTTCAGGCATCACGTCCTTTTCATGGACTGTACTCATCAAGAGGTGTCCCAAACATCGCAACTATTGTGCGTTCAGAAGGGGCTCGATGGGCTTCCGGCGTGTGCCAAGTTACAGTAGGTCCTGTGCACTTCCGTGCTCGAACTCGTGCTCCCGTCCGCTGCGCATTGCCACACCTCCAACGAACGAGTGGGTATGGCGGCGGAGCTCATGAACACCTTGGCTACTTTGCCGGACATTTAGACCGCCCTCTTACTTCTTCGGCACCGTTGCTCATACAACAAGGTCGGCTTCTCTGCTTCACCATGCGCCTGACCCCGCAGCCTTGCAAGAGTTCGACTCGAACACGCTTGCCTGGAGCAGCTGGGAAGCCTTCAACGCAGCACGCCTGGAGGCCGGCCACCTTGCAGGTCGCCGCAGGCGGTTCTGCCTTTGCAGCGCAGCCCGGCATGCGCCGGCCCTGAGCCAAAGGTTGGATGCCAACTGTAGGGAGGAGCTCTCACAACCCCCGCCTGCGACTCTTGCAGCAACCAGGTGCAGGTTCTTGATGGTTTGTGGCTCTTGGCCTTTCAGCAGAAGCCCTTGGCCTGGACATCCGGTGCCTCCGGCTGCCCCGACATTTGGGCACAAAACCAAAACCTGAATTTTTCAAATGTTCGAGGTTTCAAAACCTTTCTCAAGATAACTTTCTCCAGATTCTCATGGTGGTTTTAAAAAAGTAGCCAGACGCGATTTTTTGTCGAGCTTTTGAGAAAGCTGGAAAATATCAAAAGCAGCTTCCACAGACATGGAATGGAACCCTGCGATGGGTCAGAGGTGGAGAAGCGAGGCCTGTTGCCGGCGCGCCCCTCTCAGACTAGGTCCTGTGAGGCGGGGGACGAGATTCTCCGCAGTGTTACGTGGCGGATAAGAAACTGGCAATGTCTGGGCCTTTGTTTATTGATGAAAGGGTTTTGGGTTTCAGGGTTTAGGGGTTTATGGATTTGGGGGTCTAACGGTTTAACTGCTCATGGGGTCTTGGTGAGCTGGCAAGTGCCCAGCAGTCCCACAGGCCAGGCAGCAAAAAAAGGCATTTAGGGGTTGGGGTCTTGGAGTCTTTGGAGTTAAAGGATTTAGGGATTTGAGGTTTAGGGGTTTGAGGGCTTCGGCGAGCCAGAGGTTCGGGGTTTGGCCGTTCAGGGGTTTGTGGTTTTGTTTTGTTAAGATTTCGGGTTTAGGCCCATGCCACGCACTTGGGTTAGCTTTCGTTGGACTTGACTTGCCCCTCAAGTTGTTTCTGGGCTGCTCAAGCACGAGACGCAGTCAGCAAGTTCATGTCTGCGTTTTGCTTCCACCAGCAAAGTTCTTCACCGTGCCATGCTTACTCTATGCAAGGCCGTGTGGCCCTGGCAATGGCGCGAATGCAGGCCACAAAGTGCACGAGATCCGAAACTGTCGTTTGCGGTGCACAGTGGAATATGCAGGGCGCAGCGCTCTTCGTGTTGCTGGTGTCTACAAGGCAGGCTTGGAGTCTGCAGGCGCGTCCCGGCGTCCCCCTTGGCGGACATGCTTGGTGGCCCGGTCATCAAGTAGGAAAGAAGCCTTGAAAGGTGAAAATCCAACAGCAGATTTTGTTGGCTGATTCAGGCTGATTCTAACATCGTGGGTATCATTAAAACTAAATTTGCATGGATGGCTTTGCCCGCTTCTTTATCAGCTATGCTCTCTTGGCATGAGAAGATGTGGACGTTGATCCTAGAATCTTGTCCAGGTCGAGTGAATTGTTCATAAACATTCCGCGGCGGAGCTGAGACTTTGCACACTGGATTCTTGAGGCCCTGTGGAAATTGACAAATTTGGACCAGATTTTTCGATCTGAGTACGAGTACCGTGTAGCCGACGACCCTCTAACGGCCGGGGCTCTTCTTGTCGATGCACTTGCGCCCTGGAAGAGTTGGTAGGGCACCTGCTTCGACAATGTTGCCCTGATGGTTTCCGCCTGAGCATCAGCGCAATTGGCTACATGTTTGGATTTGCTTCGGTAATGTGTGTCATGTACAAATGCTGGCGCTAAAGTTCATCTTACACATCGGGATTGCTGCCAAATCTGGGTTGAAACTTGAGATTGCGCTTCCGAATGTTCAAGTCTGTTCTTGAGGCCCATTGCTGCGATCAGCCGGAACGTGGGCAGCCGAGTTCCGCACCACCTGATTTGATTTGTTCGGGTGGGACACCATTCGGTTTTGGGTGGCGCCTCTGGTGGTTCCGAACGGAAACCGAGCACTTAGCATTCCAGAACTGCTCAGCAAGTATTTTGACAGTATGTTGACAATGTTGCCGCAAAGTAGGCCAAGATACTGGGGATAGGATTGCGCGGCCGCCCAGGGTCTGGAAGCAGTTCAAGCAGGGTCGTTGACTGGGTTCCGCGAGGCTGCTTTGCGCCAGATGGCATGCTGAAAGAAGGCACTTACGAAGAATGCTGCGGCACCGGCCTGAGCGTTCATGACTGAGCAGGCCAAACACTGAATAGACACTGCGGCCCATTTTAAGTGAGGACTCGCCTTCCAAGAATTCATGCTGGTGTTCTTGGGCAAGGCAGCTGAAATCGCAGTCTCTTCATTGAGGTTGATGACTCATGACTTGGTGCATTCCCGAAAGATCCCGCAAGTACTTTGTGCTGGGGACGAGGGGCGTTCACGCATGTAAGTAAGTGCGTGGGTTAACACAAACAACAAGCACCTTTTATTAAGGCCCTTTGGTTTCGAAATGATGAAACATTTCCGATATGGCTGCAATCGCTGGCCACCCAATGAGATCGGTATTTACCTGACATTATGCGCCCGCGACAAAGATCGAAACAGATTATGCCAACAGAACCATCTGCCCGAAACAAACAAGAGCACACACACACACACAAGCACAAAAAGCAAACAAACACACTTTGCACATCTCAGGTGGCTTCATCTTTGCCTCGGGAAACTTGTACACACATCCACAATGTGCTCTTCTTCTCTTCTGTGAGCTTTGGATTTGACACTGCCCCAAGACTTCTTGATGGCTTTCCGCTCCTTTTGTTGAGAGGAATGCTCATCTAGCCAAGCCATTTTTCAAGCTTTTTGGCAGTGTGACCCGAAGAGATGTGTCTCGAAAAGTCGAGATGTCGTTATCGTTGTAACGGCCGATCTTCAGCCTTTTGATTTGCGTTCCCAGTCGGATGGCCAGCATTGCCTTCAACCGGCCGCTGCACTGAAGGATGATCAGGTTGATTGAAGGTCAGCCAATTGCTGCTGAGCTTGCTGCAAATGATTCTGCAGCTCCTGAAGCTCTGTGACTTTCTGTGGGGATGAAGCAGCGAAATGAGCTACTGGGACTTATCTGGGCTTTGTCTCGATTCGGCAATGGTCAAAGTTGGTGCTGACTCCGGCGGAGGAGGAGGAGGAGGAGGAGGAGGAGGAGGAGGGAGGGCGATCGTTGCTTTTTCCAAGCTGCAACAGCCTTGTCAACATCAAGGTTGAGGGATCAACCGTTTTTTAAGTACCTTTCCGCATAGGATGGAGTCTCGGATGCTTCGGGTGAGAGTAGCTCCACCCACCAACCGTTGGCAAGGCCCTACCCAGGCTACACAAGTTCAGGGTAGTTCGGGCAGCTTAATTTCAAGAACGCCACTTCCTGCAAAAAATTGGCAAGAGCCCACGCCGATGATGGAACAAGTTTAGGGAGTTTCTTCCCAAGCATAGGAGTGTTGTCAGAAATATGATTCAAGAATACAATCCCAAAGCTCGACCTTTCCTCTTGCCTTGATATCCTTGATTCCCAGTACTGCCCAAGAAGAGCATGACTCTTCTTGGCGGGCGTGATGGCATGAGCAAACGTAGGATATCATCAACAGGCTCATGGTATGGTGTCCAAGATCATGAATGCTCCAGGTGGCAAGTTGGCCCCCGGTGCATGCACTGCGTGACCCATCAGGAGCAGGAAGGGGCGACGCGATTCGAGCTACGGAGTGCTGAGCTTGAAATAGCTTTCCTTTACCCCGATGCACTAGATTAAGGCCACCCTTCACAAACGCAAAAGTGGTGGCAGATCTGCTTGTGAGAAGTTCCGGCAATGTGTCGAAAGATTGGCACTGTGTCTCCATCAAGTGAAATTTCAATTGCTCACGAAACCTTTTTCGGTATGGGTGCTTTGATGCTTCAGCTTTCGTTGGGTAAGGTACCGCCTGGGTCCCCAATTCTGCATTATCTAGTGACGATGGCATGAGTCGGTGAAAAGCATCCGCGCCTGACACTCTACCTCTGCATGTGTCCCTGGTTGTGTCCTCCACTCTTTTCTTGGTCCATGACTGGACTTCGAGCAAGAAGAATGGAAACACGATTGTGTGAAGGTTCAAAAAATGAAGCAACTTGGACTGATCATGCAATTCGGCTGTGCCGGGAAGGTTCCACCCAGAACAGAAATGCACCTGACATCCCCGAAAAAGTTCCGGACAGCAGTTACGAGGGAATTGCCGAACACTGTTGTAAAGATTCACATATTAGTTTGTGTGTATGTCGGGTTGATCAGACCCCCTGGAGCTTTGTCAGCGACGGCCAAGTGATGAGCCCCGAAAGTTCCAACGATGTGCATGGCACATCACGGCACAGGCCATCAGAGATTTGGAGGATGTTGAGGAGCTGCGTGAGGCAAACTGGAGCAGACCGCTGCTCGCAGTGTTTTTTGAAAGCACTAAGGGGAAACACTGCGACATGTTTGCGCTGCATGCGCTGATTTGGTGGCTATTCAAGCTTGTCTTGCTGTGTCTCCTACATATCCTGTGCCCTTGCAACCCAACTACACTCGTGACGGTGTTGACACAGATTCAGACCGTCATGAAGACGTACTTGCTTTTCGCTAGGACCTTACTTCGAGTGATCGTCCTAAGTTTGGCTTGTGCGGAGGGAGTGCTTGAGAATCTTCAAAGATGACATAAGATGACTGTAGTAAAGATAGCAACCAGATGAGGTGAACAGCCTTGACACCCTTGCTTGGGAGCTGGCTGCCCAAGCGGAAGGCATGCAACCACCGAGTTGCTACAAAGGTTTCCAAGATTGACAACAATTGAACGTTCTTGAAGTGCATTGGCATTGCATTGGCTACGCATGTGCCACTTCAGTGACATTCCGTGGCAGCGGTTGTGTGTGCACTCGGATTTGTGGAAGGAGTTTGTGGTCTGGATCAGGAAGTGTCCTGTTTTCATCGATCTGTGACAGATCTGTTTGATTGGACACTTCTCGCCCCATTGCCAGACAAGTTGAATCTGCGCTGGGAATTGCAGGTAAGATGGCGATTGCTCACTACAACACCCTTACTGAGCCTGCCGCGAACGAAGGCTTGAGCCTTGAAGGCCGCATTGAGATGCTTGGGCGAGAGCGGGTTCCCTGTGCTGTCGAAGCGTTCGAACATGTTCGAACCCTTCATTCTCCGGGCCTTGAACTTTGCAACTGTTGAAATGCGGCAGCTGTGCAATGTTGTGCAATGTTGTTCGGGCAGGCTTCATGAAGAAGCGCCTGGCTGTCATGAAGGCCCTCCAACTGCTCGATCAAGGGTTCGAGGGGTTCAGGTATTGAGAGTCTGTGGGGGGAGTCCGTGGCATGCGGATCAAAAACAGTTATTTAGGATCAAAAAAAAAGTTTTTAGGATCAGAATTATTGGACTGTTTTTTTTTCTTATGCTGTACGCTTTTTTTCTTATTTCCTCTGTGCCCCAGAAGCTGTTCCAAGCTCTTATGCTCCACCTCTTTTTTCCTTGTGCTCCAGAATCGCTCTGTGGTCTGTGGTTATTCTCAACGTTTTTTTTAAATTATGCTGACCTGGCTTTTTCTTATGCTCCTCAGTCCTCCCGTTATTCTCCTCCCTCCTCCCCCACCACCATTCCCATTCTTTTTTTTCAAAAGTCCCACCAATCCCCCACCACTGCTCGCCATCCTACTATCCACCCACCATGCAACATCATCATGTTCCACATTTCCCACCAATACTGAGGCCAGTCCGACCATTCCCCACCATTCGTCATCTCTGCCATCACATTGCTCGACGTTCCTACATTTCCACAACTCCCACCACTACCCGTTACCCACCATTCCCTCCTTTCCTGCCACTATCAGCCATTCTCTACCCTCACAACAGCCCACAGCCAACCCAACCAAGCCATGCTTTGGACATGTCCCTTTCGCTTCACGAGCAAGACTTTGGAACCCAACAAAGCATTGGGTAAGGTGGCTGCAAAAGGAGGGATGCGTACACCCCTGCTCACCCACCACCCCACCCCTCCGCAATGCAACAAAACAAATCCAGAGCATTTTTGTCATGCCGGCATGCTTGCGCCAGCCATCAAGCCCAGCCAACCCCACCAAGCCGTGTTTTTGTATGAACATATCCCTCCCGCTTCGCAAACAAGATATTTGAACCTTGAAGCAAGCTTGCACGGCTTAAAGAAGTGGAAGGGTTGGGGGTTGCAAACACAATGCTCGCATGATGGGTTTCAAAAAGAGTCAAATTCCTTGAAGCAAGCTTGCAAACACAATGCCCGCATGATGGTATTCCAAAAAAATGCAATGCCTAGCAAGCTTGCACGGTTTAAAGAAGCGGAGGGGTTGGGGGTTGCAAACACAATGTTGGCATGATGGGTCTCAAAAAAAGTCAGATTCCTTGAAGCAAGCTTGCACGGCTAAAAAGCGCGGGGGTTGGAAGGGGCTCCTTCCTTGCTTTTTTCCTTCCTTCCTTCCTTCCTTCTGGCCTTCCTTGCTTCCTTGCTCCCTTGCTCCCTTGCTCCCTTGCTCCCTTGCTCCCTTGCTCCCTTGCTCCCTTGCTCCCTTGCTCCCTTGCTCCCTTGCTCCCTTGCTCCCTTGCTCCCTTGCTTGCTTGCTTCCTTGCTTCCTTCCTTCCTTCCTTCCTTCACTCATTCCTTCCCTCCCGCCTTCCTTGGTTCCGTCCTTCCTTCCTTCCTCACTGCCCCCTCCCTCCCTTCAACAGTATCATTATTTCTTGATCCTAATATTTTTTGATCCTGAATAAAATATTTTTGGGCCGATTTTTTCTTATTCTGACCCCGCCCTTTCTTCTGCGGCTTGCCTTCGCGATTTGTATTTTATGCTGCACCGTGCTTTTTGTTATGCCCTTACGGCCCCTGTTATGCTGAGGGTTTCTTTTCTTATGCTGAAGGTGTTTTGCGCCCAGTTTCTCATGTTATGCTTGGAATTCTGTGACCACCTGTATGGCTTAAGGAGCTGCCTGGGCATAAGGACATATAGCTGAACCTATACCCTAGGGTTTAAAGGTTTCGGGTGGGTTTGTCTTTGAGTTGTGTGTGTGGTTTCAGGGTAGGGTTGTCTTTGAGGACGTCCCCAAAGCAAGAGCCTTTGGTTTGGGTTTGGCTTTGTCATACAGTGGGGAGTTTGGGCGGGCGCATCCCCCCCCTCCCCCGCTTTGTCATTCTTTTTGAAAACCGTCATGCGGGCATTGTGTTTGCAGCTTGCTGCAAGGAATCTGACTCTTTTTGAGACACATCATGCGAGCATTGTGTTGGCAAATCCCAACCCACCCGCTTTTTTTCTGCCGTGCAAGCTTGCTTCAAGGCATATGGACTCTTTTTGAAACCCATCATGCGAGCATTGTGTTTGTGAATGGGGGGGCCAAAAACCATTAAGAATTCGAGCAAAATCAATACTGCCAAGAAGGAAAACGGAGCCAACATTAAGAAGAGCTCGGGCAAAATCAAGAAATTTCCTCACATTAAGAAAAATTATTTATTTCGAACAGTTCGCAAATAAGATGTTCCGCCAAAGACACATTGATTCAACGCTTTCTTAGTTTTTGCTTGCAATTGGGGTTGGGCACTCCAGAGAGACTCTGGGGTTGGGCACTCCAGGAGTCTCTGGGTTGGGCACTCTAGGTTTGGGGACTCCAAAGAGTCTCCAAACATAGACCGGGCGAGGAAAAGAGTTCCGGGCGAGGAGAAGAGTTGAGTTTAAAGTCTAACAACCCCACACCGAAGGCGGGGAAATACAGGATCCTGCTCAAATGTGAAGGGAGTATAGGTTTGTCCTATGGAAAACCAAGGAAAGGGAGCCAAGATTGAGAATGATTCGAGCAATTAAAGAGAAACCCTACGAACAGTAGTATGTTCGAGCAACATGAATAAGAAATCCTACAAAAGTAGAATGAATCGTATGAAAATATAGAGGGGCTGGAGGGTCTCGTAGGAAAAACCCAAGAAAACTTACCTCTCCTAGCCAAAAACCTACGGAAACGGAGGATTTTCTCTCAAATATAGAGGGAATAGAGGTTTTCTTAGGAAAAACGAAGGAAACGACCGTAAATTATTTCTTGATCCCAAAGAAGGTTTTATTTGACCCCCACAGAATATTTTTTGATCTTAAATAATGTTTTGATCTCATACCCAGCCCAATGGTAATTAATGCACGAGTCTGAGCCCAGTCCTGGAGGGTTCGCGTGCCTGACAGTGCCCAGTTCTTCCATTCAGGACTTGAACCACGCCGCGCATTTCTGTGAGAATTACTTCCAAGTATTGTGGTACCACCGTGCCCAGGCAGGAGCCGAGGATTGAAAATCTGACTGTTTTGGATATGGTGATTCGTTGAGACTTGTCAAGGAAGCAGCTTTTGAGTAACTCGTACTTTGGTTTCTCGGGTGCCGCGGCAGAGCATGTGACAGTAGGATCTAATTAGGAGGTGTTAGGAGGTGTAAGTCACTGTTCTTTGTTTGCATCAAGTGCGGAGACGTCCGCGTGCAATATGCATCGGCCAGCCGAGAAGTCAGCAGGTGTCGATGCCAGAGCTCTAGGCCCAAAGCCGTCCAAAAGCAATTGTATTCATGTGTACCTCTCCAGGCCCAGAGGCCACCTGAGCCCTCAAGACCGGGCTAGTTTATGAGCATGGAGAAAGTCGTGGTGTGCAGGCCATTGGCAGATCAGCCGGTGCCTCTGATGCCTCGTAGTTTTTAAACCCAGATGCCTCCAGATAGTCTCTAGATAATGGACAGGAGTTACGGCGAGAACAGAAGGACATGCTTGGCGCTGCATTCTGTAGCTGCAAGCCTTGTGATGCCACACTGAGCTGTGACCGTCCAGCACCGGTAGTTCAATGACCCTGCACCCAGCATCTGCGGAATGTTCGACTGGACTCAAAATGACGCTTAGGCTGTCGAGACGGACATCAATAGCGTCCGTCCACAGTTTGAAAATGTGAGCTTCCCTTAGTGTGGGTCGAAGACACGTCATAGGTCAATATTCCATCCCTTTTCTACGACATCACGGCTGCTTGTGGATGTCGCGTCTTCGTATTGAGCGTGCAGTTTGCACGTCGGAGACTTGCCACATGTCCTGCCGAGGATGCAGCTCTACAAGGTTATCCAGGATGCCTCTCAGAGGCGCAGGGAGGGTCTCATATCATCATGTCCGGAGTTCATCAGACTAGCATGACTTGTGTGAGACTGGGAAAGGCTCTTGTACGACAAGGTTGCTGACAGCTCGGTCCTCCCTGAGGCAGAGGGCCGCAGCCCCGCAAGTCAAATGCAGTTTTACAAAGACTACAAAAGGGACATAACAGGAAGATGACAGGAAACAGGGTGCAGAGATGTGCAGAACCAGGGCCCCATGGAAAATTGGAGCACGAATCAAGGTTGAAGGGTCGAAACTTTGGAAGCCCAGGAGTTTGTTTGTGAGAATGTCCACCAAGCGTTCGTGGGCCGGTGGCAAGATATCTCTTTGGACCGAGCCCCCTGGAGTTTTAGGTTCTCAAGCACACACACGAGGTTGGAGGCCGACCCTAAACAACATTTTGCGACCGAGGGGCTCGCACTCCCCCCCCCCCCCCCTCCCAGGTGTATTTTGGCACGGTCAGGCAACCCCCTTTCAAACTTGGTGTTTCAGGACACGAAGTGTATCCGCAGAGCAAGAATACCCTTCGAACGCTACGTTTCGGCGTTGATGTGGAACTCTTGTTTTTGTTGGTGCAGCGCTCGTAATCCTTATGGCCCTATGGCGTGATTGAGTTCTTGAGTGCAGCTAGATCAGTGAAGCCCTGTGACTCCTCCTAACTTTTTCCTGGGCTCGCGATATTGTTGAAAGACGGTTAACATTTTTTAAGTTTGCGAAAACCTTTTCAAGCACATCGATCAAAGGCCTTACTCTACATAGAGCCTTCGCTTCTTTCCAAACCCTGGATTCTCGTGTCTTGTCGCATCGCACGCTTTGAAGGCGACACACCTCCCACATCCTCCCATACCCAAACGCTTGGATAAGTTTTTTCCGTAGAAGAAGCCCAGCAGGTTTGGCCAGCTATCGACATTTCGCCCGAGGCAGGCGACTTTATAGTTTGCAAGGGGTTATCAGTTTTCTCCACTGTCAGGTGGTTTGCTTGTTGAAGAGGGTGTTCTGCAGTCTGTAGGCAAACGAGAATCGGCTTCTGTGAAAGTCTTTGTTGTGTGGCAAATGTGGCTCCCACTCGCACACATGGCTGTGACAGATTGTCCTGGTTGCCGTGGCCTCAGCCTGTGAAGACCTTGCACCAAGCCTATACTTCAAGCCTGAACTGTCTTGAATTGATTTTCGTTGCCAAATGCCCAGAGGTGAATGTTGTCGGCAAGTGGGCTTCTGTTGGTGCCGATCGCTGAGCCAAAAATGCTGTGTGTGAGAGGAGAGTCATGGAGAGTCTCTAAGAGTTCATATGCCTCAAGTGAGCTGAGGTTGTCACGTTTTGGAGTATATTGAAGCATCGTACAACGTTGCTGCCTTAGGACTCGTTGATGGGGAATGATGGGGACAGTTGCTGTGTGAGAGATTGTGGGAGTGTAGAAAACAGTTTGGAGCTGGGGTGTAAAAAGCGCGTCCCGAAGTTGGAAATCTGATGTTTGGTTTTTTGCGTCACCAGCCACTTTGGCTTGCTCAAGCTGCGGGAATGGGAACACAGACAAAAGCACCAACCCAAACATCGACAAAACTTGTCAATGCGCCAAAAAAACATGATGACTGCGCCGCGGATTTGGGTTGCTGGACGTTTGAAATGGCAGCGCCTTGCCTGACAGGTCCTGCACTATGCCCCATCCGTGCAAACTTGATTCCAAGAACATTGAATGAATCCTTTCCAGTACCATCCTCTGAACATTGTGTTTGCGAGGGGCGGGGGGGGGGGGGGGGGGACCCCCCTCCCTCAAGCCACCCTGTCTTTTAAGCGTGCAAACTTGCCTCAAAGAACGTCATGCCTCATTTGACAATCCTAGCAAACTCATTTGGAGTCGTTTCAAACTCATCATGAGAGCCTTCCGCGGCTCAGGCCCCAAAAGCCGGGCCGGCAGTGTGGATCCCCTCACTGCGGAGGCTCAATGGCACCCTCAACCACTTGAATTTCGAATGCGTAGTGGCAATAAGTAAAGATCTCTTATTAGCAAATACAGAGGCAACACAACACTGGTTGTCCTGTGCAAACCATGGAGGCCTCCTCCCCCAAGAAGCGTGTTGTTAGTAGGCATTACTTAGGGACAGTGCGCGAGTCGAGCCGGAGGACTTTACCTTAGGGGCGTTGTGAGGCCATGTCCGCTTGGCAAGCAGCAACGCGGGCCCCCTGGGAGGGGGAGCTCCGGCACGCCTTGGTGCGACCTCTGCCCTTTGCCAGACACTGAACTGGAGCCACTCGACTCGAAACCCAGCTGAGCTCGGATGGTGAACATTGTCCCGACCCTCTCCATGTCGCGAACAGGTGAACAGGTGAGCGTTGTCTAGTGATTGTCCAGCGCTGAGGGCGGAGCCGCGGTACTGTCCGGTGGCCCTAAAGGCCAAAAAGGCCAGCAGGCCAAGGCGCGACCATGTCAAGTTTAGTTCGCCCGAGTCGAAAACTTTGTATTGACTAAGCCCTTCGTCGGGGTGATCAGCCCTCCGGGTTAGCCAGAGCCGACCAACGCGGAGTGCGCCATCTCTTTGGACGCACAGTGTCGCTTCGTTTGCTTCCTTTGCATCGCGAGACCCACCGATCGTGGGCAGTCTGCCAGAAGGAGTTAATGGTCATGCGGCCGTACAGCAGATCAACAGAGCCAAACAAAAAGCAGCATCACAATTGCAGTGCTTCGTAAACGTCCGTTTCTGCATTCGAGTTGTGTCTCCATGTCTCGAAACAGGAACGTAAAGTAGACGAGGAAATGAAAAGCACCTTTCAGGGGCCGATGTCCCAACCTTGAATTCTAGAAAGGATATGGCCTTGCTTGTTCTCTGCTGGCTGGCCTGAGTGCCAGTGATGCCCGAGCAGAGATGCAGAGCCTGCCAAGGCCATTGCGAGTCTTTGTGCTGGGAGATCAAGAGGGGCAGGGCGCACAGCTTCGGTTGTCCGCACCGTCCCCTGTTTGGCACAGAATTCACACAACACACACAACATATCATGATCTTGAGGATCCGAGACTGGAGCGGCACCCAGTCCATCCCAGTCCAAGCATTCAAGATTGGAACCGTGTGCTGAAGGGCCATGGATTCTGGGATATTCTGGGTTTACCCAGAAGTGACCTGCCCCTCTTGATCTCTGAGGCGACAGGTGGTGAAAGACATGAGACTGGCAGTCCCACAGTTCATGCCACTTGGACCGCACTCTTGATGTGACGTGAGCAAACAGGCAACAGCATAGCATTGGTGCAACCAAGGCACCGAGTACGTTTCCACTACATCGACATATTTCTTCATCCGCCAGCAGCTCTGAAGTCGGGACCAATACTGTGCAGCAGAGTTTAGAACTTGCTAGGCGCATGATCAACTACTTCAGCCGCCTTCCGCCAGAATGTGCTGTTTGCTCAGCCTTTTCTTGCGGACGGAGATGCCAGAGTGGATGCACATCCAGGGAAGCTGCATTGATCTGCTGGAGTAGTATCGTGGTTTTTCCCCAAACAGTGCTTGCACAATGGGGTTCGACGCTCCCGCTGTGGTTTCGCGCGAATTCCGTTGCGTTTCGATGCTCCCGCTGTGGCTTCGCGCGAATTCTGTTGCATTTCGATGCTCCCCCTGTGGTTTCGCGCGAATTCCGGCCTCTCGTGGCCTCTTCAGGCCTCTTCTGGGGGGGCCACTTAGGTTGCCGACTGCAACGGCGCGCGCGGTGGGACGGGGCCTTGGTTTCGACGCTCCCGCTGTGGTTTCGCGCGAATTCCGTTGCGTTTCGATGCTGCCGCTGTGGTTTCGCGCAAATTCCGTTGCATTTCGATGCTCCCGCTGTGGTTTCGCGCGAATTCAGGCCACGACAGCCTCTTCTGGGCGGGCCACTTAGGTTGCCGACCACAACGGCGCGCGCGGTGGGACGGGGCCTTGGTTTCGATGCTCCCGCTGTGGTTTCGCGCGAATTCCGTTGCGTTTCGGTGGTTTCGCGCGAATTCCGGCCTGTCGTGGCCTCTTCAGGCCTCTTCTGGGGGGGCCACTTAGGTTGCCGACCGCAACGGCGCGCGCGGTGAGACGGGGCCTTGGTTTCGACGCTCCCGCTGTGGTTTCGCGCGAATTCCGTTGCGTTTCGATGCTGCCGCTGTGATTTCGCGCGAATTCCGTTGTATTTCGACGCTCCCACTGTGGTTTCGCGCGAATTCCGGCCTCTTCTGGGGGGGCCACTTAGGTTGCCGACCGCCGCGGCGCACGCGGTGGGGCGGGGCCTTCGTTTCCACGCTCCCGCTGTGGTTTCGCACGAATTTCGTTGCGTTGTGGTTTCGCGTGAATTCCGGCCTCTTCTGGCTTGCTCGAGCCTCTTCTGGCTTCTTCTGGGGGGTCCACTTAGGTTGCGGGCCGCAACGGCGCACGCGGTGGGGGGGGCCTTCGTTTCGAGGCTCCCGCTGTGGTTTCGCGCGAATTCCGTTCCGGCCTCTTGTGGCCTCTTCAGGCCCCATGGCAGTGGTTGGCCACGGGCCTTTTTGACCCCACGTTCCACACGCGTGCAAAGCCGAATCCCCCAGTGGTTGGCGTCTTTTTGACCCCCAAGGGAATTCGGCCCCCCACGAACTTTTGTATCTTTTGTCTCCGGGAGTGTCGGTGCTCTTCTGGCCTTCTTTGGCCTTTTCTGGCCCTCCTCACTGTTTGGGGTCTACGCCGGCATAATTTTTTTGGAAATGGTAATCCATGCGAGTGCTGTTCCGCGCATTTTCTTGAGGCGTCGACGAACATGAGCAAAGCCTTGTTCGCCCGCTTGATCTGCATTCGCCCCAGAAGAGACGCTCACATTAAGGATATGCACGACATGACAGCCCAACACAGTCCGCAAGCTTGGGCTCAGGCCACAGCTCACAGCCCAAATGAGAAGTTGGCGTAAATATGCAGTGGTGATCAGTGGTGCAGATTGTCCTCGCCCGCTCTCCTGCAGCAATCTAATGCTCCCAGTTCCGAATGAGTGGTTGTAGCGGCAGTAGGTGAAAGGGGAGGTCACTTGCTAGGATTCACGGCGCCCCGAAGCGCAGCCTCTCTTGCCGAAGGCTCGTTCCACGTTGCCGGTGCATGGCACACGCGGCAAATGTAAAAGCTGCTTGCTCAAGGCAAGGTCCGGCCAGAATGTCCTTCGACCGAAGCCGCAGTCCAGTCAGGCACTTATGCGAGTGCAGGCGAGGTCACAGCTCACACATGGGCGTTCTGTACCCGGACATGAGTCTAAGACATCAGGCTACGCTAGCGCAAATCTACGCCTCCTATAGCAATTGGACATCTCACAAATAGCAAGCTGATCCCTTCATTCTTGCCGCTGTAGCCTGCTGGCACTGCAGGCGCCTGTGTAGCGAACGACAGGCGGTTGAAAATCCTTCGTCTCAGCTGTCCATTCTCCCTCCCCTCCCCTCCTTGTTTGTCTCTTCCCTGGGCCTTTGTCTCTCCCACCCCCCTCTTTATTTCATTCTCTCTGTCTCACGCTCTCCCTGCCTTGTTCTGACCAAGCCCCCCACAGCAAATCTTGAATTGAAGGTCGCCTCCCGGCAGGCAGCTGGAGCTGCCAACGTCCCTGCCCAGAAGATGCTTTCATTCACAAGGGTGGTTTGGGCCAAATGCCAGCATCCAAGCCAAGGTGAAGAAGAAGCGAAAAGAGCTCTTCGCCAAGGACCCGGCAGTTGCCATCAAGAATCTTGGGTCACAGATCTGACAGATCTTCCCATTGTTCGAGAACAGGAGCTCGGGTACCAGGATGAAAGCAATCCGCAGGGAGCTCATGACAACGAGAACATTGGAAGTTATGAACCAAGTTATGGGTTCGAGGGAGCAGGATTTGGAGGGTTCTTGCTTTTGGCCGGTAGGCAGAGGCTACCCAAGAGGAGCAGGAGGGCTTCAGTCTTCAGTGAGTGCATGAGTGTCATGTGGGCCATCCCCCAAGACGGGGCAGGGCGGGTTTTGAGCCGCGCGGCTGCACGAGGCGATCAGGGGAGGATATGAGTTGGCTCGAAAACTTCGGAGTGTTTATCCACACAAGTGAGTTTGATAGGCTCGCCCCCCCCCCCCCCATCCCCCCAAAGCCAGTCGTGGTGCACGAGGGTGCGCATCTCTGATCGTGATCGTTGTCAACTTGCATGAGCTCGCCGTGCAGTCCGGGTACCGCAAGAGGCAAGGGGTCCTGAGGCCTGAGTGCAGTACGCTTAAAAATTCAAGGATGCGGCGAGCATCAGAAACAAGGACCTGACCGAGCGAATGAGATACTGTATGCAAGGTCGTTAGTTTTCCGTCTTATTGGCCTTTGTGCTTATCCTAGACACGCGTGCCAACAGGATCGAGCGCATTTTCTCATCCCTTCGGGCCCCCCTAAAAATCTTAAGAACTTCTCAGGCCTGACACCCGGGCAGTAGATTGTAGATAGAGTAATGTGCCCACCATTTTAACCCCAGTTAAACGGTCTCGATGCTTTGCATGCCGATCTGCAGCCCGAGAATGCAACAAGACCTCTTCTCCACACACAGTTGCGACATGCTTTCTTGAAGCTCTTCCACATTGCAGCACGCGAGGTTCGGCGACAACACGCTGACGGAGAAATTCACCTGGAAAAAGAAAAATGAATACCTGCAGGCAGCTGGCCGGGGCCCCGGAAGAGCAAAGTCCCCCTCGTCGTTGTCGGTAGGAGTTTCATCGTGGCAGAACACAAGGATGCATAAGGTATCATACTGTAAGGTACCGGCGAACAAGAACGAGTGAATAAGTTTCATAAAATCTGATGCTTTGTGTGCATCGGTTGATTAGAATGGATCTTGGCCAACAAAGCCTAATACCGTTTTTCCCTCAGGTCCCGCCACCAGCACAAGAAGTAGTCAACATTTCCACTAGCACAAGCACTGGCGGCAGCAGAGACTAGGGCAGCGAGGAGAACGAAAGTTAATACATGTTAGAAGCAGCAGCCCAGCACGAGGTCTTCTAGAGTATCATCATGTTTCCAGAGCTACGGCGGAATTTTTGAGGCGGATTCTGGAGCCACAGGGGCAGTATCCGGGGTCTTAGACACCACGAGTCCAGACGCCAGGGCGAGCCTTTTCGTAACATCTTGTAACATTGCAGGATTTTTGCTGGTTGGCCTCGGAACGGGAGTGCTCATTCCCGTCAGGTTTGTACAGACCTTCCACGAAAGAACAGCAGATGCAGAAGATGCAAGCGAAGATTCGAGAGATTCAGCAGGCGGCATTCCTTGAGACTTGATTGGCGATTCTTTGCGGCTTCCATGCCGCTGCGCTGGAACTGCGAGGTGAAGAAGCGCCGTGATGAGCGTGAAGTTGAAAGGCAGCTGTTGGAGCAACAGCGGCTGGAGCACGACAAGGCGCTGGCACCCAAGGGACCAAGTGATGCTACCTGTAGCCTCAGAGATCCTCAGAGTTCCAAAGCTTCTCCAGCAGTGTCTGGAAGTGCTGCTGGTGTATCTGGTTCAGGAACTTCACGACGAAGAGTATGGTGAGTGGCTGACCAAAGAAGAAAAGTTCCACTTAGACAACGCCAAGGCCCAACGCCAACTCTGTCTCGGAACGGTTTTGGTGCAAGCAGTGCTTAGATTTTACATGGTTTTGCTAGGCGCGAACTAATCTTCGAATAGAGCAAGGACGAGAACGGCAAGGGGCTCATTACGTCCGCACTTCCGTCGTGTCCAAGCTTGCTTGTTAGAGCCTGGCGGCAGTTTCCAAAAATTGGGCTTGGGTCGAAACAAATGCCAAGAATCTTCAAGCTTGAAGCTTTTCATTCGTAAAGAGATTTATGACCGATCAAAGGCGGTCCACCCCCGCAGGTCTCAGCAAGACTGAAAAGTGGGGAGGAACGGAGGGACGGAGGGACGGCATCCCTACGACTCCCCTGAAAACAGTCCGCCTCCCACTTCGGTGGCTGACGCTCTTCCCCGTGTCTTCTCAGCCCTTCTCAAGTCTCCGCGGGCATCCTCGGGCTGCGGCTCAGGCCATTGGACCTGGTGGCGAAAGCTCTATCCATTGCCGAAGATGAGAAATTCGAGGCCTTGGTTATCCCTGTCTCGCGCTTCCTCGGGCCACAAGCCCGCTGAACCACAGAAGCCAGGACATGACCATCTTAGACAAACCTCCGCACCAGCTCTTTATCAACATGAGCGTGGATGAGGCAGGCTGTCGGACTTGTGGAGCACCCACTTCATTCTTCATTGACTGTGCTCCCGATAAAATACTGTAAGCAGCATGTTTGGCCCGCTGATGCAGTACATGCAAGAGATTGGAACAGTTCAAAACTCGGCTATCCCAACCAGGTGGAGGAGATTCTCGATGAGATCGCCACCTTCGTGCGCATCGATTCGCAGCGCAAGGAATTCTGGCAGGCCATACCCAGTCCTGCAGATCTCCTCATGGGGCTTTCCGCCTTCACGTCCTGCATAGTAGCAACAGTGGCCAGTGCGAAGACCAGGCCATGCGCTATGTCGCGACCGATGCCTACGAAAGCAAACGACGGGAGAAGGCTGCCTCCACATGGCAATGAAGCAGATCGGCAGCCAAAAAGCGCTACTTGCCAGATCTTGCCAGGCTGGCCGATCGAAGGCAGGTTCTGCCATCTCCGGCCTTGGTCCGGGAGTTGCTGAAGGCGGCCAAGGAAGTTGCAGATTGCAGTAGTCGGATGGAGCCAGCGGGAAGCGATCATATCTGCTTGTGCCGGATGTCTCTGTTGGGCAAGTAAAATTGATGTCATACATGCATAGATGGCATAGCTTGACAAGACATGGGGCTGATGGCAGCCTGGGCTCAGGTGTTGTCAACGAGATCCATGAACTGCTTTGTGCCAAATCCAAGCGCGAGCTGGGTGATATGCTCGTGCCGACCCCAGTGGCACGAAGGTTTGATCATGAGTCATGAGAATCATGCGCAAACTTACCCCCTCTTAGGGCCGAGCTCTTGGTCCTGCTTCCCCGCACGCTCGAGCAAAGACTCAGCCCAAGTTGATACAATCAGTTATGTTCAGGTGGAGATCAATGACAGTTTGAAGGCCATGCGGCTTGCGTGATCGAAGCCTTGATGTTCGGCCGACCAACCGAGAGATTCGGTGTGATTACTCTGAACACGAGCTTGTAATTTCTTGTCGTTGATCGGCTTCGGGGCTTGCAAGTGTGGTTTCGCGGACGTAGCAGACTCCCGTAGCATCCTGCAGCCAGTCCTCGCCGGCTGGCCTGGACACCCAGTTCTTCGAGGCTGTGGCGGCCAAGATTCCGTTCCGCCCTCAAGTGCCACGTGCCACAAGAGTCTCCAGCTAGCTGGCAGCAAGAGAGCTTGGCTTTCATGGAGGCTGTATGTCGCGCGGGCTGAAGTCGAGCATTGGCATGAAAGGCCGGCCAGACATATGCGCTTGAGGGGGCTTGTCGAAGTGGTCGATGTGCTTGAGATGTTTCTCTTGAATATTCGCGTATTTGGGCCGGTGTCCTTGCGGAAGACATGCCTGCGCATGCGCGATGCTGGGCAGAGCTGCGCAGTCCAGACATTTCCAGACGTTCACGTGATGCCTGTGATGCCCCGTGCCTTTTGGGCTCGAACTGCCTCATCTGAATGTCGCTTCAGGAACCTGTGTTCAGCGTGTGTGGGAGGACGACCGCTGCTGCGTTTCGTCTCGTAGGTCACAGCCATTTAAAGACTTCATGATGTTCATGATGAAACTTACTTTTAAACACGACAAAGTATGTAGTGAATGTAGTGGCAAGGGGTGGCATTGCAAGTACGACGAAGCACTGCTGGAGCAAGCCGAA